TCTATTTTTATCTGCCAGTGCATGTCTCCCTTTTCAACATGGGCACAAATCAGCACGAAAAAACACCTCTTTCTGTTCGTCCTTCCTTCTCTTTCCTCATATCAGCCATATTTTGAAATTGATAGGGACGTTTCGGCTGTGCACTTGTCAAATTCAGAAGGGTACAGACACTCCTTGACTTTGTTTTTATAATGTTTGTCTTTGCGTTCGACCAGAATACCGTGTCAACATAAAGTCACGTGAAACAACTCGTCATTCACATCAGATGAGGTCAATTGTTTCCATGATATGAGTTTGTTATCATACAGAAACAATTTTTTATAGCTCTAGATTTGTAGACCTTCCAACAGAGATTATCACTTACACCTCTGAGGTTACTTACTGACTGAAGTGAATGCCTCGCGCTGCAATTAAAGATGTGCAATCAGCACATTTTGGCCTTTAGAGCTGAGCAGCCTTTTGATCTCAGGCTGCTGCCCCAGTTTCCAGCGTGCAATCAGGAGGTTAGTTTGATGACATTTCTCTCTCTCTCTCTCTCTCTCTCTCTCTCTCTCTTTCTCTCTCTCTCTTCTCTGCGTGTCTCTCTCTCTGTCTCTACAGGGTTTCATAGAGCAGCTGCCAAGAGGGTCCTGTCTCTCTGTAGGCCATTTTCTTCTGTATAGGCACAAGCATACTTACACAGCATTAAACAACCCTCTATAACAAGGCTACTTTGGGCTCTCATTGCCTCTGAGTAGGTTCATGGTTGGAAAGAGGACTGCTGCATCACCAAAACAGCTGAGAGTGTGGCAGGGAGCCAGGATGTGTGATTTTTGTGTGAATATTTGCCTCAAAACCAGTGTTGGCCACTATTATGAATAAGGATTGGTTTGCTTTGCATGTGTCTTTCTTTTCCTTTTATTTCAACCATCTCACTCTCAAAATTTTTGCCTGCCAATAGAAAGCAATGAAGGAAAGCTACTCGCCTCTAATGACCTTTTCTCTTGACCACATGAGCGGTTTGTTTTCTTCTGTCATTCTTAATTTTTATAGTCTTTTTCTACCAAAGAGAAACCAATATCCTGTTTAGGTTTTAAAAAGTGCACGTTTCAGTTGTCATGACCGGGGTCAAAGTCAACTAAACAATACATCATTTCATTGCACAAGAATGTGCCATTAGCTCGAAAATGTACAAAGTAGATAACATATGTGCGTCAGTAAATCACTATCAGCTATCGGGTAAGCGAGTTGACTGCCTCAAATTCACCCTTGGGCCTGCTTGTTACGTCTTTCCATGTGCATTAAAACCCCACCCAACAGCAGTGAAGCCCTGCTGTGACATTAAGACAGAACCAGAAAAGCAGACCCAGTACAAATGGAAGAGCTGTTGAACATTGCTCACCTATCTTCTTGTCTTGGCACTTGTCTTCGCAAGTTATGACAGCTATGTAAACTATTTTTTAGATCATGACGGAAAAACGAGCCCCTTCCACGCACAGATCATGTAACTTGTTTGACTAGATGTGAACATTCAAGTGAATCTCTCATTGATGTCATACCTTATGACTGTCTTTTCCTTATATGGAGACGGGATCTCTCATCTGATACAGTATGTGTGACTTCTTTTTATCAGTGTCTGTAAGTTCCTGTTTTATTCTTGATGTAAAAAGCATCAGTTATGCACCATTGGACTAGAAAGTCCCCCCTCTTTTAACATGGTTTCGGTCACATTTCTTGAAATCAACAGTTCAGCATTTCCTAGAGCAGGCTCAAGCCAATACTTTGAATTTCTTGACCCAGTTACTACCTTGAATTTTTTATTGGTTTATCTGTTTGATGAAAGTCACGATGATGCTGTGACCTTCAACACATAAAAGTTTACTTACCTCCATAATAAAGACTGCACTGTACTGCAACACATGACTACATAAATATTACGCCTCTGTTTGAAGTTATACTTGGATGTTCTGACTCTTCAGTTTGCTGTTGTTTCTTGTCAGACAGTGAAGTATATTTGAGATGGCATAAAGATGATTGGCCTATTTAGAGCAAGCGGACAAAAGCATATGCAAAGTCAACCAGTAGATCCAGTTTTGGACTCAACGGGGTCACATAAAACGTGATGAGACATGATTGAACTAGTTAACAATGGTTTTTAACTAGGACACAGATGGATAAGAAGCTGAGGCACTGACCTAGGTTGCTATGACCTGAGAGCTGCAACGAATTTATTTATAGTTTTTAAAAGGCTTGGTCACTTCTCTGTTCCTTGAGTTTTAATGTTCAGTTATAAAACCAAAGCATATCCTTCTTTGTTGCTGTCAACACAACCTGGAATTTGAAGCTTTCAGTGCGATGTTATGCTGATGACTACTTTGTCTTCATAAAAAGAGAAACGTGAGTCAAGGCATGAGAGCTAACCTCAGACCGAATGCTTGTGGCATACCAAGGATGCCCTTGTGAGTTGTTAGTGTAAATCTCAGTCCTGTACTCGACAAGTATGCCGAAAGACCTCGAGGACATACAGTTCTTGCGAATGTGGCAAAAGAGCACTAATGGTTGGCATAATAAACAATAAATGATAATCTAACTGACCTGACAATGTCACCAGGGGAATTTTACCCCGGGAAATGTATGAATAAAAATCTGAAATAGTTACAAGTAACCCACATCTTCCTGGAAGAAACCCAACTTCATCCAAATGCTTTATGTGTTGGTCACAGTGGAAGAAAACACAACAGCGTCATCGAGATATAACAACAAGGACTAGCAATGTTGGGTCCCTAATATCCGCTTTGTTAGTCTTTGGAAGGTACTTGGGGTATCAAAGTGCATTTTATTCAGTTAAAAAGTGTCTTCTTTCTTTTTTACAAGGACTATAGGTGAGGCACACACACACACATATACATATATAGTATAGTTGAGATAGCATAAAGATGATTGGCTGAAAAACTTTAGAGCAAGAGGAAAACAGGTTATGCAAAGTCAACCAGTAGATCCAGTTTCGGACACAACAGTGTCACAAAAAACGTGATAGAACACGATGATGATCACGTGACGACATGATTGAACTAGCTAACAATGGTTAAAAACCAGGACAAAGCATGACCTGGAATTTTGGGGATTTCCATGGGATGTCATGCCAATGACAACTCTGTCTTCATGTAAAGCAAAACGTGAGTTAAGGTATGAGAGCCAACCTCAGACTGAATGCTTGTTAGATGCCCAAGGATGCCCTTGTAAATTGTTTGTGTAAATTTCAGTCCTGTTCTCTCCAAAGCCAACTGAAAGTCTTGAAGACATCTATTCAAGAAACTGGATTTCAGTTTATCTTTTTCATTAAAAGATGAGCAGCCAAACATTACAACCCTAACAGTAGAATGTCATCTGCATAGTGCTTGACTAAAAGATTTCACAATGTACAAAGAGCCTCACTGACAAGGTCTTTAGACAATGAATTCATTGTTGTCTGAAATTACTGAACATTTAAAAAGACACACAATCTCTTGTCGTGTCAATCACATTTGCACACTGACTGAAACTGTCACTTGTGGTTATTTTTTTCCAAACAAATTAAATTTTCGGCATGTAATGAAATACACTCTCCAGAAAGCTATGAGAGGTTTCTGGGAAAAATAATAAACAACAGTGCACACTTTTAAAAGGTACATTTTGATTAGTTGTGTGTGTGTGTGTGTGTGTGTGTGTGTGTGTGTGTGTGTGTGTGTGTGTGTGTGTGTGTGTGTGTCTGTGTGTGTGTGTGTCTGTGTGTGTGTGTGTGTGTATGTGTGGGCAACCCCCTACCAACTGGGTCATATTTAGAATAAATTGCTTCATGGAAATTAGTGATCTTCTCTTTGATTTTTGGTTCCAGGATTGCTAAAACCATATCAACCCAGACCTCTGATATTCTGAAATATTCCTGGAAGTGTTCAGGATAATCCTGCTCCTTCTTTATCAGTATATGAAACCCTCCTTGCCGGTGGCGACGCCTGGCTTGGACATTCTCAGCTCTAGCCCTGAACATGTCTAATTTAACCTCAATGATTTTTACCTCAAAAGGAATGACACCAAGTTGAAAAATGGAACTTTGCAAGTCGTGTGTGTCTGTGCTGTGACAGCCAATCAGCGCTGACTTTACCAGCTTCACTGGACGTTTGAGATTTATGACACTGTTGAGGACCAGAGTGGGAGAGGGAGGGGGGTTGATGATGCGGCGTGTTGTTGTGTGTTTTAGTCCTGCGTTTCTGGGACTCGTTGTAATTTCCTGGTTCTATATATGCAACACAGGCACGACATCATAACCAATCAGAGAAGAGTTATATAGAAGCAAGGAATCATCCGTGTTTTATTGGCTGACAGGTAATGACTAATTTTATCATTCTGTTTTCACTTAATATTAATACTGATTTTAAAGTCCTTGTTTACATTTTGAAAATAAATATATTTTGAAGTAAATTTTGTATTATTTGGCTGTAAACAAGTACCACAATCCTCAAGGAAACATGAATATAAAGTTTTTTTTTCCCCCCAGGTAGGATCCCTCAGATTCCTCTGTGAGGGTGAGGGCTCAGCCCCCAATGTTCCTGGGTCCAAGAAACGCCCCTGCTCCTTGCTCTCTGCTTTTTTTGTCCAAGAGTGGAAAAGTCCAATCTCTTTCTTTCTCTTTCTTTAATGAGCAAAAGAATCAAAAACATTCCTAAATGATGACCACATATTTGGTCCTGCAAATTTTGATAGTAAATAAAAAGAAAATCTGCATTGGACCCAAGAGTGCAAGGTTTGTATGTTTAAAGCTATAGCAAAAAGTAGGTATGAAAAGTTTAGCTGAAATAACCACCTAATAAAAGGAGTGAAGTAGAGGTAGTAAATCAACTAAATATTACTTTTCAAAATATACAAATATAACCACATACAGCTGCCAAGATATTCTATTATAGTCAGTCTGGTAAAGGCAAAATGCCAATTCTTAAGAGTAAAGTATTGACTGCAATGTTCAATTACTCAACACAACAGCAACATTCATTTTCAATAAACTTTATTTTTGTCCCGTTTCCCCCAAACATTTTACATAGAAAAGGTGATCGGAATTGAACATTTCCTCGTGTCAAGACCGTTAACATTTACACAACAATAAATAAAAAAAGATGTATAAATAAAAAATAAATAGACAGGACATCATGTGCCAAAAAAATAAAGACTCTTCTTAATTGGCAGATGGCTTTCACAATGTTGGGTTTTTTGAAAACACATGTACGTAATACTTGCATTCCAGGTCACAGTTTTTAGGATACAACTCTGGGTCAAGAAAGCAATGTAAACCGAGAAGGGTTACAGTACAGTACAACAGCGTACAATGTTTTCTTTTTCTTTATAGATATTACGGGGATATATATTTAGGATAACAGTTATTCTAAAAGCTTATACCAGGTAGTGAGAGTGTAGTGCTATTGGACTTACTTTCAAACTTGGCTCAGTAAATCCCATCTATAAATCCCACCTCTGTTTGAATCCAGCTTGACATTCACAAAGGGTTGTTATTGCACTAAACAGACATCCCCCGAAAAGGCACTTTTATCTCCCCTCCCCACCCTCGCTTTCCAACCAACAGTTTGTTTACCAGCACATGTGGCACACACACTCACCTCCTATTTGTGATTTTAAAACGGAATCAATTTAAAAACCAACAGAGTTAAAAGCAAATAAAACAAAGCAAGTGGTCATAAGAAGTTTCATTTTCCTTATGAATTTACGAAAACAAATTAAAGAGTGCAATGTTGTGTTGCTCCCATAGCCCCTTTATCATGCTGTGCACCACATCCGTAAAAATTTGTTTCTGATAACCAACAAAAAAAGACAAAAGTGATGCTTGAGCAGAAGCAGCATATCTCTGCATCACCAATATCAAATAAGGCCAGGAATGTTATTTGTGCATGTGAGGTCAAGATCTTAGTGTGATCATAGAGCTGGCTCAATATTTATTTTTTTTGTTCTTAAAAATGAACAGGACAAAAAAAAAGTGTGCACCAGAGTCCAACAAGGCCAGAAACCAACTGAGGGTAGGAGGGTCTCTCGCTTTGTCCAACCAAACCACAGCTCTTCCCAGAATCTCCTTTGTAAAACCGCAGTTCCAGTGCAAGCCAATGCCGTGAGTGATCTTGCTGCTAAAATACTTCTGGAAAAAAATGAGCCTAATAGCATTCCAGCTACAAGATTATTCTTGTTTTGTTGCAAGCAAAAAGGGACAAATTTAGTGTTTAGATAATTTTTGGGAGACCATGCCTAGGTTATCGGCTGTAATGGGAAGGTGAAAGTTGCAGGGCTGGGTGTTGGTTTTTTTTGAAAGGTCCAGCTGAGGAGCGTTGGTTCTGAGTGTAGGGAAGGTGAATGGGAGTTGTGTTCACTTAGGCATCTGCCTGTGAGGGATCCATCATTTCAAGCCAAGTAGGAGTCTCTTATTTTAGGTATCAATACCTTCCAGGTGGACACCTTTGAGGCATAAGCTGGACAGGCACTAATCCTTGAGGCAGATGCTGCATGAGGGCAACTTCCTGACTGCTTGAAGTTTATCAAGGTCGATCCATGTGATAAACAGCTGTCTAAGCACCAGTCCAGGCAAGGGTGTTTGCTCAACCCCTCGGAGCATCCATCCATCCGTTGGGTCCTCTCAGCACTGCCTTGAGGAATTTTATCAAACAGTCAGGCTGCCTAAGAAGAGGTGTAAACCAGTCAGGTTGCCTCTAAGGCATCTGCCACTCAAGCAGCCTGGGAGGCACTGAGCGGTGCTCTCAGGCATCAGCATGGTGTTGGAGCAGCTGAACCACATAGCGCAGTCGATGTCTGAGCTCCGGGGTGCAGCCCATCTCAGACAGCATGCTGAGGAGGTAAGTGCACGAGACACGCTCCCGGCTGATGTAGGTGAGCAGGTAGGAGTCGTCGGACGATTTGCACAGGATGATCTTGGTGTGGTCTGTGTAAAAGTTCACCTGGAGGGAATGAAAACAGAATAGATGTTAAGTAAAGCTTCGGTTTTATCCCACTGAACTTTGTCCCTCACTGTAAAAATAGAAGGTAGTTTTCGAACCTGTAGGGTGCCATTGTTGAAGAGCATGACGAGGGCGTGGTCTGTCTTCACCCACTGGAGCAAGAGAGGAGGAGGACCTGAAACTTGCTCCTCACACTGCAGGTCACCACCCTGATAAAAGACATGAAATTTTTTTAAAGTTATGTATTCAAGAACAAAGTCTTAATTTTAGAATTCTTAATTCTGAAATCCAATGCATATGGTTGAAGATTAACTGCTGTGTTTATACCTCCATAAGGTTTTGCTCCATGTAGTTCGCCATGAGCTCAACTATGTGTTTCTGGCTGCGAAGCTGCTCAGGCAGAGAGTTGGCAGAGAAGGTGAAGTGTTTGTTGTTGGTCATGTAGTAGTGGACTGTTCTGTTTGGGAGGGAAAAAAAAAAGAATAATTACAATTTTAGTTCATTATGACAACAAATTAATAGTGATGGCTGCTGGATTGTATGGATACTGGTAGGTTTAAAAACACATTCTGAACTTAGGTGACCCACTAGGCTGAGTCTTAAGCACACGTTAATGTTTACATGACACCTTCAGTAAATACCGTAGCACTAGGAGTACTTACTTGCGTTGGTTACAAAGGCTGAGATGTGTACCCTCGTTGAAGAGCACGCCGATGCTTTGGTTTGAGAGCTGATAGCCAAAACCGTATTTGTTTGAGTAGTCCACCCATTTAGTGACCCACAGGAAAGACTGAGGCCTCGACAGACAGGGTGGGTTTCTGGTGGCTGAGGAGAACGAGATAAGAGTATAAGAGAACCTATTTGATGCATATTCCTTTCCAAAGTCAGCATTTCACAAAAGAATAGATGCCGCTAATGTGAAGAAAACTTAGTTTGTAAATGAGCCCTGGGTAACATGAGTCAGCAGATTTCAGAGAATCTAAAGACATGACTGGGCCGAGGGAACTTGGGTTGATTAAAATTGAATGATTCTGCATAATCAGTTATGTAACTCCAAAACAAGGGCTTGCTCATGTTAAAAAGAAAAGCGTCACTTTTGAGCTGCTTTTTTTTGTGCCTGATGCCAGATGAAAAGAAGAAGAAAGAAACAGATGCTACCCAGCATTCATCTTTACCATCTTGAGAATAAACAAGCAGACTTGCTACAGAATTGTTTCTTCACAATAGTGGCTCATAAAGGCTCCTGCTGTCTTTATAACTCAGCGTTATTTGTGCCGTCCTACCTGCAGGCATGGAGGCCAGGCAGCTGTTGAGAAGTTTCATGGCTGATTCAGCAACAGCTGCGGGGTTAAGGGCGTCCTCACACGCTGGAGACAAAACAAGAAATGAGTCAGGAATGCCAGGGTCAAAGAATTTTAAAAATGTAATGAAATACGTCTACAGAAGGAAAATGAAATGTGCCTTACGTTCAGTGCTGCTGGCCATGGTGCCCTTAAAAGATCGGGAGATGGACTTCCTGGATTCCTCCTCAGCGGGGGTCTGTTCTAGAGGCACAGAGCTGACCAGCTGAGCAGGAGGAGAGGGAACCTGAGCAGCAACAAAACACACTTTCAGGACAAGAAAGTCGAGCAAAGTGACATTAAAGGCTAACCACAAAAAAGTAACCGTAGATTTAAGGAGGTCTGTGTTGACACTTTGAGATCTATAAATGTTTGCACAGCTGCTTCACCGTCGCGGATCTAAAAATAAGACCTCACCTGCATGTTTTCATTTCTATATTTGGTAACAGCTCAGACCGCTGTTAATTGTGTGAATCTTTCTGCGCCTGCACTCGGCCACAACCACTTTTAGCAACCCTGGTTTCCTTTTATATTCTGTTTCAGCTCACAGCATGCGAGTTTCCGCCGTGATGCTTTTCACGTAACCTGATAGTGATCTTTTTGTTGACCCCTTTTGTTTTCCTGCTAACAAAGCGACAACAAGGAAACTGTCGAAACAAAGTAGATGTCAAAGTTAACTAAAAAGGCCTAAAAACTGGTTTATACTTCTTGACAACAGCCTGGTTTCTCAGCAAAAGACTCATTATGAGGCTGACAGAGAAATATTCACTCTGAAGAGCAAACAATGTAGCTCCTTTTGGGCTCTAAAAATAGCAGCAAGACCATGCTGATCAGGGATTGGCCAACTGAGCTCCTTGCTGTCGTGACAGTCTTAGACCCCATTTGGAGTCTTTTTAAAAATGAATCCACCTCGAAATAGATGCTTCCGAGGATGCAAAATATGTAGTTTGTGTAGAGGAAGGATGAGTGGTTTGATTTAGCCAAGTTCCTATTTAAAGTTTCCTCAAAACACCAGGAGAAAAGTCGCCACAAACAACAAAAATTCTTTCCCCTTTGCTGACAAGCTGAAGGACGTCTGGGACGACAGACTCTTCGCCTGCAGTCTCAGTGAAACAAAGCTAAAGCGCTTCAAAAACACTTTCCTATTTAGGAAGGATGATTCCTTTGTATAATTAAAAAGCATACTGCATTATTCAAAGAGTGGCTTACATAAGCAATTATCAGTCGCAGAGGATGTCGTCTGTGTAATGTCCCGCAAGTATCACACAAGCACCAATTTTCACACTACTTATTAGTAGCTGGGAGTACTTGTTTTTTTGTCTGAGCAAATAAGGCGCCATTTTGTTTTTTTCTTGCAGAAGTAGGATGCAAAAGAGATGATAAACGTACCTCGTTGTCCCACTGTCCCACTGCCTTGTGGATGATTTGCCGGTTGATGGAACATTTAACGATGCCTGTCACCAGTTTGGAAATGTCTTTGTCGTCTTTTTCCTCGCATGGAATTTTCTCCACCGCTAAAACAAGATTGATGCACCACTGTTAGAAACATTATTATTCTAAAAGCACTTTAAAATGCAAATAGGAGAACTTAAGCTAAATACAATCACACTATAAGCTACTACTACTCCATAATTAAATATCACTCCTCATGAGACAGAACTGGATTAACAGGATAAGGGGTGCTACATAATTACATTCAGAGAAGGACAAATATGGAGCTAACAGTCGCCTTGTGTAACGGATGACCTAGTCTTCTTCTGTGCCAGTCGGCTGACAGCTGAACTGCTGCTGCTTACCTTTCGCTTTCTTCTTCCCAAAGAGGCTCTTGGCCATTTTAGTGAAGAATTTCTTGGCAGGGCTGGGGGGATGGAGCTCTGGCACCATCACACAGCTGCTGGGAGGAAGCTTATCAGGAGTGAAACCCTAGAGAGGAAGGGGGAAAAAAAAGGCAGAGAGCAAGCACACAAGAGGGTGAGGAAGATGCATGAGGGATGAAGAAGGCACACGGCTCATTTTGAGTGAAAAAAAGGACCAAACATCAAGTGCTGGCATGTTGTGTACTGCTCCAGTTTCAAGCACCGTATCCCCAAAAAGTGTATAATCTTTCAAAACTGATGACTAAAAGGCATGTAGCTTTTAAAGTAACACAATTAGAATGATTTGTGCGTACTTTGGTGAAGAATTCGTGGTTGAGGATTTGATCCAGGGAGAGTCTGTCGCTGGGGTTTTTCTGCAGGATGCCTGAGATGAGTTTCTGTGCAGCGGGGGAAAGCGAGGATGGCAGATTGTACCGAACTTCCTTTATACACTTGTAGGTTTCCTTTAGATCAAGAGTCTCAAAAGGAGGGTTTCCGCACATGAGGGTGTACCTAAACAGGAGAAATCAAAGCAACTACTGATTAAAATCCTGATCTGAAGTCATAAAAATCTGTTAAATATTCTCATTTTTCCACAAAGATAAGCTGCAAAGAAAACCAAAACCTGCTCCTCTACATTCTACAACATATTTCATACTTGACCGCAGAACAAAAGGACTCACATTACACATCCGAGTGACCAAACATCAGACTCAGTGCCGTGGCCCTGCCTGTTGAGCACCTCAGGAGCCAGATAGTTGGGAGTGCCACAGATTGTTCTAAGAAAAAGAAAAAAAGAGCAGGATTAATGCATTTCCTTCAACTGCTCTAATCGTTTTCCAGTCCTGTTGTTGCATCATACCAACAAAGAAGCAGTTATCGAAGCACTATTTTTCCTACCACACTCATGCTTCTGGTATTTGCCAGGAAAGTGTCAAACAGGTAGCGAAACTATGCTCTAAGCGCGACATTCAACCGTCACTTGGAAACCGGTTTAGTTAGGGACTTACTAAGGGAAAGTAGTGGGAGGAAGTGTGTGCTTGGTAACTGATGTAATGGTTTGGGGCTCATGTGTGTTTCAAAAACCTCACGCACAACTATGGGTTAATTTTGAGGTCTTGTCTAGGTTTAGTATTTAGTCCGTAATAGGTAGAGTAAAGGTTGTTTAACTTTAAATTAACAGGGAGGGAAATAAATGAAAAAATGTTCCCTGAATTAAATGCTCAGTTGTCAGTCTTTAGGCTTGTGTCTGCCTGCATTATAAAGATATACTCTATATGTGAAGGGAATGGCGTGAAGAACTCACTTTTTTCTCTTTTCAACTGTCTCCAGTTTGGCAGCGAGGCCGAAGTCTCCCAGCCGCAGCTCCATGTTCTCGTTAACAAAGAAGTTGCCTGAAAGAGACAAAAACATTCGTCCAGTCAGCATTCCACACATGACATGCACCCAAAGTCAAAGCAGATTCCTGGGATGCCTCTGCGTGTTCCCCCGTGTGCCAGATTTCGGCTCACATACCTAGTTTGAGGTCTCTGTGCAAGATTCCCCTGCTGTGGAGATACTTGAGGCCGGATATAATCTGTCGGAGGTAATAACGCACTTCTGGCTCTGTGAGCGTGTGTCTTGCCTTCCAAATGTGTGCCAAGGACTGCAGAGACAAAGCAATGAACGAAGTGTCAACCCTGCATCCATCAGTTTGACTGCACAACACTGCTGCGCACACACACACACACACACACCATACCACACACACAGCCGCAGTAGCAGAGAAATGAGATGCTGCTGTGGGAGTATTAAGTAATGGGTAAGTTGTTTGGTTTGTATGTTGTGTGCACCTTCTCTGTTGCAACACTAAAGAGACAAAGCTGTGAGCAGGCAAGCGGAGCACAAACAAGCTGTGAAGCCTGTTCTAGAAAATTCTCATGTCTCACCTTCCGACTGCAGAGCTCGAGGAATATGTAGATGTTTTCTTGATCTTCGAAGTGATGGGAGAATTTCACCACATGCTTGTGTGACAAGGTTTTGTGCAGCTCAATCTCATTTGTAATCTGTTAAAATATGATAATCCATCAGTTTCCTTCGTTTGAGTAAGACCAAATGACAATCCAGACATTGAATTCAGCCTACTGCATGGTTCCCTCTGCAGAATGTAAACAAGCAGAATCATGTACCTTATCTCTCTGGTGCGGTTTGGACACCCTGCTCTGTGGAATCACCTTCACAGCATACATTTTGTTGTTAGAGAGGTCTGTCATCTCGTAGCATCGAGCAAAGCCGCCCTTGGGGGAAAACAAACAGGATGATCAGTTAACAAAAGCAGCAGGTTGAAAACCTGCAATGGCCATAAATTATCTGCCTCAATGGCATGTCTTTGACCCACGATCAATGAGTGTGCAGCAATCAAACTGTTTGGACAGTTATTTAGCCAATTCTGTTAGACTGCTTTGGAGGGCATATTCATTAGAGGGAAAATAATCGATTCTGAGGATACACTCAAGGGTTAACTAACTGCATTATTTTATAACCGGTTGCATAGTATCTTTCAGCCTTGGATGCTCATATGTGCTTCTTAAACCAGTGAAAACCTCCTTGTATGACGATTGCAGCTGTTTTTTCCTGCATATCTCAGGATTATGGAGGCTTGAGGACGTGAGGGATGGGGCAGACCGAGCTGCTGCATTCATTAACCGTGAAATTGACGGAGACGTTTCCAGCTCTGCGGCAGGCAGCAAGAAAAGAGGAAAAAAAGAGAGACTTGGCTGGCTGCCCGACGCAGCGTATCGATGACGAGCAACATGTTGATACAGCCGCTCCATTCATACATGGCACATACCGTGTCAAAAACCAGTGCGGCAGGCAAACGGTAGGGGAGAGAGAAGAGGGGTGGATGATTTTGGATCGAGTAGTCGCCTGAGATGCCTTTGAAAAAATGGGATTCTTGTAAACTATCATTTTTTGGCTTCTAAGGGGTGTTAGACAGTCATGTGTGCGCACACTGGCTGGGCACACCTTGCGCCTGGTTCATTCAGCATTGACGCGCACAGCAGGGGGAGATTGGTCACATCCACCACGAGGTCATTCCCTATCCCCGCATTAGTGACACACCTGGAACATGGCTGATGATGAATTGTAATCATCGACAGCTTTAAATCAAGCCCAAACTCGCTATTCTAGATCCACCTCTTGCCTCAGCTGTGGCGAATAAAACACTAAAGCAGACAGAGCACATGTAAAATTTTCAGTCAGTCATTGTACCTTTCCAAGAAGCTTCCCTTTGCTGTACGATCTCCCTGTCTTGCTGTCCGTCACCACCTGGGCCAGCTCTGGTTTGGTTTGGTCGGTTTTATTCCTGTTGGTTTTCGCCGGGGCTGAGGACTGTTGGGGTCCACGCTCCGGAACAGGCTTAAATAAATCCGCATTCATGTTGTGGCACGAAGTACGCTGCGCTGCGGTGAAACAACCGATATCCACCTACCACAGCGGTGTTACTATCAATCTGTCAGTATAAATATATATATCCCTTTAGCTTTTTTTCTCAGGAGTCGGTCTAGTGCGTACGGATATATCCGGCTAGACCAACTGTATCCATCTGGCGTGTCAGCGCGCAACTGTCTGCGCCTTTATAAACCGGCAGAGACGTCACGGAGAAGGGGGCGGAGGGAGGAGGCGCAGAGTCGGAGAAAGTCCCCACGATTTGCTCAGACGGGGTCTCAATCAAAAAAGAAGCAGCTGGAGTATGTGAAAAACGTGAATGAAAGGGCTCATGAAAAGGAATAAATCAAGCTCACGTTGATGTAACTCATGTCTTAGAGCTGCTGTAAGCCCGACACAGGGGTCTCTATCAGTCATTCCTCATCCACAGGCTTATCCACTGTTTTCAGGAGATTCTGACAAGAAATGAAGTGTAAAAACTCCCCGCAGACATCATGTGTCTATAGGGAGTACACACGTGTCAAACAAATGACTTAACACATCATCAAACACTTGATCCGATATCAATATTAGTATACTCCGAGCTGACAAATTTGGAATTTAGCGATAATAAAGTGTGACCCACGTGCATTTCACCAAGATTGTTTGGTTGATACCTCATGTCATGACATTTTTACACCTAGTCTTGATGCTTCTGTATTAATACAGGTGCAGATTAGTCGTTATGCCAACAAAGACCCTTGAGGATTAATCATTTATGATAAAAATTAGGGTTACATTCCCAGCATGTGTCTGTCAGTGTGACCGCCCCCATGACGACGAGAACTGATCACTGCCTCCATCTGGCGGACAAAACGTGAACCTCGTGTGCTCGTGCTCTAAATAGTCACTTCCTACAAGGGTAACGTGTGATGATTTTATCTACAAAACACACGCGGATGGAGAGTCCCTTGAGTGACATGTATAGCTACAAACTGCTAGGATGATAAGAACACCTCAAAGGCGACCAGGATACAGTTAGTAAAGTGAGGGTTTGTTTTGATTGCAGAAAACAGTATGAGATTTTAAGTTAAAATCTGCACCGATCAGATTGGCCGATACCGATCTAATTCCGATATAGAAAAGCTGCACATTTTGTTGTAACTTCAAGTTGTACCACCACCCCTCAGAACGTGTACTGCGCAGATATTGCAAGTCAAGCTTGTAGGCTGAGGTATTGTGATGAAGTTCAAGATAGCAGACCCCTTTGCTCGCTCCATTTTGAAAACTATGTGGGCATCCACTCAGCGTGTTTACTTGTGTATGCCACTCACAGCGCATAGCATAAAGTTAGACTGCATAGATTGGACCCTATGCATCGTACCCACTGTCACTAAACCCGATCTAGAATTTTTTTCATTATCAGGACCGATACCGACATCAAAAATCGGATCAGTACATCCCTAATTTTAAGTAGAATTAAGATTGTTTTTCAAGGCTCAACTACATTTGACACTGCACCTGTATCTAAATACTTTAAGACCTGGCCCAAGAAGCACTTGCCCAAACAGTAAATCACAACAAGAGAGGCAATTAAGACTCAAGATCTGTATTTGAGAGAGTGTGATCAAGAATCAAAAGTGAAATCGGACAATTGGGCAACAGCACATTTAACATATGATAAAAGTAAAGTCAACAAAATTTATAACAGGAATTTAACATGTTCACAAATGTTCAAGGGGAATTACAAGTGAGGTTAAGTGAACAGCATTTACAGGAGGAGACGAGCCCCACCCTCTCCTGGAACTACAAGGAACATTTTCAGTGCATTATAGTAAAGGAATGAGCATTCAGAGAATTACAATGAAGAAACTGCTGATATGATTAATCCAAGGTCACATCTTTGGCATATGAAGTGGGAACTTCACGAATATCATGGGTACAAGTATATTAAGTGTTGAAAAAAATCACATTTCTGCTAGTCCAATCTAAACAGCTAGTATTGATGGGGGTTAACCTCATTATAATTATCTGTACTATGGTCTGGAGAAAGGTGACAGAAGCCAAATAATGGCTGGATTCTTATTATGTTGAGGTCGCCATCTGCTGGACTGTCTTCCCATATTTGTACAAGCTTTCACTGACAAGTCTCTGCATCATGAAAAATGGATGTGAGAACACAGGTTGTTGGATTTTCCAAGCATGGCTAGGCTGAGGCCAGCAGGAGCTTAGTCAATAGTCCATACAATTTGTTTATTCTTGATGTTGTGGGGTTACGATTTATATATTGGACTTGTAGTTTCAACACATCACATAATATTCAAGTCATGACAGCGATCCCTGCCAAGTGTCACTCTATCCTGTTGTGGATGAATGTGTGTGCACTTCAGAAATCCATCATGTCTCCCATCTCTCCTCTTATTTTCTTCTCTTGGGACTCAGACCAGGCTTTGTTGATGGTTCTCTTCATGTCGTCGTCTCCTTCTGAGTAAATCTTCTTAAGCATGGTCATTAGGCCATCGCTGGGGTCTGCGTTGTCATCAGTACTGGGTTTGCTGTAGAGGGACAAAGAGAGTTCATATAGATGTGGAAGTCTAATTCTTGCCGTGTTTGCATACACCCCAGCTGCATGGTAAACAGTGACACCTGGCATGCTGATGTGGTATTGCACATCAGTGCAGCTACATTGGAAGCGGTCCAAACTTGATTTTCCAGCATATGCCTAATATCTGTACTTTTTAAAGTAGTGAAATCACATGAACAATCACAGTATGAACTTAATGATTCAGGAAAACTTCCCAACATGTAATGTCAGACATGGGGGATCATTCAACAGTTGTCATAACTGAAATTGCAGCTGCAAACCCCTTCAAGTGTGAATTTCTTTGACATCAACACACTTCATCAACTTACTCTTTTTCTTTAGACTGCTTCTCCACCTTTGTGAGGCACTCCCACTTCTTTGTTGCCTGCTTCTTGCACATGACCAGAACCATGTCTGTTTTTATCTATTAAAAAAGATAAGATAGTCAAAAATCAGCAAAACCTCAACACAAAACAACTATTCATTTTTGTGGCACTGGCTAAAACAACGGACATAAAAACTAGGTTTTAAAGCATGCAAGTTAAAAACAAATACTGCAATTATGCAGTATGGTTTCTATTAACTAGTTAGCTGTTGTGACCATTGCAATTACAGTTTAGAGAAAGTTCAGACTAATACCAAAATAGAGGCAAAAAAGACTGCGAAAAACCAACGGGTCCCATCCCTTTTCTTAAAAATAACTCATGAAATATTTGAAAGATTTATATCCTTAAACTGATAATTTACCTTTTTATAGCAGTCCTTCTCATCAATTGGATGCAACAGGTTGAGGACTGTCATCTGATGGTTTTTTCTATCAAGCTCCTTTACCAAAACTGAAAACGAGCTGCAAAGAAATGAGACAAATTCATTTGTAATCCCTGTGAAAGGTTATGATTTGTATAATTCTAAACTTTGTACATAATTAGGGGATTGATTCTTGTCAAACCTCTCTGTAAACTTGACCTCCACATTTTCTGATGGAATGTTGTGCACATCCTTCAAAGTGAGGTAAATTTTGACAAATTTGTCTGACTGGTCCCACGCTGTAGAGAAAACACAAAAGTGTTAATCTTAATTCTTGCTTAGACATTGTACTCACACACAAATGAGTGGTAGTTTTCACACACAATAGCGCCATACCATAGTTAGTGATTTTGACTGTATATGTTGCTTTGGAGGCAGCAGATGGGTCAGCCTCTCTTTTAGCTTGTTGCTCCTTCTGCTGTCGTTTGACTGCAAGCTCCTTCTCCACCTTCTTCTGCTCCTGTTGCAGCACTTCCTTCACTCGTTTTCTCTCTGCCTTCTCCAGGAGTGACCCCAGCTCCTGCAAATCTGCCTCCAGCTGGTTGATCTGATATTGAAAATAGAGAAAAGAACTTGTAAGAAGATCATATCCCTGAACACATATTCACAGGAGATTGATTTAGATGGTGCTCCAAATCAACAACAGTCACAATGCATGTCAACATTCACAATGTGACACACGCTCACAAAGACATGGTGAAGGCATGTGCCTGTCAATAAGCCCTTTAATGCCTTTTGTATCATATTTGATACATACTTTTATATACTTCTATCAAGTCAGTATGATCAACAAATTACTAAAAAAAACACCTGAATACAGTCTGATAAATGATAAAAATGTCCTCTTGTAGTTTATCAGTTTCCAAAAACATCTAACGTATTAAACGAGATAAAGAAATATATTTGTTAAATTTGCAGGACATTTTTTTGGTTTTCAATAGTAAGTGAAATAAACATTCCAGCTCCAAAAAAATTTAAATTTTCGGGCCATAATTTGTGGTGTCTGGCATTGAAGGGCTATGCACCTATCTGATTTATTTACATATGTATTCAAAAAATGATGGCTGTTCTTTCATAGGGATCTTAACAGTCAGTAAGGGCTGATCTTTGAAGAGAGATTGATCCCAAGTACCTCTAGAATGCAACAGCCCCTTTCAACACACATGACAGATAAAAGGGGATTGAGCAACTGACTATCTTCAGCCCCTTTGAATGATTTATTGATTTTTTACACTGACATATAGAAAACTGGATTCTGATTATAGACTGTAGATGATCCTGACTAATAAGTACTTCATAGCAACAGTCTGTTATTTCGCGATAGCACACCGTTGCCATTCAATGCCATTATACATCACATGGCACCAGCAGTCGGCCCAAGTCTAATGCCAACTCACTTAACATCACTCGTGCTAATGTATTAACGCTTGTTTAATGTAGAACCCTGGCTTAATGTTGGCTGAGGTCTCTAAACTTACATTTCGAAACAATGAAGATGAATTCCCACAAGAAATTACCTCACAACTCCAGACGAAGCTAACCCACAGCTAGCTTGCTAGCTAGACACATTCCACCGAAACTGACTTGACACATAAAAATTGTTTAAATCACGTTTTATGAAAGTTAAAATGCAAGTACAACGTACAATTAAGTATTTCGACCACTCTGCCGGTTGGCTCCCTCACTAGCTAAGTTGACGGATGCTAGCTAATGTAGCATTACTCATCGGCACACTGACAAGGTAAAAGGCAGCTTTAATTTTGCCAAATTGCCAAATGAATAAAAATGACACATACCTGTTCGGTTAGATCCATTTACGCTTTGTTTAGGCTGTTCAATAAGCTGTGTTTGAGTGATATCTGAGTCCTCTTGTCTGCACTGACCGCGGTAGTTCTCATATAAATTGAATCATGGTCCTGCTGCTCTTCTTTTTTTTAATCTTGGTTGACAAGCACACCTATAAACGCACTACTGCCATCTACTGACCTATATCAAAACACAGTACTTGTAAATGTCCTCTCACCAGGAACTTTTAAACACCTTTTCATTTTTGATCGTATTAATTGAGCCTTGATTCCATTTAGTATGATGAAATACATACCTAGGATGTTTATACTGTAAAATATGTCACTGAAACAAGTTTATTAGTGGAATGTACATATTAAAGGGATATTCCGGCATAAAATAATTTAGGGTCAAACACACCGTCACACCAAGTTAGACACCCCCTCGAGAGATGAATGTTGCCAACTGCTTGCTTCTCTAGTTAAACCAACTTTAGTATCGACCACATGATAGCAATACACATCAGTCTCAGGAGCCATACACAAACCTCAACCAAAAAGCCACTCTATAGCCACAAATAATGCTCAGAACAGCACCTAACTTCAGCAACATACATATAGAGCCCAGCCATAGCACTAGCCACCAAATATCCTTTTAGCTTTGCCTAATTTCTTAAGCAAAGAGACTAAACACAACTTACCAACTCTCTTCAGCCGCTACAGAGTGGTGTTTTGGTTGAGATTTGTGTGTGGCTCCTGAGACCGCTGTGTATTGCTATCGTGCAGTCGTTACTGACAGTGTGTTTGTCCCTAAATAATTTTAGGCCGTAATATCCCTTTAACATCCCATCCAATATTCAAGAATCACCCAGTAGCTCTTTTCATTCATACCTTATAAAACTTATTAGTGTCTGCACTTCCAAAATAAAAAGAGTTGTTCAATACATATAATGGAATTTATTTATACATTTTAAAAGGGGCAACAATGCACACATACATTTGCGTTTTGAAGCAGCTGCAGTATCACTTCCTGTTTTATATGTATATGGATATGCTATAACAAGAGGAGCAAAACAGAGAATTTGCAAAAAAGACATTAACAGGATAAATAAAACACTGAAAATTTGCTGCAGCCATCACAGTAGATTCACTTTTGACATGAATCTCCCCACTGTCAAAAGCTCCAAAGACCCCAGTCGCCTTAAGGCCAAATGTATGATAGTCAACGTCCTCATATTCTCATTTTTTCCTTTGCGATCCAGTCTGGCCATAGAATCATGGATCCCTGGTCACCATCTCGCCCTCTGAATCCCACACATCTGACTGTGGTCAGCTAAGTGTCGGAAGACAATCCTGCTCAGTCGCCACCTTCGCTTCACTCCACGAGGTCTTGAGGTCATCACACACCTGTTGCGGATTCTGACAGGGCAGCTGTCACGTGGTAATGCAGCAATTTCTTTATCTGCTACCTCCTGCAAAAATCAGATAAGTATTTCACTCTTTATTTGAAAATATGACAAGATAAATAAAACATAACTGAAACTCAACTCCAATTTATATTATTGATGATTTTATACATACAACAAAACTTCTTATCTAAAGATTTTCTCTTGTAAATAGTGTAAAAGACACAGAGTTATGATAAAAATTGTATTATGTTGCATTAGCTAATATTATTTTCTGTACCCGAAGTTCCTTTGGGAGGATAATATTCTTCCTCAGTGCATTGATCCGTAGCCTTTCATCAGCATAGTCAAAAGCCATCTGTCTTCGCTTGAGGTCCCTCAGCATCCTCCAGTCAACATAGTAACTCCTCGCCTGCTCCATCATACCCCAGCAGTTCCTCAGGGCCTGTACAGAGTTCAAGCAAACTATCAAATGCTGTTTTTATCATCATTTTACACAGCTGTACAACTGATGTGGAATTGGGGTTGTATAAATGTCTGGAGGTAAACTTGATAAAACTTGAAAAGGACAATAAAAATACTACTAGATTACACCCTCAAGTTAGCTACAAAATAAATAAACTAAGATAAGACACTAAGGTAATTAAAGATAATAAATATATCAATAAATAATTTATAAATAATAAAATGAAAATAAATAAATACAGTATAACACATGGCTGACTAAAGTAAAACACAATTTAGGGTAAAAAATAAATATACATAAGTAAATTGACTGAGGTAAGACTCAGTTAAAAGCCAGACTAAAAAGGTGGGCCTTAATTTCACTTTTAAAAATACAAACTCTCTGATATGTGCTGTCCTCAGGTCTTAAGATAGACTGTTTCACAGACGTGGGCTGTAATAACAAAGAGCTGCCTTTCTGGTCTTCAGCAGCATCCTTGTAGATGAGTTTTGTAGCAGCTGAAGCTGAAAGATGCCCATAAAGAAAAGCACTACAATAGTCTATTCTGCATGTAATACAAGCATTTTCACTGGCTTGAGAGAAAAAGTGTCGCACTTTTGCAATGTTTTACAGGTGATGATAAAGCGTGTTTTGTGGTTTCTTTCATATGAGGCTTTAAACTGAGATTTTGACCAACTATCACGCCTAGATTCTGCACTTACAAGGATTAAAAGACAGTGCTTGGAGTCTTGCATCCAGTTTTTTTTTCCTCTGAGCTCCAGTACCAATGACTAAAACCTGAGTTTTTTTCTGGTTGAGCTGTAAATAGTTCCCTGCCACCCATGATTTACCATTAACAATACACTTTAAAAGGGTATAAATTGGCCCTGGGTCATGGTACAATTCATTGCAACTATGGACAGATGTGAGGGAGGGGAGACGGTACAACACGGGTGAAGAGTTCCCATGAAACAGGTAAGAAATGACACGAGTCTGTTAACTGACAGATGTTATTACAAACTTTAGTTCCTCTATTGCTACTAGTTAGACAAGCCCCTAACCATTACGATGGCTCTGTAGATTTTGGAAACAGTGAATAACTAGTTTGTCATTAGCATAGAAGCTAACGCCAGAAAGCTAACGACCAGCTATGCTAGTTTACACCTTAAATGCTGCGTTCTCCATCTCCCAAATTTAATACGCGAAGCAGTGTTAAGAAGACATCCCAACCACCAAACAAAACATAAAATAAGTAAGTTACCTGCTTTGGTGCGCACACAGAAGAAGCAAGGACATTCAGACCCAAACATGCTAGTCTGTGGACCGCCATATTGAATGGCTGCTGTACAGAACTACCAAGAAATATGTTAAAGAGAAAAACAGCGCCACTCGACGACCGGGAGGGAAAAACTATATACAGGTTATGATCAGAAAAATCCAGTTTTCACGTCTGTGTTTCACTTACACAACTTTATTAATATTTTCACCATAAATTCGTCTTAAATGCAAATTCACGGCCCATTCTCCATTAGTCTAAGGAGTCAATCAGGATAGGAGTTTGAGTTTAGGCCCCCTGCAATGTCACTTACAGACCATCAGATGGTAGTGTTGTGATGTGATAAGACAACCACCTCCTTCTCTTGTAACCCATTAAAGGTCCCACTTCATACTAAATGTAAACCTCATGGGTGGATGAAATCTCATTGTGAAAAGCTCAAATCTGTGTTCCCCTGAGTCCAGTTACAATGAAATTTGTGTTTTTTTTCAGGAAGTCACGCAGGGAAAAACAGCACATTGTGATCTCCTTTTAACATGTGGTTCAGCAGGACACTGTTCTAAAAGCGCTTTGGCACATAGATAAAATTAACAACAGCCTTAGAGTCCGGCAGTTATTCATGTGGAGTTGTAAAAGGACACCATACAGATGCTACTATTCGTAAAACTTACATTTGAAGTATAGCTAGTCACACGCACAACATTCAAATCACTATGGGTGAGTGATATGTTTTTGATTAATGAAAACATCGGGGATTACTTAATTTTAACTCAAGGTCAAAAAAAATTCCTTGTCCTCTATTTTTCTGGGTTAGACAGCAATGGATATTTACAAATCACTTTCACTGTAAAATCACTTGGCTGTCAGCCAAGAAAAATAGCTTCTGTTTAGTTTTGGAGATCCTGAAAAAAAACAGCGTCGTTATTTAACAGCAGTAGTATATCATACTTGATCCACTTTGTGGCCCTCAGTTTGTTCTGGCTCATACTTCAAACTAGGTGAGCAAAATCTCTGAATCTCTCCGAATTCTTTTATCTCCATTGTGCAGAGATGTCACAGGCTCGAAGAGATCTGAAAATAATCTTATTTGTTTTCATGTATTGTGAAATGTATGATAAATGCCTGGCTGCAAGTTTCTGTCAGCAAAAGTAAAACTCCGATGACAATATACCTTTCAGCTGGTCAACTGTAAATGTTCTTTCATTACATTATTGACAACTTGACTGAGGCCAATAACAAGCATTTTCATACCTAATTATGTAAATGTCAGACTTTTTGAGGATCAGGCATTATGGTTCATAAATACATGAAGCAAATTTTGGAATGGGGAATCAAATGAGGCATCAAAAAGAATATGTGAAAAGTAATTATAATTAGCACTGGAACATCATTAAAACAGAGTAAACATTTAGGAAACTAAACTAAAGGCAGCTTGAAGAGGAGCCCTAAGTGCTTTATAAAGCTGACCAATGTTGACATTACGATTGGTTAATTGATGGCATTGCAGTCTCTTGTCAGTTCAAATTAATTGACAAACTGAGTGTAAAGGTTGTGTTCCCCAACAGCAGTGTGGTTGTCCGTCCTTTAAGAGACCAAGGATCTGGATCACAGCAAAGACATAAGAGATCCAAGGACAAGCTTAAAACTGATGTGTCACTGAAAAAAAATATTGGATTATTTTATGGCAGAGCAGAAAGGTAGCTTCTGGAGAATACACATAAAAATGTAGTTACCAGTATAATACTTGCAAATTTCTCTGGTATGAATCCCATTGTCGTCAACAAGCCTGTATACATGGACTGCCTGTTTTTCATTCATTAAAGTCTATACCATCTATATAGAAACCTTCAGTGGCAACACTGTGAAGCAGATGCAGTGTCCTTCATAAAGCTCTAAAGTGAGACTTGTTCCCCCCATGTGGCAAACTGAAACTGAAAGAAAACACTCTGTTTCTTCTAATAAACACCAGATAGACAGCCATCGGCAACTAACCGGCCTCTCTGGTGTTCATCAGCTCCAAATTCTGTTATAGCACTTAGGTTTTTCTTTCAGGGCGATTATAGTAAACAAGGAACTTCTGAATGAACAAATATTTGGCTGTTTTCCAGCAGACTACATGGGGATGAAAATGTGGTCATTTTGGATGCTTTAGTTGGACACAATACTTATTTCTGAGGGAGGGGAAGTGCATAAACACTTTTTTTGTGATATCTTAATATTAGATATAAGGAAAAACATGTAGCATAGGGGTCAAAGTAGCAAATCCAAACATACCATTGTATTTCAATAAATCATACAAAGCCCACCTAATCAAGAAGCACTAGTCAGGAGTCAAAAAGTCGTGACATATGTTTTTATAAAACTTAACAGAGCTCAACTTTGGAGAAAATGTGATCTTAGCTGAGGTCATGGTTAGAGCATCGCACCACATCTCAGCGTGAACTCCTCTGGTGTTTCAAATATTTGATACCCGTTTGGGTGCAGTCATTTCCAGCTGCCAAAACAAAATATTCCTTCGATTTCTATAACATAATATTATATTATATGGACCCATAATGTGATGGAATTTAGAAGAAACTGGGGTGTCACGCCTCTTTGGATGAGCTGGATCCACTGGAAAGACTGGAAAATATCCACAGGCCTAAAAATTGTGATGGTCATTCCAAATAGTTGATACAAACACATGTTTTTTTACTTTAAAAAACAACATGACTATCTGTGTATTCTCTGTGTAGGCAACACTTTTACCATCTGTCAGTTGGAACGAATGAATTCATTTCAGGTGAATATAAAATCCTCCTTTGCATTCGCCTTTGTAGCAAACTTGAACAAACAAGATGATGAAACAAGAACAGATAGAAATAAAATCAGCCAGTATTCCTCTAACTCAATAAAGTTGACAAACCTCTCAACATGTTGTAAATTTCACAGCAGAACCCCATTTTCTAGGCTTACAAGTGGAGTTTCATTTTATTATGTCTCATATAGAATTTGGCCTGTAAAAAGAAGTGAACATATGTTAAAGTATTTTAAGGTGCTTTAATGAATCAATGACAAAGCAAACCATTCAGACTGGTCTTGGAAACTCATACAGTCCTGAATGTCTAAACATTGCAGAGGTGCATGTTGGGAAAAAATAAGTCAGAAAAATCATAATAAAAATATCTTTTATCACTGTTCATGTTTAAAAGAGACAGGCTGTTGAAATGAATCCTAGACAGTCTTTTTCTGCATCAGTGTTTCTTTTATAGGACATTGAAGGCTGTCTCGTTTTAGGAACTGCATATTGTTGTGACATTATTTACTCACAAGTCTTTGCCCGTTATGACACATTCACTGACACATCAGTGTGGGAACTCCTTGTTTTAGTAATGAGTGTCCATTTAAAGCAGATACAGATCATTTGGTGGGAGGCTGTGACCTGAGTGAGTCAGAGGTCTCTGCTTTCCAGACCTCAGGAATGCCCAGAATCCCCCCTGGGAGGAAGAGAGAAAAAAGAGTGGGAGAAAGAGAAAGAGAGAGAGAGAGAGAGAGAGAGAAAGATACAGAAGTCAAATATTGTGAATAATTTAATGGTATTTTGAAGCATAAAATGCATAAAATACAAAAATGGGAAACTTTTCTTAGATTTATCATTTCATATGCAAAGCTGATTTATCAAAACTTGTGGTCATAAATTTTAACTAGACATATAGGAAGGTAAAACTAAAAAGTTTGTGTATGGTGATTGGAGTTAATATATCTTTATATTTAATGAGGAAGAAACACAGTCTTAGAGAATTTATAATGCCTATATCTCCTTCTTACCAAGACTGCAAAAGTAAAATCATTTGATATATTTGTGCAATTTTTATTCATCTTTTATTCATAGTAATGATGATTTTTTTAAGTCTCTAAATTTTTAATATCCTTGAAGTAGTGTTTGTCAACCACTTTAAATTTTTATGGAAAACAGTGTGGGCATCACTCATCGGCCTGGTTGTCTCACTTGTTTTATCATCCTCTTGCAGTGCAGATTGGAAATATCCTAAATATTATCAATCATAAAATTGTAAGACTCTGAACTGGGTCATTTGGTAAAGTGAAAACAATGAGACTCATCTGCAGATCTGCTGCTCTCACTTAGCTGGTGGGGGTATTTAATAAAGCCAGTGACTCTTCTGCAAATTTAGGTTCATTATTTAAATCAAATGTTTGATACATATCATCGTAAGGACAAAAAAAAAAAGAAGCTTGTTAGGGTTTTGTCTGTCAGAGGATGTGAATTCCAGTGCGCAGCCTAAACTACATGTGCGTGACTGTAGTTAAAGGCGTTAGCTTAAATGTTGAGAAAAGCAGAAATACTGAAAAACTGCAAAATCTGAATACAAACGAGTCAGGAGCACTGGAGGGTGGAGAAGAAAATAAAAGAAGCAGGTGGGGGGGCTGGATACCAACACACATCTGTGATTATACTCAGTCAAGGGACCACCAGGGCTTTAGGAAGTGTAGTCCACAAGCTTTGAAAACAAATATTTCATGACCCTGGAGAATCAGGTAAAGAGTAACTCCCTGTGCTATTTTACAAAGCGGAAATCATCTTTTGTCTGTGTTTGTGAACCTTTGTTTTTTGAGGGCTTCATCTTGTCATGTTTGTGTTTTGATCATTTTGAGCTCTGTTATAAACCCCCAATAAGACAACTAGACTAGAATAGTATGGTACTTATTTCTAACTGTCACTTTACCTGTATGGATCCAGTGGGTCTTGTTGTTCTGTTAGTCCAATCTTTTCAATTTTATCTAATCAAATTTTGCACCAAGGTTTTTTCCTTTAGAAGAAGGTTAAACTTTTTTTTTATTTTCAGTCCACAAATCAAGCCTCAAAAACTAGACAGGATTTTTATCCTCCCAGATTAACATTCTGGACCAAACACAGCATGACTCTGATTATAGGAAAACCGAACTTTACAAGGCCAATTTAGAAAAAAGACCTTCTCACTATATCTTGATTTTATGAAGAAAACAACTGAACCAGCAAAATTGATAAATAAATAATTTTAAAGAAGCACTGTCTTTTGAAATGATATTCAATACATTTAAAGCTACAGTGAGGCACTTTCTGTATATGTCAGTTTTGGCACCCCCTGTGGACAAAGCAGTCTTTACCCTCTACATGCTTAGGTATGCTACATCCAGCATCCTTAAGCTTGGAATAATCTTTGACTCTGACTTCACATTCCAACAGTGTGTTAATCACACTACCCAGGCCGTCTTCTACATTAAAGATTTCACCCGTCTCCGACCTTCACTCTCCTTCTCCACTGTTGAAACTCTGATCCATGCTTTTTGATTGATTACTGCAATAGCATCTTGTGTGGTTCACCCTCCACAATTATCAATAAATTATAATACATCCAAAACTCTTCTGCTGGCCTCCTCAGTGACCATATCATTCCAGTTCTCCAAAACCTCCAATGGCTCCCTGTTCACCCATGCACTCAGTTCGAAATCCTTCTCCTCACCTTCAAAGCCCTCCATAATCGGGCCCCCTCCTACCTCACTGACCTGCTCCACCCCTACACTCCTTCCCGCTCCCTCCGATCCACACACCCTAACCTTCTTACCCCTGTGGTGAGGACCAAGCACCAAACATGGGGGGGTCCGGGCCTTCTCCATAGCTGCCCCATCCCTCCAAAACTCTCTCCCCAAACACATCCTGGACTGTACCAATATATCAAAGTTCAAATCCCTCATCATCCTGTTCAAATCTGGTTTCAGTTGTTAATGCGAATGTATTTTAGCCTGTCTTTGTTTTTATTACTACTGTGTTTTTTTCCCTGTAAAGCATCTTTGAGTGCTATGAAAACCTCTATATAAATAAAATGTATTCTTCTTCTTCTTATTATTATTATCATTATTGATTTTGAAAAAACTCTCACCCTGCTGACTTTTGACAGTCAAATTAATCATTTATAATGTGTATTTCAGGTGAAAACTATGGAAACAGAGCTGCTGTAATGCTGCTTGGCTGACTCCTACCCCTTTGAACTAGTTTTAGGTAGTAAAAATTAGGGTAAAAAATCTCATCTGTCTTGCAGCTGATGGTTTTGCTTGCTTTTCTGTATCACAAAAATGTGTTATATGAATTTCAGCCCATTCTGTAAAGGTCAAAAAACTTCTCAAAGGAGCTCTAATGAAGTAAAATATGTTCACAGAGAGCATGGTGTTGACTTTTAATGACTAAACCATGCATGTAAGATGATCCCACTTTTCATACGTATTTTAAGATGAACAATGCCCCAAATACAGGTCAATAAAGTATTAGAATTTTTGTGAAAACTGAGCCAAGATCAGTGAATACAAAGTGCTCAAAGTGCGTGACTTTTGCTCTCGTCTGGTGAGTCCCAGAGATCAAACATGCTGGGTTATGTCAGCCAGGAGGGCAGGAGGGTCACATCTCCACACAGAGTCCCGTTACAGGATGACAGGACCTGGAGGACTGGTATCCACATCAGTCCATGCAGGAAGCATCTCTCACAGCTGTTGACACCAGCTCATCAGCCAGACTGCAGCTAGACTCAAACTGTCTTGTTCAATATGTCAATGCGCTTTAGTGTCTGCATGCAAATGAACAAAGACCCTTTAATTATCATTGTGGTTGCAGGTTTTTAAGCTTAGTTTGTCAACAGTGAGGAACAAGAAAGTCTAATTTAGTGCTTTATTTTTTGTAGTTTGTTTTATTGTGGAAAAGGTTGAGACAAAAAATGTATTCAGGCTTTGTGGTTAACAGCTCCGAGTTCTTAAAGTCGTGATCTGAAGCAGATGTGTGCAAAAGACCACAGCAGTTTTTTTTCTTTTAAATATAAAACGTCTGTAAGTCTTTATGCCATCTAATGAATCGGAGACCACATTAAAAATAATCTTTAAAAACAATCTGAAGGCCATTTGTGATTGCCATTACAGTAGTTGAACAACATTGGTGGATAATAATGACCTCTTAACAGATCATTTCTGCACATGTGTCAACTTTGATACTGAGGCTGCCAAAAGAAACAAACAAAAAAAATCATAAAACTCAGATGTGGTATGCATTTAAGATAACTAGTACCAGAGAAGCAGATTGCAGTTGATGTAAAAGTGCATTATATGTGTCCCAAAGCTGTTTTCATGTGCACAGTGTGGTGAGCGTAAAAAAGCTGATTGCACAACAAGGGTTTGAAACACTTACACCAAACCTCCATATGGCACTGGTTTATTTCCCCAGAATAACTCGTGCAGATTTATCTACACTGCGCACTCTAATCTGATCTGCTTTCCAGCAAAGTCACACACGTTAAGTTTACACCAGTTCAGAATATAAAACAGCTCCAGAGACATTTCACAAGTATAAACACACAGAAAGTAACATCAGTACCCGGTTTGGACCATGTTCTTCTAATCTGATCATGACACTTCCATCTAAACAGTGAGAGGACATTTTGTCACTATTTTTAAATGTTTGGTTGTTTTTTCACTGAGATGGAACATTTTCATCTTGGGTATAATCTAGTCTAATAACCCCCAGACAGATAAGCCACACATCTAGTCAAACATATGCCATGTGCTGGATTTCTAAGGGTGCTTGGACCTGTCTGTCAAGTCCTGTTGTACTTTCCCTCCAGATCTAATCAATTAAGCAAATCAACAGTTTCCAGATCCACATGGAAACACACAATCAGTGATGTTTGGTTGTCTTCACCACAGTTAGCCAGTGTGTGATTAAGTCTACCATATAGTTCAAAGAGTATGCTTAATGTGTGCCTTGTATATTTACTTGAAAGGATCCTTTGAAGGATTACGGTTTAAGTTATGACGCTGCTGTTTCATTCAGCAGACACTTATGTTGAAAGCAATGTACATCTGAGAATAAGTCAAATGCAAGCGAGGATGTAGGCACGAGGGAACAATGGGAGTGCCGTTTCGAATCCAATAGGACACAGGCTCTTACATGCAGCACTCGAGGCCATTCACAGTGTGTATAGGAGCTGGTTTGTATTGTTAAGATTTTTTTGTTTAAGGTACTGAGAGTGGTTGTTTGAGGACATATAGACATGCGGTAGACATGAATATCTGATGCCTTCAGAATGTATTTACCACATGTGCCCAGGTCATCCCAGGCTGTAGGCTCTATCACGGCATGGCGTCTCTCACAGACACAATGGTAAAGTCTGTTTTTTTTTCTAAAGAGAGTGTTTTGGTTGGGTTTGTGCACAAAAGCTCATTGTTTCGTATAAGTGAGGGAACTCCACGTACAAGTGCAAGAAAAACATCATGGGGACATAAACTGCCTCCACAGTGTCTTAAATTTTGCACAAGACTCAAACTCTGGTATTTTGCATTGAATGACTTAAAAAGCTTTTTGACAGCTTTATAGCTCATTGACTGTCAAAACACAAAACCATAAATTCTGCAAGTGCTTACATTTGATTTTAATTTGAAAATTTTCCTTGTTTCCCCTTTTCAAGAGTCAGGAACAGCCAAGAGACTAGCAACTTAGCCTAGTTGATATACTTGTGCTCGAAACACAGGTCTTTGGCATAAATGTCTTGCAATGGCAATCTTTTTGATATGATAGAACTTTTTCTTTTTCCCTGTAGTAAAGTGGGGAAGATTGGCTGAGTAAATAACCCAGATGAACCGCATTCAAAACCGTATGTCTTTATGCTAAACTAGGCTTACCTGTTGCTTGCTTTGGAGTTGTGCTCACCATGAATGCACTGATCACACTTTTAAGTCCTGATACTGACAACTCGTCTTTGGTATTGACTAAAAACTCATTACATCTGGCCTTGCTACAAGTAACCTGTAAGTAATTGCATGTCATTAGGCAGCCTAATCCCTGCATGTAAACAATGCCTGCAAGCTCTTACATATGGTTGTTCTAATGTCAAATATATAAGCATCAGGGGGCTGGTATTTATCTTGGCAGGAAGGACAAACAAGTTGATGGTAACAAGCTGCAGCGGGCATAAAGAGTTTCCTCTGAAATCTTGAATCTGCTCAAAGGAACATATTTCGAGGAAAGATTAAGATATTATAGCAATGCTCTTTGCCTCAATAGTTAAGCTACTTTACTTTTACAGCTTCAATTCTTTTTTCTATCAGTTTTCTCAATTTAGTAAGATTGATGTTGGTCTCTTTTCATAGCTTCATTCAAGATTTAACAGTCCTTATGGGCCCTACTGTGTCTCAACTGAGCTTTTAGGGATGCTCCTTAAACACCCCTCTTACAACCAACTATCTTCAATTAAAAGCACATTGTCAATTATCTAACAAAGTACTGGTGATTCATGCAGTTTACCTGCTTAGATGTTTCACCAACATCACGTATTTACTGTCATAACTGGTTACTCAATATTTTTTATGAATGGACAATCACTGTCAAAAAAAGAACATCTCTATCCTGTTACTGATTTTCTCTTCAGGAAGTCCATTGTCTTCTTTTATTGAGGCTGACATCTGGGCTCTAGTTATGAAAGAAAGAGTCCTAAAATAAAGAGCATGGGAAAAATGTAACCCAAATCAGCTTCCAACCTAATTGAAAAGTAGAAGCTATAGTGGTGTCTGGGGCCAGTATTTCCCACTGTCATTAAGGGAACATGAACAAGCACATCTGGTATTGTTATTTTACAGCCAACCAGTAATTTCCAGTCATGTTTTGGATGTGTGAGTTTTAAATCTGTCAGAATCAATTACCAGGGTAATTTTTTGGAAATGTAAGTGTATTTGGAGATTTTCTCATTCAGCATTTGACAGCAAGTGTGTAACAAAGAAAGAAAGAGGCTTTTTCCTGGCATGGAGTATCAGAGGGGCTACTGTTGGATATTTATAACCAAAGGTGCTTAAAATTGAGAAAAGAGTTCCTCACTGGGAAGGAAGACTCATTTCCAGATCTGTGACGATGCCCTATATGCAGATAGTTATGGTTTGGTTTTAATGAAGACTCCTAGGGAGTAACAGACAGTGAAACAAACCAAGTCCAGGCTAAACCAATGGGGATAGACCATTATACACACAACTGTTGACCTTCTGCCTTGTCATTCTCTGGAGTTTGATGCCAGAAACACCTTCATTCAAAATCTTCAGATTTACAGTCTGCTTTTGCTGTGGTGGAAAAAGGTTGGAGGGAAGGTTCGGAGGGGTGGGGTTACTTTTTTCACAGAGAAGAGTACAGACATGCAACCCATTCAAGTAAACGTAACATAAAAGTCATCCCGCCGTGAAGAGTTCCGTTACATCTGCTGTTAGTGTAGGGTACGATTCCCGATTCCCAGCACTGGGCCGAGAGCTACAAGCCCTTACAATGGAGACGCTTATGTTTCCCTGAATATGTGGTTACACGCATGAAAAGTTTTCTCAGTGTCGCATGAAGCACTGCGAATGTCATCACCTCCAAACAGCATGTCTGAGTGACTGATAAGTGAATGAAGGATGTTCAATGAGCCAATCTGACGTTTACAGTGTTTTTAGTGTTCAGTTGACCAGAAAGATCACCATCTCACATTAGTAATAACCAACAAAGTTGTTATATTTAAAGCATTTGAGAGGGTCAATGGATTGATTGATAACATAGGGACTGAGAGATGGGAATAATCAGTTTTAGTTTTTACATTTTCATGCCAAGTTTACCAATGAACTGCAGTCAACTTGTTTCAAGAATCTAGGTTGTTTTGTTTTCCCCAAAACTGAGATGTGTCCAACCAAACCACAGCAAGCTGATGTGGAAATACCTTTTTGATTATGCCATTGTCTCTAAAATATATCAAGATAATAAGGATAGTTGCCAGCAGAAACAGAAACCTAAGTTGTTAAAAAAAATTGTTTTAATTACTGATAACAGATTTTTTGTAATGATTGGTCTAAAAGTGGTTATAGGTGTCCATGTGTGTGACTGCATACCACTTGACCAGCCTGGAATGGGTTTTCCAGTGTTCTGTCATTTGGTCCAAACATTTGAATCTGATTTCATTTAAGCAAATCCACAGCAGCACATTTTTCTGCACTTGTACGAAATAGACTCAGGCCTAATTATAAGCTGATGTAGTTTGTAGTCATGTTGTCATCTATTGGCCTTTCTTTCCTACACTTAAAATCGTGCATAGTTGTGATTAAGAAAGTGTAAGATATATGCATCTTTGTAATACATTCTCCACAACTAGCACAATATTTTATTAAGTCAGAAATTGAAATTTTGACAAATGAACAACTTTATAGACAGAGGAACAATCAGAAAACAGTGTGACACAGTTAATTTAATACAGTTTAATGAAGGATAAGTGAGTCAAACTGTTTTGTAAAGTGTTGTAAACATTTACCTGTCCTCCTCACAGGTTAATGTTCACGCCCCTGCACTGGTTTTGCACTACTTAAGTTCAAGTTCTAGTTGACACAGACAAAGCTAGCATACAAGTGCACCTCTATTCTAGATCATCCTGCCAAACCATGCTGCATGAGATGCATCTTGATATCTGGGCTTGTTTACATCTGGGTAATACAGCATTACATAGCCAGGGCCAAACAGATTCCCTCTATTCTTCCAAATGACTTTTTTTGTCTTTTGTATGAAGCCGTTTAGCAAATATATCAAATACAGTGAGTGAGAACTTTTTCTATTACTGAGTTCAAAAGGAAATAAAACAATTGTTCTTTATCTTCCTCACGTATTCTTTTTTCCCCTCTGTAAAATTCTGATTCCAGGAGCTTTTTTAAGCTCTTATCTGTCAGAGTTACTGTCACACTTGATGTTGATCCTTTCATTATTTCTTTTGATGCAGAAAGCATAGAGCTTTGTTCTTAATAATAAAAATCTCTCCACATGAAAAGGCGAATTCAGTGCAACTTAATCTTTAATCTTTTGAGTCTTTGTTCTCTCTCTGTAGTATAACTTAAAATATCTAATCTCCATAGGTGTCTGACAACAGAGATGGGTAAGATGTGTATAAAACTTAGCCAAAAGATCAAGTCTGCAGCTTCACTGTAAATAAATTGAATTTCTAAGGCAGCTTGTTTACTTCCACAGGAAGTGTAAATTCTCTGTAATAACTGTGTCATCATTAAGCATCTGGCGACCCATTCATCTCTGTCCCGGTATGGTCCAAAGAGCAGTTTGCCTCTGAAAGCAGAAGGGACATTTCTGCAGGATGACAGATAGTATCTTTCAAGAGTTATGTTGCTGTTCAGAGCCAACAATTTCATCTTTGTTTGTTTTGCTTTCTTCTAAAAGCTGGAAAATATGCTCAAATGAAACACCTCATCCATCTCAGACTTACTTGTCATAAAAGTGGCATCATCAAGGAAATAAAAATAGCAAAGTTTACAAGGACACCATACTTCCAAGCGGCTCAAATAGATAAATAAATAACTTATAATTAGCTAATTAGCTAATGTATTACTCACTGGTGCGGTGTAGACTCTTGGGCTTGGATAGCTTGGTGTTTGCATGTTTCCACTCTCCTCTCCATGTCCCTCTCAACACATATGGTGATTTCTGGCACCAGAATCGCAGTCAAGAAACCAATGGATGAGCTCACAGTGGCTTTGTTCTTTATTTGACCTATGGTTTTACCCAACTGTTCAGTTCCCAAGCGATTTCGTTTCCATTTCTGAACTTCTCTTGGTTCATTTTAACGACTTCCTTTGGATCAGACTAAAAACTCTCAAAAACTCATTGACTATACACCAACTATCCAGAAATAAATCATGGAAAAGCAAAGTTAGAGGCCACCTTCTTAAACTATTGTAGAAGTCAAACTTATGGGTATAATCTGTTTGTGTTGAGTAACTTTATCTATGTATATCAGGGTTGCCATGATTTCAGATTGTCACCTCATGATTGTCATGACCACAAAATATTCCATAAATGAAATTACTGCAATATTTTTGATACATTTCAAAATTAAACAACACAATCAGTCAAACTGAGAAAAGGCAAGACAAGGCAGGAGATGCACATCACTTCATAGATCTTACTAATAAACACAATTTACTTAGATGTCACCTAACCATGTTCAAATTTGTAATTATTCCCATCACAAACCCTGTGGTTGGAGTAAAAATTGATTCATAAATGATTGTTTGTCATGCTGTTATTTATTTTCTGTTTTGCTTTTAAGTTGCTTTGTTACCCATGTTGTAAAATTATGCTTTTATTTTGAAGTATGAGCTTCTTCCTGCAGATCTGAATAAAAAAAAGAAAAGAAAAGAAAGGAATGGTTAAAAACTGTGATTTTATAATCGGTTTGGAATCCGAAATGTTGTTTTTGGATTCTCAGCAGGTATTTGAATGTGAGTTATTAAAAGTGTCAAATCATCTTAAGGGCCGCGACAAATGAGCTTCCTAGCTGCCGCTCATCTTTTACCCATTTTATGACCTGAGGCAAACAACACAAAGAATTGCCTCACAGTATTGCTTATTTTTAGCACATGTAATATTTATTTTTTTTATTAAAAAGATGGTTTATTGTCAATATTGGTGTATTGGGACAGCCCTGGACCCAATTAAATTAGAAAATAAATAATAATAGCAACAGATCTAGGGACATTCTGAATAACTAAAAAAACATTAAAAAAGAGCCTAATTCATTTTGCAAGTGTAAACTGGATCATCAAGTTCACACAATATTAAATTGGTTTCCTGACTGTGGATAACATAGTAGTACCAGCACCAGCAGCCTTCAGTCATCTGTGCATGTGAACTGGTTACAGATTGCCCCAGATTGAGTAGCTTTATGCCAGTTGAGCCAGAAACAGCCTACAAGTAATCCTTTTCCCATAGTCAAGATCAAAATACTGCTAAAATGTGTCACAGTTCAAGATGCCATCTGTCATGGCATGCCATGTGTCCTTGTTTAAATCCGGGTAGTAGGCCTCTCTGGCATTGCGGCAGCAGTTTTGAGTTTCTGTCTTAAAAATGAATTACTCAAATTGCTCAGACTTGTTGATATGTTTAGGTGGCTCATCATTGTACACATGATCGCTTAAAGCCACTTCCACTTGTAAAAGAAAAGACAGAAGAACCAAAATAACTATGGTTGTTGAATCTGTCAAACAATCAAAGTAATTGTTCATGCAACATTTGTCTCTGTACAAACAACCACACCTGGCCCCTCAGCTTCAGCTCCTGTTTCACTTGAACGATCCAGACTCCTCTGTGTTCCTGCTGAAATCCGAAACCTTTCTCATATATTTAGAGACAAACAGTCACTGTCAGCTGAAAGTATTGCCAGCCTTGACACCGGGGGTCTTCTGTCATGGTGGTCGACAGGGATATGCGTGTTCTGGCCCTATTTGAACGCATGCGTTTAGTTGCCTGCGTTATTTCAATTTCAGTGTAAATATACATGCAAAACTGAAACAGGGCATTGTTTTCTCTTTTTTTCATGCTTTAAAGTGATCAAAGGCGGTAAACTTTTACCGGGACACTTGTGGTTTTTCCGCTGCCTTGAAGGAGTTAGCCTGGTATTCCTTCTTAACAGCGTGCTTCCTGGTGGCCTGTTTTCACAAAACATTGCGGAAAGAGTTGTACATGAATGTGAAATTAAGTCAAGATTCTTTGGTGTCTAGCTGCCAATCATCCAACCAACAATAATTGTTCCGAAGAATTCTTTTGATTATTATCACCATCCTCAGAACCAAGAAAACACCCGGAAGGTTTTACTTCCTTGAAAATGTGGAGTTCCTTTGTCTCTGGTTTATTGCAATCTGTATCGCTATTGTTTTCATCTGAATGAACTCCAAATTTGCCCTGTGATTGTTTACTATTTTGGTTTTAAAAATAAGGTGTAGTGTAAGAAAAATGTTACCCAGTGGTCCTTCTCTTCTAAAGTGACTCTGTGTTTGTTTTGGCTTCTATTTGCTCCTTTGAATCCAACCTTTATCCAGTTTCTTTGGTGTTTTAGGCCCGGGCCTTCTGCTAGAAAGATTATTTCCAGTTTTCTCTGCTACCACAGGCAGGTAGGAAAAAAACTATTTTAGAAGATTTTCAAGGCAGTGAGGAAGAAAGGTGAGAGGCGTGTTTATAGGTGGACTGCGCTTCACTCAGGGGGAAAAGTGTGGTAAATACTGCCCATTATCTCCCCCCTCCTCTTCGTCCTTTCCCTTTGCATTCAAACACTTAAGGAGAGGAGGAGAGGAGACACTCCCAAACTGGCTGCCCATTGGCGTATAGGCATTTGGGGGAGATTTTAACAGTTGAAGAGGGAGGGGGAGAGCAAAAGTCACAGCCACTGAAAAGGTCTTTGAATCATTGGTCTGGGCCTGTCAACAGGTGGCAGAGGGAGAGGCTCGGTGACGCTCAGCTCTTCAGAGAAAAGAGAAAAAGAAAGAGAGGAGAGGAGGACAGACATCAAGGAAACCCCCAAGGGTAAGGTCACTTTTTGCTGTACAGAATCTGACCTTGATTTGTAACTGTCTCAATATTTCTTTTATTGTATGATGTACTTTACTAATAATTTGACAGTTTTGTTGAGATTTATTCATTTCAGTGTACTTTTTGCAGCAGTCAGCTGTTTGGTGCAAACCATTTAAATTTAGACCCAGAGAAATGATTTTGATACGAAGAAAATATGAATATGAAGAAAACACATTCTTTTAAAGTTATATATTTAAAGTTGCAATTTCTGTTTAGCTAAAAAAAAAAAGCACAGTTGTTCAAGACCCAGAGAGTATAAAAAATGATTTTGTCTCCTGTGGCACTCTTTTCCTGTGCCCTCTGATATTTGTCATGCTCTAGTCTGCCTCAACTGTACTCTTTCCAGCTTTTCTTTCTTTTCATTCATCTGAAGTCCCCTAGTTTAGCTTGACACCTGGAATTTATAAAGTGTCCCAGCACTGCAGCTTATGATAAGTTTGGGTTCGCATAGCAGAACTTCCAAAGCTGTGGAATTGTTGGTCTGTGATAAATTTTGTAAAGTGGGACAGAAAAACCCACTGAATCAAACCGTGAAGTAAGATTGACATGTCTCTCTGCACTCACAGTAACCCTTAATAGGATTTGGTTTTCTGTAAAGAAGAATACACATATCGTTTAACCAAGTATTATATTGATATATTTGTATTAGTGTTTATTTTTAGGCTAACTTTTTAACCTGTAAATAACCCTCTTAGGCCAAATATTGTGTTTTTATTCTACAGCGGGAGATAACAGATATGTATGAAAGATAATGTGCTAAAAAAAACTCTCATCTTTTTTTTTTTTAATTATCGTTTATTGATTATTAAAAATTAACAATTTAACAATTTAAATCACCTACACCTCACAGATCATGTCATGTCGGGATCACTGCTTGTTAAAACTTCCAAATAATACCATCCAGAAATATTACAATTTTATCTAACATGGAGCAAGCTGGTTGGCAGATTTATAAATGCTTAGACCATTTTATATAAATCAGTAGAGTTATATCCCCCTTTGGAGGAGCAATGACAGGCTTAAGTTTCTGCAGAAAGGTATTGCAGCATTATTTACAGCTTGTTTTCGGTTGATACCCATGCTGTATCAAGGTTGATCCCGTTGTCTATCAGCAAAGCTACCAGCACTAATTTTCTCCATGATAAATATTTATATTAACTATGTGTTGGGGTGACAGATATTCTCACAGGGCTGTTGATCCAGTTGATTTACTTCTAATGCTACTGTGCTGGCCCAGGGAATACGCAGAAGCTCTCCAAAATGAGCTACAGATGTGGGCCCTCAGCCATGCAAAATGATAGAGGGAGGAAAGTGAGAAAGAGAGAGACAAAGAGAGAGAAGGGAAAGAAAGAGAGAGAGGCAAATGTTCATATGCCCCTGAGTGGGTGGCTTATAAGTGTTCAGATAACATAGTGTGACTCCTTTCATGGACTTCTCATAACTCACTTCTTTCATATAATTTTACTGATTGAAAATACCCCTGGGTACATAAAAGCTACTCAAAACACATTTTTGTTATTTCAAAGACTTATCTCTGTCTGGAACGTAGACTGGGTTATTAATGCTTGGCTCGTGTTATTTTATTTTATTTTTTTGCTTGGTTAGCTTTCAATATGACAGCCAAACTGCAGGGGAAGCGTAGCTCTACAGTTCTTATCGAGGTCTGCTTGTGGTCTGTATGGCAGCAGGAGGCAGACAGAATCATGAAGATATGAGCTCGGCTCTCAGACGATAATTGCTTTCAGGCTTGTTTTATTCATTTTTGTGTGCCTGTTCTGTTTGCAAGCCACTGCAGAGGGGGGAAAGAGGAAGGGGAAATGGTATGTCCACAAGTTCAAAACCGCACATAAAGGCACAACCTCTCTGCTCCCTTTTTTCAAACCCTCACTTCATCGCAGTCTTAGACTGTCGAGGTTTGGTCCAATGAGATTCGTCTTGTGTCGAGGCCTGGCAGAGCAGTCAGCATTTTGTCTCTTAATGGTTCTCTAGAGAGGATGAGGCGGACTGACCAAGTTTCCATCATTTTCCTATCTCCTTGTATACGTCTGCCTTTCCAATACAAGGTACAACTGTTTGTGGTGGTCTCCCCTTCTTGTTCTCTGTTGACGTCAACCTCATTTTACAGCAACCGCTGCTAAAAAGTAAACAGAGAATTTTAAAAAGGCAGACACACAGACGTGTCCTTGCAAACCTCTTGTGAAAGACCTTGTCTGTGGATCCAGACAGTATTATCTGTAGCTGATTAAGCTGTTGTTGTTACTAGCAGGAAAATGCCTCCTGAGGTAACAACAGCAAGCTTTGTAGGCTATAAATGAAAGTATAAACACACATACTGTACACACATGCACTTTTTTCTTCCATATAAAAGAGTGTGCACACATCACAGGTAGTCCACAAACATTTCACAAGCCTATTGACATAGCTCTTCTTTGAAAGAGAGGGGTTATTGTCAGGGAGGAATTTTTAACTGTGTTTAAGGACATGTTGGATTTTACTTGAGAAGCTTTGAAAACCAGGTTGAAATGCCATCTGTATGGGCCTTGTGCCGAGAGAGGACTGGACTGAAGGGTTCTGTTTTCCTGCTTTATCCTGCTGTCTTGCTCATGTTGATTAATTTCAGTCGGTGGTTTCATATTATGAATTTTCTGGACACAGATGCAAAACCAGAGTTCAATTTTTTTTTTTTGCTGTGTCCAGCAAATGGGAGTCAAAAACTGAGTTAGTGTTTGGTGAAGAATGTAAAACTGATCATCCACATACACTATTGGCAACTATGAAAAATCTATCTATCTATCTATCTATCTATCTATCTATCTATCTATCTATCTATCTATCTATCTATCTATCTATCTATCTATCTATCTATCTATCTATCTATCTATCTATCTATCTATCTATCTATCTATCTATCTATCTATCTATCTATCTATCTATCCATCCATCCATCATCTAGTCATTCATCCACCAATCTCCATCTATCTATCAACTACCTACTAATCCTCTATTCTTCTGGCATCCATCTATTTGTCTAACCATGTATGAATGCATTCATCCATCTGACATTCAACTATTCATCCATCCATCAGTCTAATATCCATCCATCCATCCATCCATCCATCCATCCATCCATCCATCCATCTACCTACCAATCCTACATCCATCCATCCATCCATCCATCCATCCATCCATCCATCCATATATCAACATCCATCGCTTCATTTTTACTCTTATTCTCTCCTCATTCATCTTTATCTTTCCAGCACAGTACATTCCCTACTCCCTTCCTCCATCCATTCATCTTTCTAGCAGTTGTTTTCAAAAGTAACTGCGCCACTTTGCTTTCTTTTCCTCAGTTCCTTTCCCCATTAATCCCCCCATCTGTCTGTCTTTCTCACTCTCAAGTCTTTCCTTCTTAGCAGTGGGGATAAGCCCTCTGCTATGCTTGGAAGGTCACAGTGCTATCTCCTCCAAGAGAAACAAGGAAAGGGTCTGAAAACGGCAGGCATCAAATAAAACCCTGACAGGCAGCTATAAAGATGCTTGTTAAGCATCTTTGTGCGCCAGTGCCCACTGCTGTTCCACATGGTTATAGTCTATGGCTGTGACTGATGCAAACACACTCCCTTCACCATTCTCTCTATCATCTATTTATCCTGTCTTTGACTCACTTGAACTTTCACTTTTTAGTTTTCTCCTTTGCTTTCAAGTCTGTTTCCACCTCCTAACCCTCACATCTCTATTACCTCTCTAGGCTTTCCCTCCAAATTCTTGGCCATTTATTAAACATTGACTCAAGTTTTATGCCACCACACAGAACCTAAGAGGCAGTTTCAATGTGATGTCATAGTTTGGGTTTCTTGCACAGGCACCAGTCTCCAACCTCAAGTCTTTGACCGGCAGCAATCAAAAAGCCAGCTGAAATAACCAAACAAGGTCAGCCATAGTGGGTTTGGACATGTTAGAAACTAGTCGCGGTAATTACACGGCTATTTGTTTCTGTTGTAAGGAACTGGAGATTTTTGAATTACCTTCTGTGCAAACCATTACAGAAACCAAACCAAAGTTTATTTTACAGAAAATTGTGTCCAAATGCATAAGAGCACCAGCTTTTCTTCTCAACTATTGAAAAAATGTAAATACCACTCACAGGTACGGTGTTCTCACTTACTGAGGATCTCTTCTCTCGCTCACTGTCAATCGGATAATTGGCTTAAGGACTGGCAGATTTTGGGTCCACTTGTTGACATTTCAATGTTCAAGCCAATTCACACTTGGCATCAGGTGAGATTTTAAGTATCTGTTTCCCCTTCTTGCCTATTTTTCCATCTGCGCAAGTCTTTGTCGGTCAAAAAGTCAATGTTTTTGTTTCCAGTTGTTAAGTTCCTCCTCCTTGAAGTTTCCCCTAATTTTCACACGGGAGGACTTTAATTATAATGACATGTCAAAGAATTCTGAAACACTTTCCTTCCCTTTTAAAGTGTTTCTGTCCGCTGTGGAGATTTGGTCATACATGCCAGTTCATTTGATCGATGTGCAGACTGCCATTCATTTTTAAGTTTTTAAGAAAGTGTAACCCCCAACACTTAATAACTGTCCTCCTACACTCTCTCAGGTGTTGTGTTTCCAAAGACCACACACACTCAGCACGCATCAGAGGTTCCCCAGGCCACAATTCAAACTTGTACACCAAGATGTTTAATTTAGACCACTGTCCAAAAGACCAGTTGAAGGTTAAAACGGGCACACTATTTTAAAAGCATGTAATTTTGCCTCCTGGGGAAGCCTCGGAAAGGTTTTAAGTTCACATGACATCAGTGTCATTAAAAACAATGACATCATCTCTGAGGACGGGTTTCTGTCCATTCAGAAACTCTGTAACGCCTAACTGAGCACAATTTATGGTTAAGAGGAAACGAATCTCTGGCAAAGTGATGACTGCTCACTTTCTGCTGCCACAATGTGGAATAAGAGCCAGACACAAGCACATACACTACAGTGACATAATGGTTTAAACTTCCACAGATAAAATATACAGAGGCGTGCCCCACTGAATGTAATATAACTTATGCATCATCAGGACAGTGGGTCTGTCCTCGGTTCTCTATAAAACGCCAACTGAGAAGTACAAATATGACTCGTTTTCAACCTGGAGACTAAGGTCCAATCTGCCGTGACGACAAACATCTACAGTTTCTGTCTGTCAGACATGGTTTGAGCTAAAGATGTAATCCTAACAACTGTATAAGCACATACTAAAAAACAGATGAAATAGATACATTTCTTCTCCATCGGAAAGATTGACTCATATGTAAGAATCTAGAAAAAGGGTTTTATACAATCAACAGTTGAATGTAAGACATGTTTTGACTGTCAAAGTGTTCATAGCGTTCAAAAATGATTACACAGATAATTCTGCCTTTTATAAAGTTAGTCTACAACATGGTTACCCTTTTACTTTATACAATTGAAAATATCTTTGACAACAAATGTATTTTTCTTTTTACAAGTAGAAGCTGTCTCTTAAAAAATAGCGGAATAAAAAAATTTATATATATATATTTTTTTTTTTTTTTTTTGTGGAGTCTAGTTTTGTGTAACAATGTTCATGGTAAAACAAACAAACAAAAAAACAGAAATTATTCAGTCACCCCAAAATATTAAGAGCTAAGCATGTTGCTCATTATATTAAAAACTATTAGTACACAGAAATGTAAGAAAGGCCATTTTATTTCACAAGAAGTTTTGTACCATGACTTTTCATCCCAAACAGCTGGGACTGCAGATACCTTGGTTAACATGAAACTGCGTAAAGCTAAGTTAAGCAAATTATCTCCAGCTTGATAATATAAGCAGAGATGAGTAAGCTTCTTCTTTACTTGTCTTTAAAAAAAAAAAAAAAAAAAAAGATCTCATGGTTCAGAAACTTATTGATCTTATCTTGTCCTCTAGCCATGACCACCCAACCTCTATGGAGCGCCCTGTGCCTGCTGGCTGTATTTTGCACCTTGTCATCCCTCGGCTCTGCTGACAACCTGCCAGGATCCCCAGCTCCGGAGCAGGGAGTCACCTTCAGCCATGTCTATAAAATTGACATCCCTGGTGGCTCTGCTTGTAAACTTGAGGCCATGCCAATCCAAGATGGGACAGGTAACGATAAAAAATGAAAACTATATACAGAGAAAAAGCTAACTGAGAGTGGGACCGCACAAGGAAAACAGATGAGCTGAAATTTACTGTATTTATTGAGTGGGATTGCAGAGCATTCCCACTATATGTTATTCATATCTTTATTATTATTATTGAGTGGGATTGCAGAGCATTCCCACTATATGTTATTCATATCTTTATTATTGAGTGGGATTGCGAAGCATTCCCACTATATGTTATTCATATCTTTATTGAGTGGGATTGCGAAGCATTCCCACTATATGTTATTCATATCTTTATTATTATTATTCAACACACTTCCACCGTTTTTTGGACCTCAACTACTTCCACATACTTCAACGTATTCAAACCATTCAAACTTCAAAAGATTCATCTCATTGAGGAGATTCAGGGGTGTATTCAGAATTTTCCTAACATTCATACTTTCCGAGATATTCCGGGTTTTCCGACCGATTTCTCCCATTAGAAATGCATTACGGAATGTTCAAATTGGCCCTTTTCTCACATTTTCTTCACACAACTTCAAAAGCCTTCAACTCCTCTATACTTCCACGTAGAAACTTCATTCAAAAACCAAAATATTCACAAATTCTTCAGCATTATTCCACATCTTCAACATTTTTAATCCCATTTGTACTTTTCAAAATATTAAGATTTGTTTAAAACTTTGTTATAATGGGATTCAACCTCTTCTCATTCATTCATACTTTCACCTAGAAACTTCATTCAAACTTTAAAATATTCACACATCTTCAGACATTCACTCATTCATTCACCATCTTCATGGCATTCATACTTTTCTCACAGTGACAGTTCAAAAATTCACAGGGTTTTCTGACCTGTTCAGGTTTTAACATTAGTGTGTATTGCACGGAATGTTGGCAGCTAGAGTGGGTGACCTCACAGCTAGAGTGAGAGGGGCTGAAAATTGATCCTCAAAACTTTGTCTTTACAAAAGGATTGTGGCAACTCACTTCGCTCTACACAGATAAAATTTGGTACAGTGATGGCAAAACTCTGCTGTCACTCTTCATCTAAAAATCAAAGCCATAGGACACACACAGTGGCCTGGGCAGACACCAACTGCCGCAGACATCCCCCAGATTTCTCCAGCTTTCTCCATTGACTCCAATGTAAACCTGAGAGGAGGATTTTCAGAGGAAACACAAACTGGACATGTTTTTAACTTGTCCTAGTGAAGGCATTTTTGGCTCCACAAACACAGAAGTTGTATCAACGTGTTCAGCCGGGCCTTGTGGTTGTCACAAGCTCCTGATCATGAAGATAGCAGTTACAGAGGATGAGAAATATGACGTTGTTTGGGCATTACGTTCTCAGCCTCAAGCCTCCTTTCTCCTGCTGTTGTTAAGCATCTATCGTCACCATGGCAACCAATAAGAGCACCTGGAGACACACAGCTGGCTGGAAAGCTGCTTCTAAAAGCCATATGAGACACATGAAGCCAGGCTCAGTACACAGAGTACTGGGGGTTACATTTAAAACCTTATGGGGTCTAATCAGGATTTTTATTCATTTACATTGTCCCCATTTTTCAATCATTCATTGAAAATGCATTATTTAGTTCTTCAAACTAATTGATTTCCTTCAAACTGATTTAAACCGTTTTGATTCTTCAAACCTCTTTTTCTTCCAGATTTGTAACCTTTTTATTTTCCAGTTTTAAATATTTTTACTCCTAATACATGATTCAGTTCTTTCAAACAAATTCCAACTCATTTGAACTGATTCAAACCTTACTGATTCTTCAAGCCTTTCCCATACTTCAGGGTTTTTAATCATTTTAATTTTCACATGTTGAATTTTTAAAATTATTATTCATGCATTATTCAATTCATTCAACAGAGTTTATTCAAACTGATTCAAATCTTCCTGATACTTCATACCTTTTGACCTTTCACTAATTTTTAAAATTCAGCCATTCGCAATAGCAGCTTAGCGATAGCAATTTCGACTGAAGCAATCCCACTCGCAATTTCTTCAGAAATTGCATTTTCTAGTTATTATTATTATTCTTCCACCGTTTTTTGACACGCTACTCCTTCCACATACTTCAACGTATTCAAACCATTCAAACTTCAAAAGATTCATCTCATTCAGGAGATTCCGGCTTGTATTCAAATATTTCCTAACATTCATACTTTCCGAGATATTCCAGGTTTTCCGACCGATTTCTCCCATTAGAAATGCATTACGGAATGTTCAAATTGGCTTCAAACTTCAAAAGCCTTCAACTCCTCTATACTTCCACGTAGAAACTTCATTCAAAAACCAAAATATTCACAAATTTTTCAGCATTATTCCACATCTTCAACATTTTTAATCCCATTTGTACTTTTCAAAATATTAAGATTAGTTTAAAACTTCGTTATAATGGGATTCAATGGGAAAAGGGCTTCAGACGTAGTCAACTTCAACCTCTTCTCATTCATTCATACTTTCACCTAGAAACTTCATTCAAACTTTAAAATATTCACACATCTTCAGACATTCACTCATTCATTCATCATCTTCATGGCATTCATACTTTTCTCACAGTGACAGTTCAAAAATTCACAGGATTTTCTGACCGGTTCAGGTTTTAACATTAGTGTGTATTGCACGGAATGTTGGCCGCTAGAGTGGGTGACCTCACAGCTAGAGTGAGACAGGCTGAAAATTGATCCTCAAAACTTTGTCTTTACAAAAGGATTGTGGCAACTCACTTCGCTCTACACAGATAAAAATTGGTACAGTGATGGCAAAACTCGCTGTCACTCTTCACCTAAAAAATCAAAGCCATAGGACACACACAGTGGCCTGGGCAGACACCAACTGCCACAGACATCCCCCAGATTTCTCCAGCTTTCTCCATTGACTCCAATGTAAACCTGAGAGGAGGATTTTCAGAGGAAACACAAACTGGACATGTTTTTAACTTGTCGTAGTGAAGGCATTTTTGGCTCCACAGACACAGAACTTGTATCAACATGTTCAGCCGGGTCTTGTGGTTCTCACAAGCTCCTGATCATGAAGATAGCAGTTACAGAGGATGAGAAATATGTTGTTGTTTGGGCATTACGTTCTCGGCCTCAAGCCTCCTTTCTCCTGCTGTTGTTAAGCATCTATCGTCACCATGGCAACCAAAGGGAGCACCTGGAGACACACAGCTGGCTGGAAAGCTGCTTCTAACAGCCATATGAGACACATGAAGCCAGGCTCAGTACACAGAGTACTGGGGGTGACATTTAAAACCCTTCAATAGAGTTATTTGACGAAATTTGTCATCTATCTCTTCGCACAAACCTTGAGCTACAGAAACCATCCAGGGCTTAATAAATTCGGCTCATTGAGGACATTATGGGGTCAAATCAGGATTTTTTTTCATTTACATTGTCCCCATTTTTCAATCATTCATTGAAAATGCATTATTTAGTTCTTCAAACTAATTTATTTCCTTCAAACTGATTTAAACTGTTTTGATTCTTCAAACCTCTTTTTCTTCCAGATTTGTAACCTTTTTATTTTCCAGTTTTAAATCATTTTTTCCTTTAGTGCATTTTTCGGTTCTTTCCAACAAATTCCAACTCATTTGAACTGATTCAAACCTTATTGATTCTTCAAGCCTTTCCCATGCTTCAGGGTTTTCAATCATTTTAATTTTCAAACGTTGAATTTTTAAAATTATTATTCATGCATTATTCAATTTATTCAATTGAGTTTATTCAAATTGATTAAAATCTTCCTGATACTTCATACCTTTTGACTTTTCACATATTTTTAAAAATCAGCAACAACTCATTTGAACTTGAACTTGTACTTCTTTCTTATGCTGTAATGATGTATTTACCTTCAGCATGGCAACCAATTAGTGCACCTGGAGAAACAAAGCTGACTGGGATGTGTCATTCATTCATTCACTCTTTCAAATAAGTAAATTAAAACTCCAGAATTTCATTTTCTTTCTTTATTGACATTGAATCAGAAAAAAAATCTGGGGTATATGGCACCATCAGCCTTTCGACCCTCCAAGCATGTCAGGAAAAACTCCCCCAAAAAAGCTTTCTCAGGATAAGAGGAAGAAACCTTTAGGTAGGCCAGGTCTTAGAGGGATCCCCTACCAGGACGGCTGAGCATGCAGTATTTTAGAGTTCTAAGCTCAGCAGAGATCACATGGCTCCAGGGTCACATGGTTGCTGGGTTTGGCTCTGTGGCTCATGTCGAGCTGGTTCTGTGATGAGTTGAGAGGAAAAGACAACAGTTTACACTGGTGTTACAGACGACAAACTGAAATCCTACACAGCTGGTTGTAGTGTGGAAAAGTCAAAGATTTTGAAGATGAAACATACTTGGTGAAGTTCAGAGCTGTTGCTCCCCAGGTCAGAACCCTTCTCTGCTGTAGACTCGGTGCTTGGTTCTAAGAAGCCACAGTCACAAGATCTGCAGGACTTTTCTAGTTCTTCAGCTCATGTCGACTTCTGTGATGTACAGAGAGGAGAGAAGGTTGTCACATCAGATGAACACAAAGAAATAATATGACTGCTGAAGACAAGTACATACCCGTTAGAGGTCCAGCATTGTGTGAGCAACAACTTGTCCAATCCTGGATCAGAAGTTCTCTCCGCTAATTGGTCACACACGGAGAGGGTTTGGTTTCCTGTACAGCACTGGCAGACAAAACTTTACATTTATTATCAATACCTTTAAACTTTTCTAGCAAATGTCACAAAACTCTTCGTGATCAATAAACTGTTCAGTCCACTCACAACATGCTTGAGTCCTGTTCAAGATCAGTGGTGGCACCTCTTCTCAGGATAATGTTGCATACGCGGCATGTCCAACTTCACCTCTCTCTGTAGCACTGAACAGGAGAGAGAAAAAACAGATGAAATCTTACAGATTGATTTGAATACACCAGAAAACAGACATTGTAACAACATTTAAGTCAACTTACAATGTGTATGGGTCCTCCTCAAGTTCAAAGACACAGCTGTCTAGCTGCAGTACTCTGGAACTGTTGCTCAGGCGCTGCTCTGCCAGTGTGGGGCTGCCACTGTGACACTCTACCAGACAAAAAGAACTTCTTCAAAATGCCATGGAGCAGCATTGAGAAATTATTGGCAGCCTTAGATTAAAAGGAATAAACTGTACTGTCACTCACCATGCACATGTTCAGGGAATTTACAGGTAGAATTGTTTCTTCTCACTGTGACACTTGCAGCTCCTACCCGTAAATTTACACAGCTGTGAAAGACTTGGTGACGAACTTCTCAGCCCAGGAAGGTGTGAATACAACCAAGTGTCAGACAGAGGGTTCACCAATGGATGTTCTTTTGAGAGAGGCTCATCCTTATCTCCTTTGGTAGACCACCAGAAACAAACACAAACAGTAAAAGGCAACAAACTCAGAGTGCAAATGTCTTGATATCAAAATCATAGGCTGACCTGATGCTCTCTTAGGATGAAATGTGTCTTCCCCTCTCCAAGGTAGGCCCTTGGGACACACTGAGCACAGAGCTGGAGTTCTAGTGTCATCACCCCACATCTTTGGTGTCTGGAGGGCACAGGTGCCTAAACCCAAACAAATGAACCGAGAGATTCAGACAAACAAATCCAGTAAAACAACGTGTATTTTCACATTTAAAATGGAGCAGTCCTGCAGCTAGTATATATGAAAGCTCAATATTGTTCTTACCTTACGCCCACACCAAGTCGTTCAAGAGAAATGAGGAGCAGTAATGCATCCTCAGACCTTCCTGCCACTACTCAAAGTAAATGGCAGGACATAATGGGCAACTCTAATACAGCGTAAAGTAACGACTTGCAGAAATGTATTTCTATATAATTTGGTATAGGAGGGGGTCGTCGGTCCATCCCTCCCTCCCAGCCTTTTAAAAGCTATAGCAGCCAGAGCAGGTGTTACAACCTGGCTGCTAAGGACGACCCCCTCATCTTAAAATATAATTTGTTTATAATATTTCATTAGTTCATAATAGTTTCAGTGGCAGTTTTTATTTCTTTTAAATTAGCTTGTTTTTAATTTGTCTCACTGTATATTTTGAAATGTATTTCTATATAATTTGGTATAGGAGGGGGTCGTCGGTCCATCCCTCCCTCCCAGCCTTTTAAAAGCTATAGCAGCCAGAGCAGGTGTTACAACCTGGCTGCTAAGGACGACCCCCTCATCTTAAAATATAATTTGTTTATAATATTTCATTAGTTCATAATAGTTTCAGTGGCAGTTTTTATTTCTTTTAAATTAGCTTGTTTTTAATTTGTCTCACTGTATATTTTAAATTTTTTTTTAAATGCTACTAATAATGTACTGACCTTTGCATCATTTTACTTCACTGTATTTTTCAGAAATGTATTAAAGTTTTATATATTGTCTTTAATCTCACATTGTACAGTGACTAGAAAGTATTTGCAGGTATGTTTTTCTTTGGTATAGGAGGGCCGTCTGACCATCCCTCCCTCCCAGCCTTTTAAAAGCTAGAGCAGCCAGAGCAGGTGTTACAGCCTGGCTGCTGAGGACGACCCCCCCATCTTAAAATATACTATGTTTACAACGTTTCGTTAGGTGATCGAATAGGAAACCAATAATTAAAACTCTTCTCTTAAATCGCAACGTGTAAACCGACAGTTATGGACACAATAATTTTTTTTTCCCCTTAACTTTGCACCAAGTTCTCAATTTTAAACCAGCCAGTTCTTTTTAGGGTGTTTCTAAAGTGAGCACGCAGTAGACAGGGTGGTGGTAACTGTAGTATGTCCGCAGCACGCCAGAATGGATACAGGACTGCGGGCAAGAGATGAAAATGGGGTCAAGCAGCGTGTTCTTCTCTGTGGTTGCAGCAGTTATGAGTTGTTCATAACCTTTGGACTGAAACAGTTCAAGAATGGGCTTCCTTGCTCTGGACAGCAAATCTTCATTAAAATCTCCACAGACTAAGATGGGATGATGATCCATGACTTCCAGTGAATCCAAGAGACTTCTGAGGTTGGATATGAATGAGTGAACATCGTAGTCAGGAGGCCTGTAGACGGCAGCAATTAGAGCCCTGAAAGGAGCTTCAAGTTTGATGACACTGAACTCAATATCAGTGGCATTTTGAATGAAATGTCTCTCAAGGACTCTGATGTGTTCTTTCACATAGATGGCAACTCCGCCACCGTTTTTAGTGGCCATGGCAGGATGGTTTGAATAAGACACGTTTCTGTTACGTTTGAACATGTTGTAGCCTTCAAGGTGGAGACTCTCAGCAACAAAGGATCCTCGCAGATGAGTTTCAGTGAGTCAGAGCACGTCTGCAAGATGTAGTTCATGGTGACTTTTGATGTCGGTGATATGAGCTGGTAGTCCTTCTGTGTTGTGATGAATGACAGTGAGAGTGTCTGGCCTGCTCAATGTTTCTGGGATCTTGAGGAGAGGCATGACATGTTCAAGTGAAGCTTTAGACATGTTTTCAAGAGCTACAGTGATTTCAGGGTTGCAATAGATTTTCCTCTCATCCATGTCTAGAATGTGGAGTCCACTCAGAGAGGTCACTCTGCTCAGAGCAACGTAGGCCATGCCGGGTTCAAAGATGTGTTTCAGTGAGACCACGGCCGAGGAAGTTGTCATCCCTTGAACTTTGTGTATTGTACACGCAAAAGCGAGCTTGATGGGAAACTGTCTTCTGACAACTCCCGTCTGTTTAAGGTTCTCCTCGTCTCTGTCAATGTACACGATGTTTTCATCCACATCTGCTTCGCTGGCTGCTGCACTTTGACTGTTCAGTTTCAGTCCGAGTTTTTCAACATGCGGATTTCCTGCTTTAGTCACTACTTTTGCAATGCGTGCAAATGTTCCATTGCAGAGACCTGACTGCACACTTATATTTCTGGTGATCATGACATTAGCGCCGATGGCCAATTTTATCGAGTCAGGCAACTCCTTTTTGTTTCCTTGGAAAGGTACACTTTGTCTCGTCATTCTCCCGGTGGTTGGATCTTTTTTGTAGTCATCTGCATCTATTGTGGTGACGTCGGAGTGAAACATATCCAAGGTTTTTGAGTTGTGTTCCTCAACCTGTTTGTTTGTCGCAAAAACATGCAGTACGTCTTTTGGACATTGAGCCGGGTCAGCTAAGGCCTGTGAAAGCAGAACTCTGTCTTCATGAGACAAAGACACTGTCTTTTCTTTGGCACGGATTCGATTCAGCGTCTCAGCAAAAGTGACATCATCTTTCTGACGTATGATTTCGGTCAGTGTGACCATCTGAAAGTTGTCACGCCAGAGGTCGATCTGAGTCGGGTCGAACACACACAGAGGTTTCGACTGTCTGACAGGTGGTAGCTGGTAGAAATCTCCAACAGTGAGAACTGACATTCCACCAAAAGGTCTCTGACTTCCTTTGATTTGTTTCAGTCTCGCATCCACGTAGGCAAAGAGCTGTTTGGAGACCATGGAGACTTCATCAATAATGAGTATCTCTGCATTTGAAAGCTCTGCCCTGACTTCATCAAGTTTGTTACCAAGACCTTGGAAAGGAGGCTTGAGACTTCTGGGCAGCTTCAAGAGACAATGCAATGTTGTACCTGAAATGTTGAATGCTGCAGTACCAGTGAATGCAGTCAAGAGAACAGTAGGTTTAGAGATGTCTGCTTCCTCTGCATTTCTTGGAAGTCTTCTGAGTATTTTAGATGCCTCTGCATGGATGCATTTGATTAGATGAGACTTACCTGTTCCGGCACCACCATTAATGTACAAGAAGAACTGCTCTGGTTTTGAACCACAAACACATTTCAAGCACCATTCCCGAATGGTGTGGAAAACTGAAGCTTGCGTTTGGTTCAAGTTCTGGTACATCTCACGCAGCACCACAGGATCAATTTCAGGGGCTTCGATCGTGACTGCAGATTCTTGCCTCACGTCTGACCTCACATTATAGTCTGGAACATTCTCCTGCACGTCCTCATCAGCTTCTCTTTCATTGAGTTCATCTATGCACTCGAGCCGTTCGAGCTCACTCTCAGGCGCCAGGTTGCCCCATTCATTTAGCAACATTCCTCTTTCTTCAAACTCTTGAATGGCACTGTCAATGTCCTCACGGTGTTTCTCATGTTTTTCTCTGTTGCGTTTCACAATTGCCTTCACGCGCTCGGGATGCTGTGATCCAGGTAACCAAACAGCTGCATGGTCATGGACAGACTGGTAAGTTGGGAAGTGGTTAGATTTCAGCTGGTTTTCTGAGCGGTAAGGCACGTACAGTTTAAGCAATGTGCCATAATACAGCTCTGGATCTTTCTCAAGGGAAATGGGTCGATATTTGATGACAGCATGTTTTTCATCATTTGCTCTCTTCTGGACAAACCCCATCTCATTCAGCAGGCGATGAGTGTTTTTGCCTTTTGTCTGCTTGCCATAGACTATTCTGCAGCTCGATGCAAAATCCGCCAAGCACATTGCCTCAAAGTCTGGTGTTTCTGGTCTGCATACATACTTATCAGGTAACCCTGTCATCCACACATGTTCCGATTCTGAAGGTTTGTTGTCCAGGTGTGACAAGGGGTAACTCATTTTCAGTGCGTTGTCATCCGTCTGCACAAACACCACGCTGCGTGAACACTGCTTCATGTGTAGACCGCATGCACGAGCCACACACTCCTGAGCGCTTACCTCTCTTTTTTTGGAGTAGGCCTGCATTATTTGTTTCATTTCATCGCTTTCGTTGACATCTTCCTGACGTGAGTTTTGTATCACCGTTTTGAGATATTCACTCAGACCATGTTCCGCCTTGCTGATGTAGCTGCACATGTACATGATACAGGAGTATGGGTTGAGAATGAATTGGATATCCATGTTGGCATTCCAGGCTTTCAGAAGGTAGGGATTGTAGCCATTTACCCAAACATCTTTGGGACCACGCTTCAGCATCACTTGACTGCCGTTGGTTTTGCTCTGCAAACACCTGTGGTATTCTTCTTTGGTGAACTCACATTTTGTCAAAAGCTGTTCAAAGCTGAGCGATGCAGTAGTAGGTTCATGAAGAAGCCTGTTCAGTGTTGCTAGCTTTTCTGTCAATGCCAGGTCTGTTGCTTCATCCACAATTGCCCCCGGTCTGATTATTGTGGTTTCTGGGACAGGTTGTTTGGGAAATCCGAAACGACAGTTTGCACCACTGTATTTCACACATGTCTTGGAGTGATTTTTGCTGTGCATCTGAACTTCTGTGACTATTTTGTACAGTTCTGGGTCCTTGTTTTCATCGGGCAGCTCAGCTTTGATGAATCTGGCCACAAACTTACACACCTCCTCATCAGAGCATTCTTCAAACACAGGTGCGCCTGCCACCCATACCATACCGTGAATGTGTGGGCTTCCTCTGTGCTGAAACTCGAGCCGGTAAAAGTAGTCGACGACTTTGCCGATAGGTTGTGCGGGGGACAGGATCAGATCTCTGAACAGTGCCTCGACACGTTTGTCAAACATGCGCATTGTGGTGACAGGATTACTTCGCAAAATCTCACACTTGGAGGACCAATCCAGCTCTTCAAAATTCACGTGTTCACCTTGCTGGGCTTTAATTGCTGTGGTAACCCATTTCCAACGCATTTCTGCAGCACTGAAAGTTAGGAAGAATTGTGGCGAGCCTAAAGCCCGAATCATCGCAAACAAGTCTTTGGTTGTTTTCTGCCAATACGCCGGGGTGCCTCTCAGCGGTGTCATGAATCTTATTGCATCTTTGTTCCGCACTAGCCTTTCGACTTCTCGTTTGTTTTGCAACATGGCACTTGTGATTTTGCGGCCATCTCGAGTAAGCGGTTTGCCTTTGCGCAGTTGTATTCTCATGCTGGAAGTGGCCATATGTATTTCTGTCACAAATTGAGCAAAAAACAAGTAGTTAGTATCTTTAGCGAAACGGCCATCGACACAGCAAAGCCTCGTTTTGAAGTAACTGCAGGGTGTTAATTTCAGTGGCCTGTTATCATCCAGTGTATTTTCACCAGTGGGAAACTGAACTGGGAAAGCCATCGCCTCAAGTTTAGGTGTTCTGAAAAAGCTTGACGGTTTTTTTCCTTCAGCGGGGGCAACAGAGTATATTCCCTCACTAAAACTCAAAATCTCCTCTGACACATCACTTGGCTGCAGACATGATTCAAGGACAACACCACCGTTTGGTTCATCACCCTCCAAGTTATCAGACTGTTTCTCTGGCTCACAGCCATTATTACCTGACTGATTTTCCATATGTTGTTCGTCGTTTTCGGGAATGCTTTCTGCCTCACAGAGTGCATTTTTCTCAATACGGTCAATCTCCATCAAATCTTCCTCATCGTAATCATCATCATCCATTCCGTCATCCTCATCACTGTCGCTGTCTTCATTATCAGGGAGAGTAGGGTCACATGACTCAGCTTCATCTCTGATTGTTATGTCTTTATACTGGGGATGGATTTCTTTCAGTTTGAGCAGAGCTCTCACCAGCTTTGGCCAGGTCACAGTTTGGAACAGCTGATGACCTTTGTAGCACAGTCGTCTCTTCAGCTTCACTCTCATGACCTGAGATTCACTCCTTAGTCTGGGCAAAGCATTTACAGTTTCCTGTACTTCAGATGGAACACACACAACATTTCCACGGATAGCTCTTTGTTGACCTTTGGGCAGTGGAATAATTTTAGCAAACGGTATGCTTTTAGCTACGAGATGACGTTCCAAAATGTTCAAATCACACAGTTCATCTGGAATATCAGCAAGCTGTAAATTATTAGCCGTTGCGAGGGGAGGCATCCCACCAACCTTAAGGTGATCATGGCATGTGTAACAAATCCACTCTCTCTTTCGCTCCTCTGGTACGGGGCACTGTTGTAAATTTTCGCATTCATCACTGCAGACATGAACATATGCACCAGTGAGACAAGCTGCAACAACACGTGGCTCTTTGTCATATTTTGACCGATTGCAGGGTCGCACTTGATTCGGAAACAGTGCTCTGTGACAAACTGTGCAGACATAAGTGGGTCCATCTTTTACATGTGATCTGAAAATCTCTATGGCTTCTTTAATCTGACTGTCATCCATGTCGATTTGCTTTCTGTTTAAATGTCTGTATTTTTGTCTAATCTTAATTGCACAACGCATGCTGTTGGTCAGTCTGGTTACAAGGTTGTTTCTGTATTTGTCTCTCATTAGCTGTCTCATAGTTTGTTTGTGCCTCATTCTGAATGCAGGATCATTTGCGTAACGCTTTATGATAAACTGCCTTTGTTTGGTTCTGAATGCAAAGTCCTGGCAATAGCGGTGTGTTATGTACAACATTTGTCTCTGTTTAAACTCTGCATCATCTGCGTATCGGCGGTTGATGTAAGACCTTTGTTTCCCTTTAAACTCTGCATCATCTGCGTATCGGCGGTTGATGTAAGACCTTTGTTTCTGTTTAAACTCTGTGTCATTTTTGTAGCGACGTTTGATGTAGGACTTCTTCCTCTGTTTGACCTCTGGATCCTGCCTGTACCGATTAGCCATATAAGACTTTTTACGTTGCTGGTATGATCTGTCCTTGGCATATCGTTCTCGCTGTTTTTCATTTTTGTCGATTGCAACTTTTGTCTTCCCCTTTTGAGCTCTTCTTTTCAACTTCCTCCTTTCCTGTTTATTACGTTTTGACTCTCTTGGCAGAGTGTGACTGTTAAATTGTATTTTAATCTCAGATTTCGCCTGGGGTAGACTGGACATGTGAGGTTCTTGCTGCCTCGCTATGGGAACATCATCTGCATTCGACTCCATATGTGGCAAATTTCCTTCCACTGAGGGCTCATCCACAGTCTCAAAGAGCACAGGTGTCAGCTCAAAATAAGAATTTGGACCGGAGCCAACTGCACGGAATAACGTCACAAGCTTTGTGATCAGATCATTTAAATATGTGAAAATAAAGACGACAGCTGTGCCACAACCAAAGCCAGCAGGAAAGCCATCAGGCTGTCGAGAGTGTGGGTCAAAATAGCCATACTGCCCGCGTTGGTCTCGGAAAACAGCAATGTACATTGAACTCATTATCAACAATGCGTAGTTCACCTCTGCGGACAAGCACTGAAGTACATCTGCAAGGTTGTTGTTTAGCAAGGTAGGAGCTGTAAAGACGCCACTGACTGACTGACACTTTGTCATTATGTGCTGTTGTCTGTCACCAACAATGATTGGTGGAAGTTCATCTATATTTAAGAATCTATCAACTTTTTGACCATCAACATCCAACTGACCGAGAGTTAGAGCATACATTGCATGGCCTCTGTCCAAAACGAGATCAAGATCAGCAGTGTGGAGTTGTCCTAACTCATGCAGAAAGGCCAGGAAAGTAGCACAGTTGCAGGAGCATTGACTGTTCTTTGAATCAGCGTATGTATCATGCCCCTGACTGCGGGAAGCCAACACACGTGTGACATTAGCATTAGAAAAATCAGGGGTATTTACCTGTCCGCTGTTGTAAGGATGAGGACTCACCACCCGTTGATCAGGTACTCGGGACTCAGGAAATTTCTGCCAGTGTAGCTTTTTGGCTTGGGATCTCTTTCCTTTGCGTGGCATTGTTCCTGGAAACAATCAGTCGTAGTCTGTTGGTAGTAGTAGTGGTAGCAGTAGTTGTAGTTGTAGTTGTAGTAGTAGTAGTAGTAGTAGTAGTGGTAGTGGTAGTTGTGGTGGCAGCAGATACTTGGGAGTAACAACCAATTGAGTTTTTCAAATGCTGTCTGTCTGTATCTACCAATTAAGTTTTCTTGAAAAATGCCTCAGTGTATCAACAAAGTCAGTTTTATCAAAGACACTTGGGAGTATCAACCAATTTAGCTTTTTAAAAGCTACTTAGAAATATCAACCAAGTAAGCTTTGACAAAGATAATTGGGAGAACAAACCCAGAGATTTCTTTCAAAGGTGCTTGGGAGTATCAACCAAGTGTGTGTGAGTGGTGCCTGGGAATATCAACCAGACGTGTTCAAGGGGTGCCTGGGAGTATCAACCAGACGTGTTCAAGGGGTGCCTGGGAGTATCAACCAGACGTGTTCAAGGGGTGCTTGGGAGTATCAACCAAGCGTCTGTAATAGGTTGGGAGTATCAACCAACCTGAGAGATGAAACTTAGGGAGAGAGAAAGAAGGCAGAGACAACAGACAGAGCAGGACGGATGATAGAGGGGTTGGGGGTTAGGGGAGGGACAAACAGGACGATCCACTGGAACCTGGAAACTGGTACTCTTCTGCAGACCAAGGACCACAAAAAAGAAAAATCATCGTTACCTTTTGCAGAATTATACCATACGAGATTTACAATAATTACTACATTTAGCTGTGTTCATCTATGTGACTAGGTTGACATTTTTTAAGCCTAAACTCAAGCTCATATGCTATTAAACATGATGGGCTAGTAACTGCTCTCTGCATCTCTTATTTCAAGGTAAAGACTGCGCGGTGCTCAGTTTACTACATATTACAAATCAGGTTAATATGCTATGATATTGTACAAGTTTGACAAAGCAGCTGGTTCTCTCTCAAAAGTAAATCCGCTTGGTTTCAGAATTGCTGTGCATGCTAGGGGACCTTATGTGCCCTTGGGCTGGAAGCGCTCACACACAGAGTTAATTTTTATACCCAAATGATCAACTTAAAAAGTCAACGATTTTTTCATCCATACTCAGAGTGCTCAACTCTTCTGTCAATTTCACTTTAGATTTTAATATCAGGTACTCACCAAACATGCGCTGGAACCTCTCTCCGTCTAAAAGAGAAGACAGCATGTTAGTGTCCTCTTCTCTGTCTCTCTCTAAAAGGCTGGAAAAATTTTGTGTGCTCTAAGCTGTACAATGTATTATGCATTTCACCTGCACAGTTCACACCACAAACAAGAACTCTCACTTTATTAATAATTTGAACAAATCAGATCACACAGCATCCATTCTGGTTTGAAGCTGACACAGGTGTTACAGTTTTATTAATTAAGACCCTGTACCTTTGACACATTATTACCTACAGGTGGTTTTAATGATCATTTCATGTCAAAAAGGCTGCTCATAAAATGGTCTATACAGCCAAGAGCTGACTAATGTCAGATATTGACATTTCACTCTCTTAAAAAGCTCACTTGCCTAAGTCAGCACTATTGCTGACTAAACAGCTAAAGTGACTAACCAACCAGTAAGGTAGACATTAACATTAGAGCAAAGGAGGCAACTGCGCTTGCTAAGGATGTTCGTGTTATGGAAATCTGAGAATTTGCTCAGAGCTGACAGTTAATTGTTCATACAACCATGAAAATATATTAACGGTTAGAGTCACGGAGCATGGACTCTAATTAGCCAGCAGTTAGCTGACTGTTGGTTGATGTTAAGACCGTGACAGTTTAATTTTTTCCCTTTTATTATAACAATATCACAATTATGCCACAGCATCACAGAGAGAGAGAGAATAAAACGGCAGGTTTTAATATTTAGGGGAGAAGAGACTGCGACTTTCTCTGTTAATCGTCGTCGACCGTTATCAGTTGCGGTGGCTGTAAGTTTCATTACAGTTAGCTTTGGCGAAACAGGTGTAATTAATCTCACACGGACTTTGCTACGGCTTTCTGTAATGTGAAAACTAAATGAGACTTATCACATTAGTTTCCGGGAGTTTGAACACTAACTCGGTGTGCTAAACCGGCGAATTAAACATTATTTGGGGAGAAGTGAAAGAGATGCAGCCGCTTACCTCAAAGTCAGGAGTCAGAAGTAATTAAATAGCGTCACGTCCACCGTTGGTAGTCGAGGTGCATTCAGGGACAGTCGGAATTTCAACAGAGAGAGGTTTTTATGTTTCTGTGTGTGTGTGTGTGTGTGTGTGTGTGTGTGTGTGTGTGTGTGTGTGTGTGTGTGTGTGTGTGTGTGTGTGTGTGAAAACGGTAAGGAGCAAATATTATGCAAATATACGATGGATGATTCCTACAAGACGATTTGAGAATTAAAATTTCCCACCGTCATGTAATGCACAGACACGTCGGTTGAATCCTGCGGAGGATTTTCAGACTACACACAAACTTGGCATGTAACTTGTCCTAGTGATAACAATGAAGACATTTTTGGCTCCACAAACACAGAAATTGTATCAACTTGTTCAGCCGGGACTTGTGGACATTATGGGGTCTAATCAGGATTTTTATTAATTTGAATTTTCCCAATTTTTCAATCACTCATTGAGTATGCATTGTTTTATTCTTTAAACTCATTGAAACTCATTCAAACGGATTCAAACCTTTCTGAATCTTCAAAGCACTCATACTTCCAGATTATGATCATTTTAATTTTACCTGTTTTAATCATTTACACTATTCATGCATTATCAAATTCTTGAAACTAATTCCAACTCATTTTAACTGATTCAAACCTTCCTTAATTTTCATACCTGTCATACTTCCGGATTTTAAATCATTTTAATTTTCCCGTTTTAAATCATTTTCATTATTGCTTCATTATTAAATTTTTTCAAACGAATTTCAGCTCATTTAAACTGATTCAAACCTTTCTGATCCTTCAAGCCTTTCCCATACTTCAGGGTTTTTGAACATTTTTATTTTCACATTTTTTAAAAAAATTGTTATTCATGCATTATTCAATTCATTCAATGAGTTTATTCAAGTTGATTCAAATCTTCCTGATAATTCAAACCTTCTTATCTTTCACATATTTTCAAAATTCAGCGATTCGCAATAGCAGCTTAGCGATAGCGATTTCAACTGAAGCAATCCCACTCGCAATTTCTTCAGAAATTGCATTTTCTAGTTATTATTATTATTATTATTATTATTATTCCGCCGTTTTTTGGCAGTCAACTACTTCCACATACTTCAACGTATTCAAACCATTCAAACTTCAAAAGATTCGTCTCATTCCGGAGATTCCGGCTTGTATTCAAAAATTTCCTAACATTCATACTTTCCGAGATATTCCAGGTTTTCCGACCGATTTCTCCCATTAGAAACGCATTACGGAATGTTCAAATTGGCTTCAAACTTCAAAAGCCTTCAACTCCTCTATACTTCCACGTAGAAACTTCATTCAAAAACCAAAATATTCACAAATTCGTCAGCATTATTCCACATCTTCAACATTTTTAATCCCATTTGTACTTTTCAAAATATTAAGATTTGTTTAAAACTTCGTTATAATGGGAGTCAATGGGAAAAGGGCTTCAGACGTAGTCAACTTCAACCTCTTCTCATTCATTCATACTTTCACCTAGAAACTTCATTCAAACTTTAAAATATTCACACATCTTCAGACATTCACTCATTCATTCACCATCTTCATGGCATTCATACTTTTCTCACAGTGACAGTTCAAAAAGTCCAAAGATTTTCTGACCGGTTCAGGTTTTAACATTAGTGTGTATTGCACGGAATGTTGGCAGCTAGAGTGGGTGACCTCACAGCTAGAGTGAGACAGGCTGAAAATTGATCCTCAAAACTTTGTCTTTACAAAAGGATTGTGGCAACTCACTTCGCTCTACACAGATAAAAATTGGTACAGTGATGGCAAAACTCGCTGTCACTCTTCATCTAAAAAATCAAAGCCATAGGACACACACAGTGGCCTGGGCAGACACCAACTGCCGCAGACATCCCCCAGATTTCTCCAGCTTTCTCCATTGACTCCAATGTAAACCTGAGAGGAGGATTTTCAGAGGAAACACAAACTGGACATGTTTTTAACTTGTCGTAGTGAAGGCATTTTTGGCTCCACAGACACAGAAGTTGTATCAACGTGTTCAGCCGGGTCTTGTGGTTCTCACAAGCTCATTATCATGAAGATAGCAGTTACAGAGGATGAGAAATATGACGTTGTTTGGGCATTACGTTCTCAGCCTCAAGCCTCCTTTCTCCTGCTGTTGTTAAGCATCTATCGTCACCATGGCAACCAAAGGGAGCACCTGGAGACACACAGCTGGCTGGAAAGCTGCTTCTAACAGCCATATGAGACACATGAAGCCAGGCTCAGTACACAGAGTACTGGGGGTTACATTTAAAACCCTTCAATAGAGTTATTTGACGAACTTTGTCATCTATCTCTTCGCACAAACCTTGAGCTACAGAAACCATCCAGGGCTTAATAAATTCAGCTCATTGAGGACATTATGGGGTCAAATCAGGATTTTTTTCATTTACATTGTCCCAATTTTTCAATCATTCATTGAAAATAAATTATTTAGTTCTTCAAACTAATTTATTTCCTTCAAACTGATTTAAACCGTTTTGATTCTTCAAACCTCTTTTTCTTCCAGATTTGTAACCTTTTAATTCTCCAGTTTTAAATATTTTTTACTCTTAATACATTATTCAGTTCTTTCAAACAAATTCCAACTCATTTAAACTGATTCAAAACTTATTGGTTCTTCAAGCCTTTCCCATACTTCAGGGTTTTTAATCATTTTAATTTTCAGATGTTGAATTTTCTAAAACTGTTATTCATGCATTATTCAATTCATTCAATTGAGTTTATTCCAATTGATTCAAATCTTCCTGATTCTTCATACCTTTTGACCTTTCACATATTTTAAAATTCAGCCATTCGCAATAGCAGCGTAGCGCTAGCAATTTCAACTGAAGCAATCCCACTCGCAATTTCTTCAGAAATTGCATTTTCTAGTTATTATTATTATTATTATTCCGCCGTTTTTTGGCAGTCTTCCACTTCCATACTTCAACGTATTCAAACCATTCAAACTTCAAAAGATTCATCTCATTGAGGAGATTCCGGCTTGTATTCAAAAATTTCCTAACATTCATACTTTCCGAGATATTCCAGGTTTTCCGACCGATTTCTCCCATTAGAAATGCATTACGGAATGTTCAAATTGGCTTCAAACTTCAAAAGCCTTCAACTCCTCTATACTTCCACGTAGAAACTTCATTCAAAAACCAAAATATTCACAAATTCGTCAGCATTATTCCACATCTTCAACATTTTTAATCCCATTTGTACTTTTCAAAATATTAAGATTTGTTTAAAACTTCGTTATAATGGGATTCAATGGGAAAAGGGCTTCAGACGTAGTCAACTTCAACCTCTTCTCATTCATTCATACTTTCACCTAGAAACTTCATTCAAACTTTAAAATATTCACACATCTTCAGACATTCACTCATTCATTCACCATCTTCATGGCATTCATACTTTTCTCACAGTGACAGTTCAAAAAGTCCAAAGATTTTCTAACCTGTTCAGGTTTTAACATTAGTGTGTATTGCACGGAATGTTGGCAGCTAGAGTGGGTGACCTCACAGCTAGAGTGAGACAGGCTGAAAATCGATCCTCAAAACTTTGTCTTTACAAAAGGATTGTGGCAACTCACTTCGCTCTACACAGATAAAATTTGGTACAGTGATGGCAAAACTCGCTGTCACTCTTCATCTAAAAAATCAAGGCCATAGGACACACACAGTGGCCTGGGCAGACACCAACTGCCGCAGACATCCCCCAGATTTCTCCAGCTTTCTCCATTGACTCCAATGTAAACCTGAGAGGAGGATTTTCAGAGGAAACACAAACTGGACATGTTTTTAACTTGTCGTAGCGAAGGCATTTTTGGCTCCACAAACGAACAAGTTGTATCAACGTGTTCAGCCGGGCCTTGTGGTTCTCACAAGCTCATTATCATGAAGATAGCAGTTACAGAGGATGAGAAATATGACGTTGTTTGGGCATTACGTTCTCAGCCTCAAGCCTCCTTTCTCCTGCTGTTGTTAAGCATCTATCGTCACCATGGCAACCAAAGGGAGCACCTGGAGACACACAGCTGGCTGGAAAGCTGCTTCTAACAGCCATATGAGACACATGAAGCCAGGCTCAGTACACAGAGTACTGGGGGTGACATTTAAAACCCTTCAATAGCGTTATTTGACGAAATTTGTCATCTATCTCTTCGCACAAACCTTGAGCTACAGAAACCATCCAGGGCTTAATAAATTCAGCTCATTGAGGACATAATGGGGTCTAATAAGGATTTTTATTCATTTACATTGTCCCCATTTTTCAATCATTCATTGAAAATGCATTATTTAGTTCTTCAAACTAATTTATTTCCTTCAAACTGATTTAAACTGTTTTGATTCTTCAAACCTCTTTTTCTTCTAGATTTGTAACCTTTTAATTTTCCAGTTTTAAATCATTTTTTACTCTTACTGCATTATTCAGTTCTTTCAAACAAATTACAGCTCATTTAAACTGATTCAAACCTTATTGATTCTTCAAGCCTTTCCCAAACTTAAGGGTTTTTAATCATTTTAATTTTCAAACGTGGAATTTTTAAAATTATTATTCATGCATTATTCAATTCATTCAATTGAGTTTATTCCAATTGATTCAAATCTTCCTGATACTTCATACCTTTTGACCTTTCACATATTTTAAAATTCAGCCACTCGCAATAGCAGCGTAGCGCTAGCAATTTCAACTGAAGCAATCCCACTCGCAATTTCTTCAGAAATTGCATTTTCTAGTTATGAAGTATACCTCTATTTTTGGCACCAAAGTTATTAAAAAGCATGTTTGCCCATATTAAATATTAGCTGCCAGTATTACCCACTGAAACCGTTATTGTCTTTTGTTGAAACTGCATGACAATGCACCATCATGTATGATTACTGTTTCAATTAACAGCACATAAAGTATAAAGGCATTGAAACCATTCATGTGTTTTGTAGGTCTGCAGACAGAGGCCATGAAGAATGGAGAAAATGACATCGTCTTCAAACACAACATCAAGCTGCAGTCACCAAAGTGTGACTGTGAAGATTCAGAGAGCTTCAAGTCTCTCTTGTACAGAGTGAACGGGCTGGAGGAAGAAGTCAACTACCTGAAGACTCAGTGTAGTCAGGGATGTTGCGGGAGTGGTGGTGCTGGAGGTAAGAATGTAACAGCTTATGCACTTAAACTAGGGAGGTAAGCTCTTGACCAGCTAATTTTTCATTTTTATATCTCAAGGAGTTGACACAAGCTGTAATGGCCGGGGTACCTACCAACACGACTCCTGTAGCTGCCTCTGTGACCCCGGATGGGAAGGCCCAGATTGCTCAGACTCCACCTGCCCTGATGACTGCAACGACAATGGTCGATGTGTGGACGGGAAATGTGTGTGCCATGAGGGCTTCACAGGAGATGACTGCAATCAGTTGTCGTGTCCAGATGACTGCAATGACAAAGGACGATGTGTGGATGGGAAGTGTGTGTGTTTCTCACACTTTACTGGCGACGACTGCAGCGTCCAGAAGTGTCCCAATGATTGCATCGGTAACGGGCAGTGTGTGGACGGCCAGTGCATCTGTGATGAAGGCTTTTATGGGGAAGATTGTTCATTAGGTAAGGTGCTTCAGTTTATATAAACCCTACTTAAAGGTACCCTACTTTTCTTGTGTTGAATGAATACTAACTCAAGAAACAGGTGAACATTTTGCTAGCTAGTCAGTAAAGTAGTGAAAGCAATAGGCTACTAGCTTACTTTGACGATGCTAGCAAAAGGGATGACAGCTCTAATGTTGGTCATAATCATACATCTCTGGTATTCAAGGTTTCTACAGTCAGGGTCTCACTTGATTTCAGCTACTTGATTTAGGATTTAAAAAAGTAATAAAAACAGTTTGCTCGTTGCCAGTTTCACTTAGTTAGCTTGTTAGCTTTAAGGTTGATAAACTTGCTTATTTATTAACATTCATGCCTGCATTTTAAGTGTGTGTTGTCAACGAGCATAACACTTTCAAAATCCCCTACAGTGGATTGCTGATTAATACTGGTGCAAATTTACATGTCAAATTCTCCAAACTTCAATGTATTATAATTGTGCAGATTCACATTGCCCTGATGTGTGTGTGTGTGTGTGTTCATCCTCTTTTCGCAGCAATAGACCGTATTCCCATGGCAACCAATTTCTTCTAATGTAACTCTACATCTGTTTTTCAGGTCGAGCGTCAAATTAACTTTAATAATCCATCAAAATGTGATCGTTTGGCTGTAGATAATGTCTATTTTTATATCAGTTGAGCTGGCCGCACTACAATCTTTGTCACTCTGTTAACCAGCTACTTAACTGTCCATTGTCTTTGTGGCTGCTTTTTAATCAGGGTGTGGTGAAATGACCTCAATTTATCAAATTATCGAGAATAAGGGGACTTGTGACCTGACACACTGCAGTAAGACACGGTAACAGTATTTGAGCTATTTACCATGAATGTGACGTCAAAGAAAGATGGTGGACGGTTTATTTTTATTAGAATAACAGTCTTGCTGTGTTATGTCTGAGTAAGACCAGGTCTTTGAGTGGACTGAATCAGTATTCACATCCAAACTGCCAGCTGCACTTACGCAGTGTCCTCTAGAGATAAACGTGTCTGAGTAAGCATATCCCTCTCTGCTCTTTTTATGGGTAATTTATAAATCTGGGTTGCAGCATAATAACTTTTTATGACCCAGGTTCACATTAAATTTGATCTGTGTTCCTCTTGAGAATTAGCATTCACATTTCATCTCTTTATTTAGTCACCTCTATGGCTCTGCTGACATTAAACTGTGAATATTAACTACAGTCTCATAGAGAACACAGATGTTACAAGGAGCTTTGCAACCATAAAAAATTCAGCACTTGTCCCCCAAAGCCCACTTCATCTTCATATAAATTTCTTAACTGTGTCATTAAGTCACAAGTTTTATGATATACCTGAATTTATTCTCAGATCTTACTGCAGTCCATTTTTGTCTTGTACCAGCCTTTTTTCTACCATCTCTTATAGATGATTCACCCAAAAACACCCTTGGCTCATTTAATCAGTAACATACTTTTTACAGCAGACATTAACATGTGTAAATTAATCCATTGTGATGTGTTGACATCTCAACAGCTGACTTTTAGTGCTCTTCATGGGTTGGCTTTCTAACTTGACAGTTCTCATTCTCGCTTCTGGTGGTATATCCCAAATTTTAAATATCCGAGATAGTTCAGTCAGGATCACTTTGTCAAAATTCAGCTTTATCGTGCAAAGTTAGAATTGGCAGTGTAGTCCTGTTCCGGGTCCCTGCCCTTCCACACGCTTGTGCGGAAGCCGGAGGCAGGTAGAGCCCCTTCCAGCCCTTCACGAGCCATCATGAAAAGGCGATAGCAGGGAGCGCATGTGAGGTTCTGTTCGAGGTCCCCTGTTCTCCTCACAAGTGTGCGTGAGAGAGCAGCGGCAGGAAGAGCACCTTCCCGCCCTTCATGAGGCATCATGAAGGCAGAAACAACTGGGGCTAGAGAGGGATGAACAGAACCCCCCCGGAACAGGAGCGCTTCAAGGGTAGTGGAGTAGTTTATCTGGCACAAGGGTGGAGCTGGGTTGCTGGTTGGCTGTTGAAGCAGAGGAAGAGGCTGGGTTAGGGCAGTTTTAAATTGGGCACTCTAAAGGCATAGGACCAATAGGAGCTAGGAGGAACTAGCTGGGCCATCAGCTGGTTGAGGTAGCTACTTCCCATTGGCTGCCGATCAGCACTTGACATAGTGACCTGCCAGAACTAATGCTATGCGTCATTTATGAAAACAATGGTGATTGGAGTTAACTTATAAAAACAGAACATGCAATACAACACAGAACACTTTCCTGTAGCTTAAAGATCACATTATGTTTAGACATTAAAACTTGTCTGGATGTATTTAATAGAAACAAGAAACTGCAACTAAAATCTGCAACAGGTGTTTTTGTAATTTTTATTTCTTGTTCAGGCAAATCAAAATCCAAAAAAATACAGATTTATTTTGGTGTTGTGACTTTTCAAAATTGCAATGACTGTGAGCAGCAGTCACAGTCATTCAAATAAGAGTCTTATTAGAATTAAATGGTCATGCTGTTGACAAAGGTGCCTCTGGTCAGACCTGTAATTATAGCATCAAGGCATTAGTGACCCACTTCTGTGGAATTCAAAGCACCTATTGCATAACTATTTCAGATACAGCAGCAGCTGATGGGGCCTTTTCACGTTCCTGACTCCATGACCCCTGACAGCTATTGCCTGAGGACAACTCCTGACATCAGGTCACAAGACATAGAAGAACCCATCAGTCTTTTGAGGCTCCAGCTATGACCCTTAAGCACAATCATCACCTCTCCTGCTAAATGCACTGCACACCAAGCTGCTATTGCAGTACTATCCAGGGAGCAGAGTACAAAATTGCATTTTATGGCAATTTAAGGGCAGGCAAGAAGAGAGGTGAGCAGCAGCAGCCAGGCTTGGGCAGTTTAACTCACCAAATTGTGAGTTATTTCTAGCAGATCTTGAAAACTGAAGAAGACCCAAGGCACAAAATTCAGCTTTTGAAAAAAGCTTCTACACATACCTACAGGGCAGAAGAGGCATTGAAATAATATTTGAAGTTTGTCTTTATTGTCTATGATGTGTCTTCCTCTACAATTTCCCCAGAATATTTTCCCCATACTTTGAAGCAGGGAATTTTTTTTTTAAAGATTAACTTTGGTTTCATCCACAGACAGTTACTCCACAGCTAGTTTCAGGTCCTGGACCACAACTTTAAAGACTACGATGGTTCAGTCTTCACAGTAGCAGGTCAGCTATGTCAATCCCTTGCAGGTGCTTTAGTTTCTTCAAGCTGTTTTAGCCTGCAGAGGCAGGGGTAGCTGGAGACAGAGCAGCAGCTCCGTGTGTAGGTGCTGTTGAACAGAGTCCAAAATCAACAGTGGCAGTGTGTCTAAGGAAGAGTCAAGGAGGAAGGGAAAGTGGAAGGTAAGGGAATAGAAGACACCGTGTTGATTTTGGGTGTGAGTAATAATCGGGGTAATAAGCCGCGAGAGAAGAGGCACTCTGAAGCAAAGCAGTGGAGCTGTTTTTGTTTTATGTGGCTATTTGCCATTTCAGCTCCTGGCTGATGGATGTCAATCTGCTCTGTGGGTGATGATGGAACATCATATTCAGTATAAGGCTCCCTTTTCCAGCCACTGATGTTCGAATCACAGACATCAAAGAGGGATGCTGTCAGCCAAAAAGGATCAATGCTGTCTTGGCAATTTCAAATATTTTTGTTGCCTGAACTCTTACCTGTTCACAGTGTTATAGCTTTTAAAAACAAGGATAATAAAAACCACATGTTATCAGGTGATACTGACATTACCTGAGTTTAATTTCAAAGTGTATAAGTGAACTTTAATGAGCTATTTCAACACAATACAGATGTTTTTGATTTAAAACTCTTATTCTGCCTTCATTTACTGTCTCAGAATTGTTTTCTTTTATTCTAACAGGTTGTAGTCTTAATAATATGCCCAGATTATTGTCCAGATGAGCTCTCAAGTATATTTAGCTGTATTTGAGTATAGCGTATCATACTTTATTTCCATGACTGAAAAATATTTCTGCGCGGTAAGAAAATTCATACAAAAAGATGACCCCAGAGAAACAGCTTAGAATAAATTGATTAAATTTCCATTTCATTTTACCTGAAGATTAGCACCAATACTTCCTCATGGTCATTCTTTGCAGACTTACAGTCGATTTAACAACCTCAAACATGTTGTTTCAGTCATACTTTCCTTTCTCAGATTGTCTTTCACTCATCTTTAACAGGGTGGGAGACACAAGGCTATTGCTTTCCACTTTTTTCCGATCTTAAAATGTTAATTTATTCACCCGAGCTGTTCTGAAATATTATTTGAGGGCCAGGGTTGTTGATGGTCGTGCCTAGAGTAGTAACAGGGGGATATTAAGTGCTACTGGATGGAAAAGAACTGCTACACTTGAGAAAAAACAACATAACGCTTCCTGAATTTGCCTTGTGGAACAGCAGCTGAGCCTGATGTGAATTCCCCCCCTGCCAAAGTTATGGTGGACCCCTTCACCAGCCGTTTCACTTTTTCCTCTTAGAATATGCTTAGCTTATGTGTAATGTGCTGTATTTCACTAAAGTACTCCCACTGTACCCACATAAAGTACTTGTTGGTGGTAAGCCTCACTCTGCAACACTGCTGACTTGCTGTCTTTAGACTGTTGGCTGATATTTTGTTGCTGTACCTATCCAACCTAATATAACTTCTTATTCGCCTTCTTTCATACTTTTCCATCATCTCACTGCAAGCCCCCGGGCCTCATAAAATTGCTTTTTTTTTTTTTCAAATTAATGTTTTTTTACTTTTATAAAGAAACCTCAATGTCCAAAATAATGAATTCACTGTCGAATTGAATCGAGGAGCAGACAGCGAGGAAAATTTAGAGGCTATTTAGGCAGATTGAGACAACAAATAAATTGTAAAAACAAAATAAAAAATTGATTGAGGAAGAATATGTGCTCGTTTTATATTTGAAAAAGATGGAACATGGATGACATAACAGGAAAAGTCGTGTAATGCTTAAAAACACCTTCAATCAATCTCAACCAATCAGTCCTTATCCCTTGAGGAACACGAACATTTTATAATGTTGACAGGTTAGTAATGCAACTAGGTACAAAAGTGACAGACTAGAAGAACTGAGTTGTTCAGATGTGAAGATAGGAAAAGGTTGACCACTCTGTTAATCAATCAATCAATCAATCAATCAACTTTATTTCTATCGCATATTTAAAAGAACCACGGGGGTAGCCAAAGTGCTGTACATTGTGACATAAAAACAAATAAAACAAGCAAAGAACAAGATAGACAAAGTGAGCAAGTAGTTCAACAATTTCAGCATTTGTGTGCCTGATATAATCAAAGACCCAGAGAATCTGAAGAAACCTTTGTACAAAAGGGACAAGGCTATTGAGTAATAATGGATGTCTGTGATATTTTGTCTCTTAGAAGGCACTGCATTTAAAATAGAAATAGAAATTACTGCATAACCTGAAAATTGCTTCTAGAGATCATTGTCTCTGAACAAGGTTTATCATTGAATCCACAAACGCAGGTTGAAACTGTACCATGCAAAGAGGAAACTATATGTATAAAAATATCCAGAAACATTGGAACCCCAATCAAGATGGACAGAAAAGGTGATATGGATAAGATTATTGATATATTTTTTTTTCTTTTACATTTTTGATTCACACCCAAGAGTAAGAAAAGCCAAGATTTGCACATTTATTGTTAATCATGCATTCTGCCTGAAACGACCACAGTAAAGTCACAAAAACAAAGAACAGTTCTGACTCTGCAATCGTCTTTTATTAAATTGTGAACTCCTTTACACGCAATACTATCTTTCCAAGTATCTCTCCATTTGCTAAATGTCTGGATGGACAAATGTCTGCAGTTCACATGTCTGTCTTGAAACATGTCCCACTGACTTCAAATGTTGCTACAAATTCTGCAGTAGCTGACAAAATCCTTTGTCTTTAACTTCAGAAAGAGGTGGATAATCAAGTGCTGTTTATTCAGTGATATCTCAGTTATTACCAAACACCTTTATATATTATTATCAAAAACATCCTAATCTAACCTAATCCTAACCTTGTGTCTGTGTCTATCTCTGTCTGTCTTCCTCAGTGCTTGGCCCACAGGGTCTACGTTTGGTCCAGGTGACTGATGTGTCCCTTCTGGTCGAGTGGGAACCTGTCCGTGGAGCAGAGTACTACATTTTGACATATCATCCCAAAGATGATCCAAGGGCCATGAAGGAAGTATGTTTTCTACCTCTTTTTTTGGGTGTGTCAAATAAAAGATGCTGGATTTTAAGAAAATCTCACAATAGGATGTGCAGATGGATTGTCTAATTATACAATTGACTACCAACAAAACAGGCAACGTGATCAGGGCATGATCAGCACATGCACATCCCTTTTTGCTCTTATTGATATCTAATTGTTGTACATATTGTGCAGCTGATACTCAGACTACCTTTTTTAACCCACTGTATTGTAGGTGCGGGTTCCTAACACGGAGAACTCATACCTCATCACCGGCTTGTCTCCCGGGGTTACCTACATCGTCCAGGTGCACGCCGTCATCAGAGAAATCCGAAGTGAAGCAGACAAGATTGAAGCTACAACAGGTGAGTGCAGGCTGCTCTAAATACCAGCATTTATCTTCAAAAGATGTGCTCTCTGTGACTAAATGAGCATGACGCAGTTTGAAAACAATTACTGGTTCGGTGGAATGGGGCTGAAAGCAACATGCTGCCTTTAAATACTTTGGTGGTTTGGGAAAAAGGCAGAGTTGGTCTGTTAACGACTCCTGTGGCAGGAAGGCCAGGTAAGGCCTGCAGGTATGGGGAGATTAAGTCAGATTTTCTGTGGATTAAGTGGTCACATTCGAGGTTGGAGGTGCATTTGCTGTGTTCATGCCTCAAGTGTAATGAGGCATGAAAACACTAGTACGTAAAGTGCTGAAGGAGGTGTTGAAATGGAAAACAAGTTTGAGGTGACAGGTCCTCACTGCACCCCAGACATGATAGATTTTAACCGACACCTTTGATATCATATCTAGATTAGGGTGATAACAGTTGTTTGTGTTTTTAGCATTAAAGTTTTTCCTCTACATGTTGCTACCTTTAGGCCAATGGTTTTCTAAGACACACAAGATGAAACCTGTCATCACTAAGTGTTTCATCAAGAGCTGGTTTGTTAACTCTTAAATTTTAAGGTAATGACAAGGAAATGGCTCCACACTTGTGTTAAAGGAAATCAACTCGCTCTTAGATGTGGCAGAGACAGATGTGAGGAGAAAAGAGATTAACAGACAGGGCTGGCGGTTGGTGTGGATGGGACAGACAGACCGATGGAGAGAGAGAGAGATGGAGTTTGACGCTAATGTGCGGTTAGCCTGGTTAGCAATGGAAAACCTCACACAGCATGGCATTCCCATATGGGCATGGGAAAACACGCCATCATCTGGCTTATTGGTCTAGAGAGGGAACTCAGCAGGAGGCAGAGGTTTAACATAGTTTTCAACTTCAAACGATGATCTACTTCAAAAGAGAGCTCTTGTGAGTGTTTCTGTTTTCTCCATATAAAGACACAATAGATGGCATTAAAAAAACTGCTGTCTCATTTCTTTTTCTGCTTTTTATTTCGTTTTATGGTTTTGATCTGTGTCTTGATACCATATGCTGTAAATTTTGTCACCCTTCTTGGCTGTGCTGGTGTTAAAAATGTCACTCAGTGGTAGCTCTCAAGTCTGTTGGGGGCCTTTGACAAAAAAATTTACGGGGGCTCCCAACAGAATAATTTACGACGGAGTATTAGGGCCACATTAAAATTGAGACTTTGTAATTACTTCCAAGAAAAAAGTCGTAATAAAATTATTACTTACGAGAATAAAGTAGCAGCTAATAGCTATTCTAACCTGTTGTTAGTTGTTTAAATGAGCGCTGTGGAGCATTTAGATGAATTGAACTTCAGTAGCTAGGTTTCACAAACAAGGAGATAAATCCTTTGGTGTTTCAGAATCACATTGTCATAAGTAGGAGGACAGTAGGAGGAGGGGGAAATGGCTGTGCAGAGGCTCAATCCCTCAATGCAGATGTTTATAGCAATAGCATATGGCTTTAGTTTATCGTATGATTCTATATGCCATAAGGTGTTGGTGCCTCTGCAGGTGTAGGTTGATACCGGTATTGTGCCAGCATCAGAGACAGATGCGGTGCTCATCGGAGCTCGACTCCCTCTGAATCGCATATGTTGATCATCAGTTGGATTGTTTCTTGAGAAACCATAAAAGCCCTCTGAATGTCCCACTGATGCACCCACAGATAACTGCAGTTGACCAGTTCCAGCCATTTCCTCCTCCACAAATGCAGCTTTAAGACTTCATTTACTTTACGACTTTATTCTCGTAAATAAGGATTTTATTATGACTTTATTCTCGCAAGTGATTATTTTATTGTGACTTTTTTCTCGTAAGTAATGATTTTACTACAACTTTATTCTCGTAAGTAAGGATTTTACTACGACTTTATTCTCGTAAGTAATGACTTTAATCTCAAAATCTTTTTTTTTTCTTAATGTGGTCCTAATACTCCATTATAATAAATAACTTGACACCAACAAAACTATTTTTAAATATTGTTGAGTGTCAGTACTATAGCTGTACTAACACTGATACACTAGTATTGTAACTTCTAGCTTATTTCTGATCTATTAGCCTGATATGTAAGCTAACAAGTCAACTGCCAATGTCCTGAATCTGACACCTGGGGCTCTATTTTCGTGCCTCGCCGGAGACGTGCCGCAGGCGCGGCGTAAGTCAGGTCCACCGCGCCGACAAGGCGTTCCCAAGCACAATTTGGTATTTTGGTGAGCAGCGCAGCCGGGCGTAAGTATCCCCCCTCCCTGACTCAGCTCCTCCCGGCGGCGTAAGTCGTAGCGAGGAAGGAGAGAGGGCGTGGAGTGGGTTTAACACAGCCGAGACCTGTTTTCACCAATCACATCAGCTCCTCTCCTTGCCTTTAAATCCACCACAGGCGAGGCGTATTACCATTTTCGTGAAGTAGTCAAAGAGATCAAGAGATGTCTGAAGACAGTAATGCTCCTCCTACTGGCTGGCTGCAGAGTCAGTCCTAAACCCACCTCCTTTATGTTGACTGATGGATCATGCATGAATCTAAAGATGAAAAGTCTGCATTGAATTAATTTTCTCAAACCTAGTTTCTATGACTGTGACTTATCCCACTGGTTTATATCCAAGCTTTCATTTCTTTGTTCAGATTAAATTGTTTGATATTTAAAAGATGAGTGATTGACAGCTATGTTGGCAAAAGCCTGCTTCTTCTACCTTAAGCAGAGTAGAGGAGGAACAGAAAAAGAGATGTCACCAATGCTAACAGAAGAGTCCTTTTCATGACACTAAACAGAAGTCCTGCTATTTTTTTTAAAGAGGGATTTACATATATTAAAACACACATTTTAAATTTCAGTTTGCCATTTTCCTGTCATTGAGACCTGTCACAGTACTTGTTGTGTGGCTGAATAAAAGCAGAACAAGTTATTAATACTAAAGTATATTTGGTTTCGATAATGTCTTGAAGGCTAAAAGATCAAAGAGCATGTCTCCCTCCTGACCAAGGTCACGTTTCAAGCTGGAAGTAATAAATCATCCAACTCAAGGCCACGATGGAGCAGAGCGGGACAGATGCATGTTATGACAGAGGCTTTCACACAGAGCTTCCAGTTTAAGGGTCAAGTCTGTACAACCAGTTTCATGTTGTTGTCTTGTATCCTTCACAGATGTTTCAGTCATTGATGATATTCAAGTTCTTGGCCAGACAGAGGACTCCATCCAGGTGGACTGGAAGAACCCACCTGTAGAGGTGGATCACTTCAGGCTGACACACACTGACCCAGCAGGACGGGAAGAGGAACAGAACGTACGGATGAGCCAGGAGGCACGCACAAAGCACACCATTGTGGGTGAGTGATATAATAAGTAGACATGTTGTATTTTGAAACCCTAAAGCCAATGTATAAATAGCATACTTTTTGACTGTTATGCTACAACTGTTAGTTCACTAACTCAGTGCGCACTCCTAAAAACTCATAGCTTTGTGACATAAAAACAGACATACTCTTAATATGTTAATGCTAAGATGTTTCACATCAGGGTTCCGCCCACCCTTTCAGCAGTCTTCATTTGCATAAACACCAGTTCACTGTACGATATCCTGATAATTACTTGGCTACCAACCAGGAGAGTTAATAAGAAGAAGCAAAATATGGATTTTAATATCATTTTATTGAATTAAAAAATATTTCCCTCCAACCCCATGATCTGTATCGGTACCATGGATACTGATTCTTATTAGCCTTGCTGTATGAATAACACAAAACTGTCACAGCTTTTACATTAAAGCTATTAAAAAGCTATTACCTAGCATTTGCCCCTCTTGGTCCCTCCAAGTACAGCACTGACTATTGTTTATGGTCAAGTTATGTCTATCAGTAATAGGTGTGGTTCTATTACTCTGTGGGCTGCTCTTACATCTATACCCAACAGTCATTATTTTCAGATTCTGAAGACCAGCCCGAGATGGAAACTAATGTTTTTGCCATAATTTAGACTTCTTATGTGTTTGCACTGGCGTCACTCTTGTCCAACAGGCAGAAATGAAGTGACCCCTTCTCCTTTGCATGGTTTAATTTGATATAAGATGTGTGTTCAGGTTGCCCCTGGTGCCAGTTTTGTAATTGGGAACAGCTAACTATTGTCATGGGGTTTGGACCAATCAAAATCAAGATGTGTATTTCTTCTGACCTTAATTATCTTAAAAACAAGTTTGGGTCTCCGGGTTTGTTGTTTTCCACACACACTGAAGTTTTTTACATTACATATTTCATTGTTTAAAAACGATGTACTCTTGCAGGCCTGTTTCCAGGGACGGAGTACCAGATTGCAGTCCAGGCCATCAAAGGAGCTGTGGAGGGAAAATCTTCCTCTGTCATCGGTGCCACAGGTCAGTGAGCCATTTCTGACACTCAGTGACTGGCATCCCCTCTGCAATCAGCTAATAAGAGCTCCTTCTTATATGTTTTATTTTATTTATTCATTTATTTTGATTCCGTCTGTCCTCATCAAAAACTAAATATATGATTAGCTCTGTTTAATTAATTACTGTCTGCTATCATATTTTCTTTTTCTTTTAAGTACAAGCTGCCCAAAACCAGCTGCTCAGATGAGCAATTAAATTCAGCACTTCAGAAAGTTAAGCTTCATCAAAAGGCCTTTTTTCAATTAGAAAAAAAAAGTATATATATATATATTTTTATATATGTATTAGAGACTCTATTCCTTTTTGTGGTGCCACCAACTATGTCTAAATTTGACGACACTGAAAACCAATGAATGAGTAATTTCTGAGGAGGACAGCATTAAAGATTCAGCCAGGATATCCATATTCTTCTTTGGTTTGAATTAAGTGAAGCATAAATAAAGGCTTAAACTCCTGTCAAGCCACCTTTATTTTAACAGTGGTTAGCCCCAAATAGGAAAAACACATAATCTGTCAAACACAGTCAGCATGATAAAACCTTCCACACGCAGCCAGTGATAATAGCATAATGAATACAGCCTGCTAGAAGCATGATTGTGGGTTAATAATAGAGGGCGGGAATTTTCAGTCTAATAGCCTGGACAGGTCCTAATGGCTGTGGTGAGCCTGTTCACCGAAGGGAAACTTGATATGAATGGTGTAACGACTACAAGATGCTCCCTGACTACTGAGGTGAGAAGGTCTGTGATTTACAGAGTCCATCTGGTAATGTTGGACTGAGGCAGCGTGGCTCTGAGTCCAACAGTGTTCATAGACCTTTATTAAGCAGTGTTTCAGGACGTGACGAGGAATTCATTTCGCAGCTAGTCTTGAGATTGAATTGCTTTAAAGTTGATACTCAAGTGACAAACAAATGGCCTATTAGGACACAGCAGGTCTTCAGTTACTCCTTTTATTCTACTAATTTGTACTTTGTTATTCTCTAATACTCTGTCTCCCTCGATTTCTTTTTTCTCATCCGCTCTCCAGCCCTCAGAGCAAAAAAACAGTGTCGAGGCTGATGGCTCTCTATGATTTGGTACTTGTGGCAGCCAATTTAACGGTTTTTAGTCACTAGGTGATTTCAAGACTCTCTTTTTCAGCCAGTCAGAGTCTCAAAGGCCCTGGTTATTACGAGCCTTCTTTATTCTGTGTGTGTTTTATACTCGAGCATTGCATGTGTGTATGTGCAGATGTGCTAATCTATACCACACAGGCCGTGGCTTGTCTCTACCTCAGTAGCTTCAATCCTTCATTTGAGATGTTTCAGGAAAGGGCTTAGTGGTGATTGAGGAGGATAGTTCTCAGCTCTGTGTGTGAGTAAAGAAGGTGCTGGTATAGCTCAAATAAATTGGAGCACACTCACCTGCTATCTCACCAGACATTCTGGTTACTTCAGGGGCTGTGCAGTCATATGCAGTAACAGATAAGAAGAGCACGAAGAGGAGAAGAAAAATAACAACATAAGAAGAATAAGAGGAAGAAAAATTGGGTTTATGGTTACAACAAGAAATGGAAGTGTGGTTGGAAAAATAGGCCAAATACGACATGGGAAACAAAACAACACTTAAGATGAAGCTGGATATCAAAATAATTGGTCTCAATGAAAGCATTTTATTGGCATAGTGCTTTTACTATACTGTGAAAAGATCTCCTGTTTGATTGGCTGAGACTGATTCCCCTTATTACGATTGTTTTTCACTGTTTTGTTATATAAGGATCACTTCAAGAGCTAAAAAGTACGAATGTCATTATAGTAAAGCAGTAATATTAACAAAAAAAAGTTGAAAATAGATGTGAAAAAAAAAACAAAAAAACAAAACAATGATGCTGCATTCCTTTTACCTCGGAAGTCGGAGCTGGGAATGATGTTACACCTGAAATGGCGGCGTTTCAGTAAACAAGTCGGAAAACCAAGAAGGACGCCTACTGTTAGCCGTTGTTAGCTGTTGTTTACAATTGTCAGTTGTTGTTAGCTGTCGTTAGCCGTTGTCAGTTGTTGTTGGCCGTTAACAGTTGTTGTTAGTCTTTGTCAGCTGTTGTTAGTTGTTGTTGGTGATACTAGTTGTAAACAATACATAACACAGTATTTTACTCTTACAAACATCATAGCACCGTGTTCACTGTTAGACGTTGGGCAGTACAATATATACCACTTATTAAATTTAATAAAAACAAAACAGAAGTGCTAATACATAACACATTATGAGAGCTTTCACTTTTACTCTTTACTGTTGATGCACTGCGCTGCCATCTTGGATTATGACTTTGTCAGCAAGTCAGGGTTGGTGAGTATCATCCGACTTTCCGAGTCAGAAATCCAACTTCTGAGTACAACTGGAATGCAGCATTAACATTGGCTTTGGTTAGCCTATTTATTAGAGTGCCTACATGTTCACCTATTGATGGAAATGAAATACTGTATTTGGAGACAGACATCTAAATTATCTGATGGTTAATTCAGCTACACAGCTGGAACATGACTTTATAGAGAGAGAGGGTGGCAGATGAAGTAAGAGCCTACAGCACTTCTTGAATACTGTTGAACAGAAATAAAGACAACACCCACATCTCCTATAATGGTAACTGTGACTTAAATATAAACTGCTAGAAGAAAGTCTATAACAGCCTGTAAAGGTCACTGTAAGGTCAGCTGTCACTCAGCTATAAGTACATTGGGTTAAATCCTGATATGTTTTTTCAACACATAGTCCCCTTTTCTCTGACCTGAAGAAAAGAAAATGCTAAATTTACAAATGTATTGACCGTAAATTTTTTTTCCTTTCTGTGCTGAAGCTGAGATGTAGCTTTGATGGACTTTAGATAACTGTATGGTGATTAAATGACAATATGATACCTTTGTTCTTGCCTTTGTATGGACACTGTCACCCTCGCGGTAGGTTCAATTTACAAATCTGCGTCAGTCTATGTGTTTGTGTGGGTAGCTGTCCGATGTCTTTCAGCTGCTGTCAGTTCACAAGTAAAATGATTCAGTGACAGCGAACATTTGGGAAAACACTAAAACTCCACTTAGATCTGATGTTTCATACTCGCTGGCCTGCCAAAAGATTATCAAGCTTATAAACACAAGATACCGTGACTGCTGCTGCTGCTGCCACTGATTCAGATTCAATAAAGTCCCACCAAGGCCTGTATAACCTAAAGCAGATGGACTTGGGTTTGGCAGAGGAGTTGAATGTTTAGATTTAACGTTATCTGGACACACTATATCTCCACATGTGGTCCGCAGGGAGTCCTCGGTCTGCTCAGACGCTGTCCATCAGTACTGTGGGTGATCCCTAAAGCTGGAGATGCCAGTAAAATATCAGGTTCAACTGTGAGATGGGACATTTTATGCTTGTTCACTCGTGTTTGTTTGTAGAACTTCATATTGGTCTGAACGTGTCTACTGAAGGATGAAAGTACAGGAAAATACTGTTACAGCCTTTCAGTTGCAGTGACATCTGTAAGATGTTTTGCCATCTGTATCCTGAGTTGTGGCTACACATTGTCAAACTTCTACCGTGCCAAGTGTCGCATTTTTTTTATTTTCAAGGAATCACTTTTGGACTTTTTCCGCCTTTGTTCAGAGTAAAGAGAGGGAAGCAAGGGAGGAGGGAGCAAGGATGGCAGGGAGCCACTGGTTAAGCTGCTTGCTATCTTGACTACAGCGTCCATATATGGTGTGATTTAACCCCTGAGTCAAGCAGGTGCCCCAAAGATGGCACATTTTACATTTTTTTAATCCAATACACACAGAATGAAATGCCTTTTTGTGTGTAGCTTTTATCTTCTAATGCTTTTACATGGTGCATACAAAAGGTTACTTCTCTTCATACATAGTTGATTTTTCAGAGTGACATATAAGTCGGTTAACACCCTAATAAACTGTTGGAAATCACTTAAAGAAGCTTAAGTAGAGGAACTCCACTCATGTTCCCTTTGATTTACTGTATCTGCAGACTTACTGTTTCATTATGGCTTCCCTGTATGGTAAGGCTGTTAAGCTGCGAGGCTGTAAATGATGAAAGATGGCCTGCGACTGTGCGCCTTGTGGTCCGCGCTTCTGTTGAAGATGCCGCCTGTAATGGATAAGCTGTTTTCCAAACATCAGAAGCCACAGCTAATGTTCTGGGGGCCGGTAGCCGCTGTCGCTACTCGGCTAGTGGGGCAGAACGTCTGGGGAAACTCGATCCATCAAACAGTGTAGCTATGGAGCAAAGCAAGGCAATCTGAAAAAGCAATAGTGCTCAGAAAAAAAGGACCTTGTTATACATATAACATCTCAAACAGGCAGAATCTGCTGCCACCTCAAACTGCGGGGAGAATAACACTCAGTGGGGGGAAAATAAACCCTCATTCTGATGGAGAACAGAGATTTGTTAAACACAAGCTCTGCTCAGACATTTACTAGTCAAATAATAATTTAGGTTAGTTAGTGGTAAGAGTTAAAGAGCAATAACAGACCTTCAAAGTAAACCGTCAAATGCTTTCTGTTGCTTGTAAATCAATTTTGTAAGTCTTTTATTCAATTTGGAACAACATCTGCAACCAATGTTACGTCGACTTAAAAACAAAAAGTATTGAGAGCAGGAGAACGTAGAAGGAATTCATCTCAGACTCTTACTCAGCAGTGTTGAAGAAAAAATGTATATTTTTCACCTTTATTTAAGTCTGGGGCACTCAGACAAAGAGCACACGTAGCTCCAGCAGACCCACTGTTTCATGACCTCCTGGCAGGAAATGCTGCTGAGTTAAAGTGCAGCAAAATTAAAGAACAATTGTCAGTGCCATAAAAATTCACTTACAAAAAGGTTGCGTGACAACCACCTCCCAGAAGCATAATCTGATTATTCCCTCAGATCTGATAAAGAACCGTAATATGATCGATCAAGTGTATCCATTAAAATAACATAATCCACAATCACTGATAACACTCAGGATGCCGAAAGTAATATACTAAAATAAAGATACAGGTTACAACTAAACTTTTGTAGATAACCTTTTAAAAATCTTTTATTTTGAAGCAGGTTCTGTGGGCAAATATATGATCTTGGGTGTGACGTAAATTATCATTAGCAGTCACTCGGGAAGCAAACAGGACAGAACGCATCAGTTGCAATGCAATCTAAGATCCAATCAAAGGTTGTCAGACAACCGAAAATCAAACTTATGCAAGTGAAGCTATCTGTTCTTTTCAACTCTAAACTTCTTTTCAGTTTATAAAGTTGCAAATGGGACTGGAAGCAGAGGCATAACGAGACAACAGATGTCGTGACACTTGTTTTACTGTGGGCCCCGAAAAAGTTATCTTAACCCATAGAGACAAACACTGTCATTAGACATTAACCAGTGAGTTCTAAGATTAAAAAAAAAAACACATACCAAACAAAATATATATATAATTAAATGACTTGCACCAATTGCTCATTAATAAGACTGACAACTGATAGAAATTTAACTCACATTTCAGCCAAATCCTGATTTTTTTTTGCAGATTTCACTGTAAGAAAATTAATGTTTTCTGCCGTTTTACAGCCATTTCTAATAGCCAATAAAAAGGAATTTAGTTTGGACTTTAGTTTGGACAGCTATGTTTGCAAAAGCCTGCTTCTTCTACCTTAAGCAAAAGAAGGAAAAGAAAAAAGGGTTTTAACCAATGCTAGCTGAAGAGTTATTTTCATAACACTAAACAGAAGTCCTGCTAATATTTTCAGGAAAGATTTGCATGTATTGAAACACACATTTTAAATTTATTTAAAAGACCTGTCTCAGATTTTAAAGACCTGTCACAGTACTTGTTATGTGGCTGAATAAAAGTAGAACAAGATATTAATACTCAAGTAGGCTATATTTGGACTGTGGCTGTGAATGATTAAGTTACAAAAGAAAGGTAAGCTTTATCTCTACTTCTTATAAATATACCCTTTGTTGCAGTTTGATACAGCTTTTAGTTTTGCTGTGTCTTTGTGAATCCATCGACATGTGTCTGTGACTACATGAAAAGTATACGCTGCAGTTTCTGGGCTCCTTACTTTAGGTACTTAAATGGTTGAATGGACTCTCATTTTCACTCTCCTTGGAGGAAACACTCAATGCTAATAAAAGATAGAGCTATTATATATTCAGCTTTGGCTTTGGCTCATATCAGACTGTCAAGCTGTGCAGCCACAAGGATGAGAAAGTGACAACGGGAGAAGAAAAGAGGCAAACAGGGGAAATGGAGTTAGACAGTTGCATAGATGCTTTCTTCTCCTGTATGCTTCATAAATCAGTTTTCATGATGCAGGCTGCACACTGACACAAGACTGACCTCGCCTGAGCCGCTGCCACAGAGGAATACTTCTAAATGATGATTGCTTTTACAGCCCCTCCACTTCCTCTGTGGATCTCCAACTAGGCCTCTGTGGCTCTTTTATTTTCTATCTCCTTTCCTTCTTTTGTTGCTCCTCTATCTCTTCTTTCATGGAAATTCCCTCGATAGAGACTAACACTCATTCACACATTCACTGTACCAACTGCACTGCCATGCTTCTTCTCTCCTGTGGGTCCTCACTGACTTTACAAACAGCAGCTCTGTGTTCTGCTGGGCTTCTGTGTCCTCATCCTACCGCAGCTCATCCTGTGGAGCTCTGTGGACAGGACAAGACTGCAGGTACGCTGCTGACGTACTTTAAAAGAGCCTAACAGAGCCAAAACACAACCCTACCTTCAGCAACTCCACAAGTTGATGTTGAGTTGAAGTCCAACAACTGAGACACTGCAGCTGCCCACGAGCCTGTTTTTATTCGTATTGTGCAGTACAGACTTTTCATAATAACCTGTATATGTTTAAATGAACTGATAAAGATAAAATGTATCCCTGTTTTTTAAAGGCTGTTCTCCATAACAAACAACAACATCACTTAGGAAACCGAGTAAACCAAAGTCATAATGTGTTAATAGTAGAGGGACAAAAAGCCTTCTTGTGGTCTCAAAGCAAAGAAAACAACCAGGTTGTGTGTTGTTGTTATAAATAAAAGTCTGCTGAGGGAGGACACATTTTTTTTAGCTAAATATTAACAAAGCACTAAAGCGTGGTTTTCCTGTTTTCAACAGACTGCCAATATTGTAGTCTGTTTTGGGTCGATTGCTTGAAAGCAGGACAACATGATTCCCGAAATTAAAGCATGTGTTTATTGTTTTACTCATAAGAACAGTATCTGCTTTTCCTTGGAAAAGTATTCACTTTTACCAAAACATCAATATTTTTCTCCACCTCAGCCAAATGTTTTTGTGCCCAAACATCTGTCCAAACGAAAAAAAAATATACACAGATTTTTCTTCAGAAAAAACACATTTCCAACAGTGAAATAAAAGTAAAAAAGCTAACTCGGCACAGGTGTTAGAAAATAAAATAAATCATTACAATAAACTATTAAAAAATATTGAAACAAACAAACAAGAAAAGGATAACAACTTGTAATAATGGGATTAAAAGTCATGGTTATAGGATCAATCATTAAAATAATAAAATGAGAAATCTAAATTATGATATAGCAGGTTATAAATGTGAGACGAAATGCTGAAACAATTAAAGAGTCAAAAACATGAACAGGTTAATCATTAAAGTATGTAACTTAAGGTGTCACGAGAGAAGGAGCAGCTTCCAGTTTCATGTCTTGTTCAAACTATTACTCAACCCTACAACAAAACTTCTGTGTGTTTCTTGTATTCATGTCATGCTGTGTTATCTGTACTTTAAGTACAGATCTTGTGGCTTCTGTCATCTTCACCCTGTGTGAAACTATAAAATTCTCCTTTCAACTGTGTTTTTGTAGCTCATAAACCGGGAATGAACTGGTAAACTGAGACTTATGAAGGGATTAAAATAAGGATAACTCATTTACCTTTTTTTTCTGTGGTTAACTCTTCAGACATTGATTCTCCTACCAACCTGGTCACCACTGAAGTAACAGAGGACACGGCCACAGTATCCTGGGATCGAGTCCAGGCGGCGATAGATGGCTACATGTTGAGCTACACCTCTACTGAGGGCTCCTCTTCAGACATCCCTGTAGGACGAGACCTCAGCTCGTACAGGCTGGTTGGCTTAAGGCCCGGAGTTCTCTACACAATCTACATCTGGGCGTACAAGGGAGACAGAGTGAGCAGGAAGAGTTCAACAGAAGCTGAAACAGGTGACACTTTTAGCTTACCCACTTTTATTCTAGAGAGGATCAAGTTTTTTCTTTGGTTTGCAGCTGAAGAGTTTTATGGGTTACCTGAGAGACCAATAACTTCAAAAGTGTCTTATGTAATCCTCCAACAGTTTAACTTTTTATCCTAACACATCTGAGGCAATTTACTGTTTAGAAGAATTTTCTCCTTCTGTGTTTACTTAAAAAAAAAATGAAGGGTGTGTGGCGTGACCTGTCATCCTCCAGCATCTGAAGTGTTCCCCCGCAGTTTGTTTTCTCCACTGTTTCGCTTTCTTCTTTTGCAGACTGAACAGCACAAAATATGTTTCAAGTGTCTTGTTTTTCTGAGTTTTTTTTTTGTGCAAGCTCTATCTTCAAATAGTCCTTGTGCACAATGCACTAATCATTTCCTTTTGATCTATTGAGGGTTGGTTTTCCTGCAAGATTTCCTCATTTTTGTCATGGCAAGAAGTGAAAAAAAAACATCAGAGCGGACTTTATTCACTTAGCACACTAAACCACTTTTTGCAGAAGTGCCGAGAGGAAAACTTGAACTCTCACTGAAAAGCCTATTAAACGTAATTATGCTGGACACCTCGTTTAAAGGTGTAGTGCAGCCTGGGGCTGAATGTTTCAAAAGAAGTTTGAGAAGAGCCAATTTTGCTCATTCAACAAAGCCAGTTATTTTGTTCCTCCTGTGTTCCCCTGTCTCTTGATCTTTGCTGTTGTGAAGTTTAGCAGCTGTTGCTGTCTGTTTGCTTTAATGTCTGTGAAGAAAGGCGACTGGAGGAGCTTTCAAGAGCTGACTGGCAGATATCCAAATTGCTTTAAATATTCAGTTGAGCACAAGGAGACAAATGTTTTGGGACATTTACAGGCATTACTGGAAAATAGTGAAAACTGTGGCTTTGTATTTGTGGGACCGTTCAATGCCAATAGTGACAATGACATACAGCGTTTAAAATGACCAAAAACAAGAACCCCTGCTCATCCTGCTGGGATTAATATATGAACATTATCTTTATTTTTAACTTGTATTTTCTCGAAGTGAGCTGCTTCAAGTGTATGCTATGTTGCATTGTATGTGTGTGTGTTAGCAGGGTTCTTGTGCCAATATACTGTACATTTCCATCATTTCTAGCAAAATTGGTCCAAAAAGCTGCCTCGAATTATTTATGTGCTTGATATTCCATTCATCTTCCCAATTTGCTTTCTCCATTTATTCCATTTTTGTCACTTCGTCACAGTTTTTATGTTTTTTCTGGACCTTTTGGAGGAGGAGAGCAGACATGTTCGTTTCAATAACCTCACTCATACATCAACCACTGGGAGTGAACTCGGTCCTAAATATCTGAAGTGACTCAAACTTACTCCCCTTGGCAGCTATTCTAGTAGTTGTCATCTCAATCACAGGAGCGGTCTGGGAGGAAAAACAGCTCTTATTACTATTTGATGGGACTGTATACAAATTGAAAGTTGAAATTTCAGTGTTCAAATCAAAGACTGAAGACTCTCATGTGGAAATTCATTCCTATTTTTCGAGAATATTTGGTGTACAGTGTGGGGTCTTATTACCAAACTGCAAATCTTCTTCACAGAGGCAAAGCCAGTGATCTGTGTTGAACATGTGTGGAAATTTCTTATTCTATTCTTCAATTAGTGTTTCCAGTAGTAATATGCATGCTCTTTTATTAACATAACTCATAATGAACTAATTGTAGAGCTTCTGACATAACAGGATGACATGATGTCAAACTTGGATTCAAAACCTCAAGGCTAAAATAGGCCTTTTTTGGTAATCATGAACTAAATTACATACAGTATATGTTGAATAAAACAACAGACATTCACCTTAAATGACCAAAAAGTGAATAAAACTGATTCCAGCTCTAAATCCAGGTTTGACGTGTCAGAACTTTAACTACATCACAGTGCTCTCAGCTGTATGTGGTTCATGTTATGTTTGCTATAGATGTAGTGACTTTTTTAAGTAGTTTTTACTAACTCCTCATGCAGAGCTGGATGCTCCGTCAAACCTATCGGCCCAAGATGAAACAGAGTCCACCTTCAGGGTGTCCTGGGATCGGCCCCAGGCTGAAATTGATGGCTACATGTTAACCTACAGCTCCTCTGAGGGCTCAAGTGAGGAAATCCAGCTCAGGTCAGACACTTCTTCATACATGGTTACCGGCCTGAGGCCTGGGGTCCTCTACACGGTCTACATCTGGGCCATCAAGGGGAGAAAAGCCAGCAGGAAGATTTCAACACAGACCGAGACAGGTTTCATATCCTTGACTTTCTTTCTAATCCAGGACATATAACTACCTAACCAGTCTACGCCAAATTTGGGATTATGGGCTCACATGCATGCACAAGTGTGTTTAGGCATGCTGCAACAGTTTGACAAAGAATTTAAAACATTTTATTCTTTAAAGGGATATTCCGGCGTAAAATTAAGTAAGGGTCAAACACACCGTAACACCGAGTTAGACACCCCGTCAACAGATGAATGTTGCTGACCGCTGGCATTTCAAGTTATACCAACTTTAGTAATGACCGCACGATAGCAATACACAGTGGTCTCAGAAGCTATACACAAACCTCAATCAAAACACCACTCTATAGCTACAAGAAATGCTCAGAACAGCACCTAACTTTATCAACAGTACATTTAAGGTCCTAGCCATAATGCTAGCCATCAAACATCATTTTAGCTTTGCCTGATTTCTTTAGCAAAGAGACTAAACACAACTCACCCACTCTCTTCCAGCAGCTGCTTGTTTGTACAGAGACTTCCGGGCGAGTCCATTACTGCAGCGGGGTGACCCAGCTCAAGGAAGAACATTTATGATCATTTCTTTATCATTTCCTTGAAGTAATAATCACCATCATATTAATCATTTTGCACTGCAGACATGGTAGTTTTTCTGCCTTAGAGTCCCGGTCTGATTGCATTTCCATGAAGAAATAATCATAAATGTTCTTCCCTAGCTGCGTCACCCTGCTGTGGTAATGTATTATTTGTGGCTATTGAGTGGCTTTTTGGTTGAGCATGTGGCTCCTGGGACCGCTGTGTATTGCTATCGTGTGGTCGTTAATAAAGTAAAGTTGGTGTAACTAGAAAAGCAAGCGGTCTGCAACATTAGTCTCTCGACAGGATGTCTATCTTGATGTTATAGTGTGTTTGACCCTAACTTGATTTTATGCTGGACTATCCCTTTAAGTTTCTACCTTGCCAATAGTGACATGTTATATCATTACCTAGCTATTTTGTAAACATATATGAAGATCAAGATGTTCCCATGCACATCTTTGAGCCAAGATGAAACAGCATCCAGCCTTTGCAGTTTAAAGATTTTGAGTTGCAGGATGATGGTTTCACCACAGCTAACATCAGCTTATAGTTTGCATTCATAGTGTTTTAATTTCCTTCACTAACATCTTCCTTCAGAACTCGATGCTCCCGCTAACCCCTCAGCTCGAGATGTGACGGAGTCCAGCTTTACCGTGACTTGGGATCCAGTCCAGGCCACAATAGACGGTTACATGCTAACCCACAGCTCCTCTGAAGGAGATAGTGGGGAGATCCCGCTGGGGCCTGAAACCACATCACATATGTTGACAAGTTTAAAGCCCGGGGTCCTTTACACTGTCTACATTTGGGCCATCAAGGGACCCAAAGCAAGCAAGAAGATCACGACACAAGCTGAGACAGGTCTTCAATCATCCCCTCTTCAACCAACTAAATCCATACTTACCTTAAAAACTCTTAAACAGAGCCATTTAGTTCTAACCCCTTAATGTTCACAATTTTTCAAACAATTTTTGACAAGCAAGCTTCAAACTAAAAATATGTTTCTCACATGGTAGAATACTCCGAATCAGGTTGTTTATTCAAAGCAGTTTTCCAATCTATCCATCATTCAGCTCATCCATCTACTTGCCAACTCCCTATGCGGTTCACAGCAAGCAAAATAGCCCAGACTTCTTCTTTTCCAAACAGTCTACATACTCCTTCTCCTCCTGAGCAGTCTCATACCAGCTCAGAGGTTTTATTCCTCCAACATGTCCTGGGTCTAACCTGCAGTCTCCCCTCAGTCAGTCACACCTGCAGGATTACAAAGCTTTAGGGGTAATTCTTCCTAAGAGACCAAAATTAAAGAAAAGAAACTCGTGCATTCATATTTCCAGATCAAAAGAGTCGCCCTCCGCCATTTTAACCTCTGGTATCCAAGAATAAATTTATTTCAGATATGTGTAAAGCACTACTTAACATTTGCAAACCAGAGAGGAAAAACTGTAGACTCAGGAAATTTAGAGCTTTGGCTCTTTGCTTTTGCAGTGTCTGAAATGATTTAGTGGGTCTTCCTCCTCAATTTCCTAATCTATCTGGATTATTTGAGCAGCTGTCTGTTTGTCTGAATGGGAGAAAACACCTCCCACTTTAAAAGGACAATGGAAGTCTAGTTTCCTCAGTTTGATACTGTCCACTAGCAGATCTGAGAGATGTTCAAATCAGTCCTCTTTTTACCCTCTCTCTTCGCAGCCAGTACATTCACCTTGGACTAGATTTGAAAGGTTAAACAACTATTAAGTAAACTTTCCAGGACATTTAGATGAGTAGTTTCCTCACACGCAGATAAAAAGAGTGAAGTGAGCATTGAAATGCAGCCGTTTCTGCACCAGTGATATTCCCATCCAAAGACTTATTGCAAATGCATTTCATGCACCCTAAATGTCCTCAGTCTGCTCATTTACTCCAAGTCCCTGCAGGCTGCAGGCATGGCCCCTGTGGTAAAGGAAGCGCTGTTTTGTCACTTAGCTCTTGAACAGAATTGAATCTCTTGGCGCACCATCAGGGTGTTTTGAGACAAAGTGCAGTCAAACAGCTTCAGTCTGATGAGAGCTCAGCTGCAAAGACACCTCTGGGACCCCGTGTTGTCTTTTAAAAATGTAATAACCGGGCCCTTTTGTCTGTTATATGATCTCCATTTTAACATGAAGAAACTAATGAGAAAATTAAAACATCACAGTACGTCCATCAATCCATTCTCTCCATGTCAGGGGGCTAGAGCCTTTCTCAGCTGTCATTGCGTTAGAGACAGGTACATCCTGGTCAGGTTCAACATAAAACACTGAGAAATTTTGAACTGGCAATGTTAAAAGGCAAACACAGAGATTAAAGAGATATTCTGGCGTAAAATTGATTTAGGGTCAAACACACTGGAACACTGAGTTAAACAGCCCCTCGAGAGATGAATGTTGCTTACTACTTGCTTCTCTAGTTACACCAACTTTAGTAATGACCGCAATAATGCTCAGAACAGCACCTAACTTCATAGACAGTACATATCAGGTCCCAGCCATAGCACTAGCCACCAAACATCTTTTTAACTTTGCCTAATTTCTTTAGAAAAGAAAGTAAACACAACTCACCTACTCTCTTCCAGCAGCCGTTTGTTTGTAGCGAGACCTCAGGCCAGTCTATTACAGACTGCTGTGGGGAAGAGCTCAAGGAAGAACATTTATGATCATTACTTTATCATTTCCTTGAAGTAATAATCACCATATTAATCATTTTGCACTGAAGACGTGGTAGTTCTTCTGCCTTAGCATGAAGAACTGATCATAATTGTTCTTCCTTGAGCTGCGTCACCCCACCTCAGTCGATTATGTGGTTGCTGGATGAGAGCGGGTGAGTTGTGTTTGGTCTCTTTGCTAAAGAAATCAGGCAAAGCTAAAAAGATGTTTGGTGGCTAGTGCTTTGGCTGGGACCCTATATGTACTGTTGATGAAATTAGGTGCTGTTCTGAGAATTATTTGAGGTGTTTTGGTTGAGGTTTGTTTAAGGCTCCTGAGACCTCTGGGTGTTACGGTTTGTTTGACCCTAAATTAATTTTATGCCGGAATATCGCACACTGATATAAAGCAAATGCTCTGTTTTCATTTACTCATCTTGGGGTAAGAAATGAAAATACACATCTTGTGGTGGCCGTTTCTTGATCTTGTAGATTGCATCAGTAGTATGTTAACACTCTCACTAACATCTTCCTCTAGAACTGGATGCTCCTTCTAACCTCTTAGCCCGAGATGAAACAGAGTCCAGCTTCATCGTTTCTTGGGATCCTGTCCGGGCCGACATTGATGGCTACATGTTAACCTACAACTCCTCTGAGGGAGATAGTGAGGAGATCCCGCTGGGGTCTTACAGCACTTCTTACACTCTGACTGGTCTGAGGCCTGGGGTACTTTATGCTGTCTACATTTGGGCTGTCAAGGGGAGCAAATCAACCAGGAAGATTTCCACAGATGCAGAGACAGGTTACTATACTGCACACAGGCAGAATTTTTATTTGGTGGTAAAATGTGTCCTTGTCTTTATTGAAAGATTCTGTTGAATATAAACTAAGAATGTAAATCAGGGATTATAACACATATTGTATTGTCTAAAGCCGATCCTGAAATCAGAGAAAGAACCCTCATACGGGGAATATAAGCAAAAGTAACCACAAAGCCATACAGACAGACTCAGGATTGTGTTTTAAATATGTGTCCTGCCAGGCATCCAAAAGCCATGCAGGACCCATAAGCAACACAGCTGCGGCACTGTTTTAAACAACACTGTGATCCTCATGTTGCACGAAGCTGTTTTTTCAGTAACAAGTCCCAGGTATCTTTGCAGAAACAAATTCAAACAGGTTTCAGCTCCTTACTGTTAAAAAAACAAAGGCCTTCGTCTGAGTGTTTCCACTCAGTCTGGGCGACATGTGGCACTGGCTTGGGGGAGTGTTTGTACTTCAGAAGCAGTGAGTTTGTGAAGTATGTGCAGATGCAGAAAAGCTGCTACTTTTCAGATCAAGAAAGCAGGAACTTGAATATTTTTATTATACAGAGCCTCTATTGGCCCATGAGGTGTTTTCTTCTATATAAAGTACGTACAAAATTCAAACTACAGTTAATATATTGTGCGCACAAGATGACTATTCCCTAAAAATTAACCTTGTGCACCTTACCATATTCATAAAGTGGTAAACTGTTGTAAAAAAGTGAATTATCTCCTTTATATAAGTTTATGTATTGTTCATAAGATAACTAGCTAACATAAGTACATGTTAAACTGTTGTGTACTTGTATTTATGAAGCATATATATTCATCCTTCTGACTATTCAAAGCACTTTTACGCCACTTCTTACATTCATACACTGATGGCAAAGTTGTGAGAAAAAGATAATTGTCAAGTGCACACAATTTAACAATTTGTGGTTTTAGAGTTAATTCTGATAATTAATGGGGATCATTTTGGATTTAGTCAAGAGTTCGAAAAACACAGCTTGGTTATGTCCTTGGGTCCAAGTTGAGTTTGCTTTATTTTTTGGATTTATTGACTTCTTAGTTAAGGAAAATCTGTTTATGACATTTAGACATTTATGCAATCCACTTTTTGTGCCAGATGACTGCTCTTACTAAAACTGTAAATATTCTACTAAGTTTTATTTTCTAAACTGCAAAACTTTCAGGAAGCACCTAAACGCCTCATAGGACAGGAAATGTTTCTCACAGACCAGGCCAGTCAGGGTCAAAGTAGAACTCATGCAGCTTAGAGTGGGGTAAAAATAGCAGCTGCAGCACATGGTGAATGTGTTACAACAGAGGTATCTTTGTGTGTGCCAGATGATGTGTAAAATCACCTGGGAGCTCTAAGTGAAAGCTGGATCTTTTTCAATTAGGCAGCAAAAGGCCGAGGTCTGGATTATAAACTTGTCACGTCGTAACTCATTAGAAACCATCGCTGGCTGCAGAACAGTGTGGCGCTGAGGTAGGATAGGAAAGTCATTGTGTCATGGGGTATCATCTGGGATGCATAAAAGCACATGTTATTACAATTGTGACTTTACTGGACCTCGTAACAAGCACCATCAATATGTCATTTAAAACTGTCTGAAAGCAACATCGCCATATTTCACAGTCTGATGATAACAATGAAACTTCTACATATGTCACTGTTCTGACTATCATTCCCTTTTATACAGTGATAGTTAAAAAGATCGTCCAATGATTGATTCACATAAACAATGGAAGTGTTTATAGAAAACATAGTCTGTAATGCATGACTCCCGACCTGATGCGTTATAGTTGGTGACAAACTCTTACTCTGATTTCATGAGCCACGGAAAATTACGACTCCTACTGTTACAGCAGGCGTCTCCATGGCAGACAAATTATTTCAGCGTCTGTCGTAGGTCAAACCTCCAAAGCATTTAAATCAAGCGGAGGCTAAGAACCAGTTTATCTGCAGAGGCAAACAGTAACTCAGCATGTGGGTGGGAGTCATCTCTGCTGTGTGCTTCAGCTGCAGAGAGGCTGAGAAGCAAGAGACTCAGGCACATTCATTTTTCTGCGATAAATATAGAATAAAGGATGAAACCTGCACACTTTAGATATCTGACTGGATATGAAAAATTTTACCCTCATCCAGCCCTGGGTTGACACCTGAGCGAAGATGAACAAAGAGTAAAGCAGACACCTCATCCTTGTACAGTAATCTGCTGTTATTTACCCTCCAATCTGCAGAGATTGATTCCCCCAGGGACCTGAAGGCGACAGATGTGGAGCTGGACTCTGCCGTTCTGACCTGGATTCCTCCTCTGGCTGACATTGAGGGGTACATCCTCACATACAGAGATGAGGAAGGAAAGATGGAGGTACTAAGCCGGGAGGTTTGATACACTCACACAGACAATGACAAGTAAAATTAACTACAGAGATTAGCTGTTGAATTAAGTTTGTACTTTTTGAGACTTAAATGTGATAAAAAGAAGGTTAAGTACACATTTAAATGTTTTACATGTGTAGAAATGAAGAAATCAGCATTGTCAAGTAAAGATAATTATGAAGACTGCATAAACATGAAGACAAATTATGCACACACTCACACTCATGCAAATCTGGGTTGACTAAACAGGAGGATGAAGATTTACTCCTATATTTTTGGATTAAAGCAGAGTTGCAGCATCCTATCACTGTATTGAATAATATGTGTATATATACAATATATATTTCGATTGTCATTGTAAATGCTGCCTGGAAAATGCTTTTTTTAGTCTGAAATAGGCTGAAAATGCAGCAAAGATAGGCTACTGTGTGATATGTTTGTGGAACACTGACCTCTTGTGGCGGAAAATAAAACCGACCCACTGGAAGTCACTTTAATTACATAGGCAGATAAGATGATTGACCATTTAATATTTCTAATCAGGTTTTATAAAAATAGCACTCATATTATCTCAGTGTCTAACCGACAGATTCATCACAGTCAGTCTGTTAACATACTGTTCATCAAATGAGACGAGTCTCTCACTGATTATTCTTTCACTACTTTTGTTGTTTATTAATATCAGACTGTTGAAAAGCGGCTTGGAGCCAGAGAGAGCAGATTCTCTGTGTCTGGTCTGGAGATGGGAAAGAAATACATGGTGACCATCATTGCCTACAGGGGGAACAAGAGGAGCAGAGTGGTAGAGACTACCTTCAAAACAGGTGTGTACTTAGTCTGCTGAGTCATCTCTGTCTTCTGCAGGTCCACAGGTTGAGTTGCATTATGAGCCTTTCTTTTGTTCTACTCTTTTTTTGTGCCTTACCATAAGCATCAACCTTTTTTTAAATGTTTGTTTTTTTATGGGGTTGTGTGAGGTACTTGTAAAAGGATCCCTGCCACTGTGTTGAGAAACAGAGTAGAGAACCAGCACAGAAGCAAAGCTATCAACCGCTACAGACAGAGTATGTGTCTCATTTGTTGCTTAAAGTTATGTCATACTAAGATGTACTAAAGCCAAAACTAAAACGTATCAGTATACTGGGAGTAGCTGTATGCCTGGTTTCTCAACAGAGGGCTGGGCAGAAACCTCTACAGGTAATACACCTGTAGATAAATGCTTCATACAACCCCATGAAAAAAAAAAGAGAATAAAAAACAGTATTCCATTAAATTACCATAAATGACTTGACTATATCTTCTTTTCTAGTTGGTCTGATGTACCCCTTCCCAATGGACTGTGTTCAGATCATGAAGAATGGCAATAAGAAGAGTGGTATCTACACCGTCTATATCAACAATGATCGCGCCAAAGCCATCGAGGTTTACTGCGACATGGACACTGATGGAGGCGGCTGGCTTGTAATTCCTTTTATATATATATTTGCACTTAGACTATGGCCAGACTCTAATGCAGTAAAGATTTTAAATGCTTTAATCATCATGGAACTACTCACCTTGCTAAGGTAGTCATTTGATATCACGTAGGTTTTGTTTTTTTTATTCTGAAAGATGATCCTTGTAATTCATGCTGTTGAGCTGAAGTTTTTAAAATCTGAATCCAACGACTCCAGGAACAATAAATACCTTGGGCACCAAAGCTGATCTTTTCAATGTACTTCAAAAATCTTTTGTTTGTAGTTTCTAAACTAAAAAAAAAGATGTTCCCTTTCATTGGTAGTGGATTAAAGATATTACTTTCACAGGGAATTAGGTGTTTGAAATGGTAACCAGCATTCAAAAACATTAGTTGCAGCTGCTGCCCGTGAACATCCTACTTTTGCTGCTTGCAGATGCTCCAGCGACGTACCACTGGCAAGTTGGACTTCATGAAGCGCTGGAGGCAGTACATAGCCGGGTTTGGCAATATGACAGATGAGTTCTTCATCGGTGAGCTCTCCAGTTTTCAGTATTTTTTTGTCTGCCACACTGAAACAGGCTCGTATGCACAATAATGGAGTATTTTAATATTGCATCTTGTTCACCTGTTCTCTGTGTTTCTGCTCCCTCAGGTATGGATAAGATATATGAGCTCACCAACACGCCCACTCAGTATGAACTGAGGTTTGACCTGGGCCTTGGATCTGAGAGAGCGTATGCTGTTTATGACAACTTTAAGATTGCACCGGTCAAGCAGAAGTTCAAACTCACCATTGGTGCATACAGAGGAACAGCAGGCGAGCCTTTTTTTGCTGGAAAAATCTGCCAAAAAAACACAATAAACTGCCACAGAGGAGACAGCCGGAACAACTTTGCAAGCTCACATTTTCTCTCTGACTGTTAACTCAAATAGAAAAGAAAAAAGAGTGGGCAAGGGTGGGAGTGAGACCGACAGGAGTGGGAGTATAGGGGTTCCACACAGTAGGCATCTCACCCACAAGTCTTTGGGGTGCTGAGAAAGCACACCAACAGTAGGTGGGATATTTTACTTCAGGCAGTTAAAGCAGCTGTGTGGGGAAGGGGTATATCTGATGAAGGCAGGGTTGTGGTGAGCTTTGAAGCCAGACAGATACAGATGCACATCAGGTGGCACGCTGTGTCTACACGTACCACAGCGTGCTGAAACAACACTTACTGAAAGTAGCTATTTCTGGCATTTCATTAAATTTTATCCATCAGAGAGCACATGAAGACAAGGCACTGAGCTGCAAAACTCTCTGAAAACACTTCTGAAAAAGGATTAGTATACGGCTTATTCTCACTGCTTTTTAAAAACACAAACTGATTTTTGTTGATTATTCCCAGGTGATGCTATGACCTACCATCAAGGCCGGCCCTGGACCACAGTCGACATGGATAATGACATCGCCTTGGGTAACTGTGCTTTAACCCACAGGGGAGCTTGGTGGTACAAAAACTGTCACCTTGCCAACCTCAATGGGAAGTGGGGAGACAACAGGCACAGTATGGTGAGTGAGCAGAAAAGCCACTGACAGAAATTTAAGCATTTTTCAAGGGTTACCTGACTTATTCTGAATGTGCTGATGTGTGTTTAAAAGGTGTAATTGAACAGCTGTCAGACCCGACCCAAGTGGCTCGGTGTTTGTAGCAGATACTAATGTGCAACCCTCATCCCTGGAGGGCTTTTGTGAGAGTAAATAATGAAAAATTAAAAAAAAGAGGGGTAAGTCGAGGTGAGGTTAACTTGATAAAGCAAGATTCTGTAAAACACACTTTTAGCATTGTCAAAACCTCAGAAAACAACATGAAAAGAAGCTAGTCGCTGTATAAAGCAAGACAACAATAATGTAGAGAGGTTTAGGATGATTTTCTTGTTGTCTGTGCCAAAGATGTTTTGCAGAATGAAACAGTAATATTGCAACTTGAAGCTACTCTTGTGGATCTGCTGCAGCTCTGTTGTCTCTTCATGTACTGCAGAATAGTGGAGGAGCAAATCCGTTTCAACATTCAAACATATGCAGGAACAAAAATGAATATCTTATATTCTCTTAAAATTCAGCATGTCCAGGATTTTACCGCCTGATTGAAAAAGCACTCAGTGACCCTGGGACCAGGTCATTGAGCCTAAGAACACATAGGGTATCTAGATTTTAGAAACAGAAAGTCTGAAGGTCAAGCTGTTGAAGAAGATTCAGTCACAAGCATGTGATGGGGACAAAACATAACTTTAAACACAGTTAAAAATGGTAGATGCATCAGTTGCTCTTATTAGAGAAATTTACGAAGTCATGCGTCACGCCACCCTTGTTCATAATTTGACTGATTGCATTCTTATTTTTTTCCCCAACATTTTCCATAAGTTTGTATGGAAGTTTAACCCACTCTTATGAGGTGAGAGTGTGGTAACTAAGTAATTTATTTAGCAAGACGTTGATTCACAAACTAAAAAGGATGGACCCCAAGACAAGTCCTTAAAGGGATTCCTGTTTCCATTTTGTAAAACAAAAAACAAAACAAAACAAAAAAAAAAAACCAGACAAGCCATTATTGATCACAACAGTCTGCTCACGACCCTTTGAATATGAATATAACCATGACAGACAGGAACACTGCACCAATGTGATTTCCTTCATCTAGTGACTGTGTTATATCTTCTATGATAAAGAAGTAGTTGACTCTGTGGAATACAAACAAAACGAAAAAGGTATACGGACATCTATCTGGTCTTTTATACAAGATGTCTAGGACTCTGATCTCTCTTATTCCCAGAGTGTCTTCAGGCAAAATACTATTCCACACCTTTTTACTCACTGCCTGTATTTCAATGACCCATTAAATGCGCAGTCAAATAAAAGGACTGTGTGCCAGTGTAAACACCTGTTATCAGCATTTAAAGTCGGACTAATTATGACATGGTTTTACTGTTTATCATTAAAAACACAAAATGAATTTTTAGAGTAGTTCCAGTGTATTTAAACCTACAGGCCCTGATTATGTAAATATTGAGGCCCATATCGAATATATAAGTTGGCGTTAACCTCCTCAGCCTGGCTGCAGTGTAACCATTTGGGATTGTTGTATTGTATGAGAAAAGTACCTGTGTTGTTACAAGTGCTTGTTTTTGCCATCGACAGACTTGAACTGTTCTTCCAAGAGTCTGACAACTTCATGGAAAAGATTGCTACCTTTAACTCCAAGTCATTTCTCTATCATCCTCACCTTGAAACAACTGTCTTCTCCCGAGATTTAGGAGAGTGAGTTCAGTCTCTGCTTCAAAAAGGAAAGGCTTTGTCTTGACACAGTCTCTATCTCAGCAGGAACCACTTCCAAAAAATCCTCAGACAGAATCATTGACTTTTTTTTATTATTTTTTTTTAGTGTAGTGTTCCTTGACACCAACAGGGGGCACTCTATTGAACAAAGCCAAGTCAAGTCTTTGAACTACTGTGGGAAAAGCTGTATGCATGAGAATATGAAAATATCTTTCCCTCATTTTATTATTCTCAGGAAATCCTATTTTTCCTTTTTTTTATAAATCCAAGTTTGTTTAAAGTTCTTGTTCTTAAGTCTGCTCATTATGTTAAGCTGCACCGAAGACTTTTTGTCCAAACAATATTGATTTTTCATACTTGTGAATTAAAATGCAAGAGGTTCTCTGTGCTGTTTTATTCTGTTTGCTATTCTAAACCTTCTTCACCTCAAAATGTCAATGTGGCGAATTAAATATGCAACTAGTGCTCTTGATAAATTCAGAAGTTACTGGATGTTTTATAACACAAGCTTAGTAACTAAGTTAGAAACACTTTTGCAACTTTTTTTTTTTCATTGTATAATCTTCTGTGAACTGCTGCAAGAAAGCATCCATAGTTTGTCTTCTTCTTCAACTCACACAAACTGCTTACCCTGTTAATTCTGCTTCTGTAATACAGACACAACATCACAGGAACTTGTTAACACAAAAACAAAAAGACAAAAAAGTGCTAACCACGGGCTGTTCTGCTGTCAGAAATCAAAGACAACTTCATGCCAGCCCACTCCTTTTTTGTGTTTTTTTTTGGATTGTGGAGGTGAGGCAAAACTGGCCTGAATCCATCAGTGGTGATAGGAAAACACATTGCTCACACCAGCTATAAACCATAAGTGTGTTTTTACCAGGCTGATAGGGTAACAACAACAGTTATTATGTCTGAGGGAGACTGATGCTGAAGGAAATGCCAGGGGAGACCTCTGCTCTTGTCGAGATCTCATCCATAATATTGCTGCTGCAGATGTCTCCCGCAATGTTTGTCTGCAAAATGTAATAACAGTCAAAACAAGTTTGTACTAACACGAAATGAAGCCAGAGGCTGGTATTTATTAGTGTTTGTCATCCCACCTGTCTGTCATGCTGCCTGCCTCATCCTCTGTGTTGCTAATGTTTTTCCTTTCTCTTTTATCTCTCCAATTCTCCTTCAAACCACGCTTTTGCTTTTCCTCTCTTGTGATTACACCCTCTTTTTTTTTTTTTGCTCGCAGGGAGTGAACTGGGAGCCGTGGAAGGGCCACCTGACGTCTCTTGACTTCACTGAGATGAAGATCCGGCCTGTGGGTGCCATGTCAAGCAGGAAAAGGCGATCACTGATGGCCAGAGAGAAGAGTAAAACCAAAAACCTTCAAGAGATATAAAGTGGCGTCTCCCACCATGACGACACAGCCATTATCAGTCCCACCGACGTGCCTTCATGCTAGATTTTGGTGTTTCTATTCATAATATGTCTCAGTGCTCTGACTACATAAGAAATTACTCTGATCCATGTGTGAGTGCGTGTGTCTCACCTCTCTGACAAATGCCCGCTGTTGTGAAAAACAATCACATGTAATAGTAGAAGTAACTTATAATCTTTTCAGATACATGATGATTAGAGGGGTTAAATGGCATTGTGGGGAAGCAAAAGAGTAAAATAAGAGTTGTTTTGAAGTGAACTAAAGTGTAGCATTGACAGATTGAGTCTATCACTTATATGCAGCTGTCATTTAAAAACTCCTGTTTCACTGATCATGGTAGTAACTCTAGTCTTTAATCAGGAAACAGTCAGTTTTAGTTAAATTGGGAAATGTTTTACTGCATTCATTTTTATTTCTTTTTAAGCCTCAGGACAGCCGCTGGGGTTATTTGTACTATATTTGTTTATTTTTGTCCTATGAAGACCCTGAGTAGTAACTTTTTTGTGGAAAGTACTATTGTCATAACACATTAAATGTTTTAAAAAAGTGTTGGAAAGTGTTTTAATGTAAGAAAAGACAGTGGTGGAAGGTGAGCTGGTACTCTGAGTTTATCAGGGTCATTCAGTCTAACAACTTTAACGCTGAATGAATAAATCTAATTTGTTATCATTTTTAATTAGATGAAGAATCAGAAAGCTTGACAAACCTTGTGGTTATTTAATTATATTGGGTCTTTACCACACTAGTCTGTTTTACCAAACTATGTTTTTACAAGGTTATTGCGGCCAGTTGATGTGATCAGATTACTTGTTGAAAATTTCTTTGGCAACACTTAACTTGACTCCTAGCGTTATTATCACATTACAGCACTGTATAACTCTAGTTATAAACACTACTAAATGATCATAATGCTTTATAGCAATAATCATAACATTATAAAGCATTTTATCATGACTTACAAGGTCAGGTATGTGTTATAACTGTTAACAACCCACTGACAATGCCCACTTAAATAATGCATTACACATATATTTATGTGTTGCTTGCTTATAAACTATAATAATGTAATGCTTACTGTTATAAAGCCTTATGGTAATTAATGAGTGTTTATAATAATAGTCATACAAGTTTAAAAGCAAATTGTAACACATCATAAATATACGTATAATGCATTATCTATGTGGGCACTGTCAGTGAGTCGTCAACAGTTATAACACATTATAATACCTGACCTTGTAAGTCATAATAAAATGCTTCATAACAGGTTATGATTGTTGCTATAAAGCATTATGATCATTTATTAGTGTTTATACCTATAGTTATACAGTGTTATAATGTGATTATAACGCATTAAACATATATTTATACTGCGTTATAGAGATAGGCGTCAAGTTAAGTGTTTCCATTTCTTCTTTATAGATGATTAAAAAAAAAAGGTATTAAAAAAAATGCTTGTCGGCCTGCTTTTAAAAATTTGTAAAATGATCATGTTTTTATTCCAATAACTGTTAACTTGTAGTAAAATTAGTTTACACAATACAGTGTTGCATCTTTAATATAAGGGCTGCCTGCCTCTGTGCTGCAAACTCTGTCACATCACAGCAGTTTTTGTAGCACTTGCTGTAGAATCATAATAGATGGTTGTTGAGTTATCGTGTTGCCCCTGCTTTACATTCATACGCCGAGGACAGCTCATATCAATCAATTTAATGTGTCCATAGACCCATCCAACATCAATAAGAGGGAAGTTAGTTTGCTTCGTCCTCACACCCTTAATGACCAAACTCCTATTTTCAATCTGGAAAGCTGACAGGCTGTCAAAGGTTATTAATACAGTTTTGACCTTCACTTTGTTTCATAATTACTTTATTTGTAACTTTTAGTACAAACTCTGTTGGTTAATGTGACAAGGACAGAGCGCATCAATCAGCTCTTCTGCTAATCTGCCAGAATAGATGTAGTCGCTGTCACTCATAAATTTTTTTATTCATTAAAATTTATTTTGGAGCCTTCATGGCCCATAAGTTTTACTCCAACCAGTCCTCCGTCAGGGTTTTCAAGGTCAGGAATAGGGACGTGTCTGTCATTTATATTCCTTTTGTTGGCTCAAGTATCCTTAAACTGACAGTTTATAACTTCCTCTTCAACCCCACACATCCACACGACAAATTAAAAACATAAACACCTACAATAGATTTATACGTATTTCTTATACTCTTGTAGTCCAGAGGAATCTATCAAATGATAATTTTGCATAATAATTCTTTTGTTATGGTCTCAGTGAAACAGATGGCTGTTGGAGTTGGACATGAGGCTCAGCTGGATGTTAAAGTGCATCTTTGCACAAAATTACCAAGTCAACCATCATGATCTCCAAACAGCTTATTTAACTAAAGGCTTTTTAGACCTATGAGAGCACTTATTAGTATTTTTCTGTCTTGGTTTTCACTTAACCTTTTGGACACTTTTGCTAGAGAAAGAGAAGAGAGAGGATATGTTGGGTGTAGGAAGAAGGGAAAACATTCATTTACAGTGCCATGGCTAGAAGTCGATACCCTTTGTTTTTGCTTCTTCAGTCCTATCCCATACATATTCTGAAAACTCAAAGCTCAAGTGACTCCAAACCACTAAACCAAAAGCATAATTCTTCTGGTCTCATTCAAATATCATCCTAAATCACCGCTTTGTACATCTCTGAACACAAATTACATCTCTTGCGTTATCAGCACTGGCCTTCAAACTGCAGCACCCTGACTATAAAATAGTCTCGATCATGTCGCACCTGAACAAACTCCATTGGAAGAACATTGAGTAGTTAATTATGTATGAGGCCTCGAGTGACTTATACATCAATGCAAATGAATGGCAGAGATGGATCTGCCACACTTTGCTCAGCCAGAGAGAACATTGCATAAAGTAGGCTATTTTGGTCTGACCAGGATCAGAGGTAAGAAAAAGATCAGAATGAGTTTTTCCAATGGGTATTAAAACTACTTTTGTCATTTCACCTGAACACTTTGTATTGCAGCAGAAGAATTTTCAGATAAGAAGAATTTTACTTATACCTAAGGGGAAATTGGATTGTCTGAGTTCTCATGTCTCAAGTCTTGTATCATCTTTTATTTACAGTCAAGTTTGTAGAGTCTGATTGCTGTGGGTACAAAAGATCTTTTAAATTTTTCAGTCCTGCATCAAAGTGAGAGAAGGTGTCCACCACCATCGGCCCATTTGTCTGTCACGGTGTTATGAAGGCATTCATTTTCGATGAACAACGAAGAGGTGTAAGTTCAAAATATGTTGACACGCAAGATGACTCAATAGTGTAAGGTATTCTTTTTCACCACTAAGTTTCACAACCACTTGGGAAGATTAAGATAAAAACAAAAAAAAAATTGGACAAACATGACACACTGGATGAAATCAAATTCAAAAGATAACAGTTCCCCTGACTAAAGACTGAAGACTGTATAATGTTGCTTAAACCTGCTATAGTTGAAAATTGAAAATGAAAAAGACGAAAACTAAATTCACTTTTCTTTTTAAACTTACTGCTTTGTTGTCCCTGTTCCAGTTTACTTGAAACATCTTGCTGGCATCAATGTAAGATGAGCATAGTTATGATTTTGGAAAGAAATACTTTTCGATCTTCAACATTTGATATGTTGTCTGCACTGTTCATATTAACATCGAACTCTGAATACCAGCTTTTTAGCAACTGGCTGCTTCAATCTTCCCTCTGTATCTATGCAAATGTCTAGCTTCTCACTGTGGTTATAAACCACTAACTGAAACTAAGATGGTCGATGTGGTAGTTTTCTCAGAGTGAAACAGAAACATCTCTGTTGTTCCTGGTGACTGGTTTAAGGCCTGTAAACGTGTGAGCCTCCTCAGTGTTACTGTATCGGGTTAGACTTGGGTCAAATTTTAAAAATACATAAAATAAATTAAAATAAGTTTTCTGCTAGTCAATCTCTCATATTTATACACGTCCAAGTGAATATTTACTCAAAAAAGATTAGTTGAAATAAGTTTTTTGATGTTGTAAACAGGGTGTGATATCATGATTGGCGGCTCCTCTGTGTTCAGTGTAGGAGGCTCAGCTAACACAAGAGTCATTCAACTTTGCATGACTGTGAGTCATGAGAAATTGCTTCATAACTTAAAACCAACAAAGGGAGTATATCTCAAAGTCTTCTCACAAAGCTAGTTGCTTCAACAGTTTGTCAAATTCATTAATTTATTGGCAGATAGAGTTTGTTCAGCTCCTGTTTTCAGTTTTCATAAATGAATCTATCCTGAAACTTGGATGGCACTTCAAGGTAAACGGCTCCATCAGGGTTGCCACTCAGCTAATTTCCCCAAATGTAGATTTGGAGAGTTTCCACACCACAACACTTTCATCACACTAGATTGAGCAACTGTGCTCACAGGGACTGATGTATGTGAACCGTCTGGTTTCATTATAACAGTTTCCCAATCCTGTATCTCATAATCTGCAGACAGCCACAGCTCACTGACTGTCTGGGCGAAAAACATTCCTATTATTCAAGAGCAAAATATAAAGATAACATATAGTCTGTTGAAATAAAAGTGCAGCACTTTAAGGCTTTGATTTATTCTTTAAAGGTCGAATGAGGAAGTGAATAGAAAACAATGTTTGGTGGTTTATTCATCAAATCGAATATTGGTGTCAGAGGGTTGCACGCTGCTTAAAATTTTGCTGCAAATCTTTCTAGTGAAGTAATTTTTTTCTCTACACTTTGAAATGAAATGTCTCATGAAAGCTTATTGATGCGAAAAGCTTTTTCAGCCACTGTGATTGGAAATTACTTTAAGGAGATTGGTTCCTGGCATTTCTCTGCAAAGCAAGCGGTTCACTTTATGCCAGGATAAACAGGGAGAGGGAGAAAGAGCAGTTTGGCCTTTCCCTCGCTCTCTGTATCTGTCTCCTCTGCCTTGGTTTGTTTAATACAGTGTGGACTTGCAGACATTCATGTATGTCTGCTCATGTCACCCAGGTTGACACTTAATCACCTCGGTTGCAGGGTGACGTACTTTTTCCATGAGGGAAGTTGTTACTGTTGTAACAAGGGACTGTTTGTTTGAAGGGGTGGAGTTTGAGCAGCTGAAGGAAAAAGAGAAGTCTGGACTAGACAGAGGAGAGGAGAGGAGAGGAAAGAAGAGGAGTGGAGAGGAGAGGTTGACCCTGACAGATCCATTTAAAAGATTAAAAGCTGCTTTTAATGGCTGATCCAGGCAAATGCGAAAAAGCAGCTTTCTAGCTCTTCACCTGTATTCAAATCCGTCCTTTTAAAATAGTTAACATATGTATCCCCCCAAATTTCTCGGAAAGTTTCTTTTTCCTTGGACACACACTTTTATCAGGCTGATATTGCTCACTTTTGATGATCCTCCTTTTTTATTTCTCTGTTGTTTTAGGCACCCATCATACTGTTTTGTATTCATTATTATTTCTTTTCTGTTTCTAAAACTCATTTTTAGGTAATTGCCTTTCCTTCTCACACTTCAGACAGCTTTACCACTACATTTCTCCCTCATATGAATACTATTGAAATGGTTTGTTTAACAGTAATTGCCGGGTTGTCGGAAATTTTGATGATTTTATTTCTGCCGTAGGTCTCAAAAACAAAAAATATATATTACAGAAGGTCTTTATTGTCATTCTTGTCACCATGTGTAATGTTAGTGAGCACAAATCTGAAACTTAAACAAAACAAACTGACAAAGAAGACTGTGAACAAGTATTCACCAACAGACTGCTAAAATTTCTAAGGTTATGGAGGTTGAAATGATGAATATTGCTCGTTCATAGTTTTACTGTTGTTTTTGCCATACTTATCTTTTTTAAAACACTCCAAAGTAAAAAGATATACTCTATTTTTACATGCCAGATTAGAAATCATGAGCAGCTCTTTAGTACTTCAACAGTGTTATGTCTGGTCCTACTAAAAACAGTCTGAGCTTTAGTTGACCCCCTGATGTTACCATTGTAGCAACACTTTGATGTTAAGTATTTGATATTTCAGGCAGAAAGTAAAATAGCTTGACAAACTTTGGTTGGTTTGTATGAATCTGTTCTGAATAATATTGATACAAGAAGTGACACCCCATCATCTTAATTTTTTTTCGTGTTTTCACCAGCCGGTCAAAGTGAGGATGTGTGTTCCCATCAAACCTTACCAGTGAAATACAGTCCCAACAAGTATTTTCTTATTGTTTTATTTTTCTTGAGGTTTAAAAGCTCCCTGTCTGGTTTGTTGCTGTTCAAACCCAATTATTAACCAGTGTTTTCTTCCTGCTAAACTGGCTAAATATATAGATGTAAGAATATAGAGTAGCCCTAAGAGCACAGTGCACCACAATGAAGTTGAGCTACTGCAGGGGCGGCAGTAGCTCAGAAGGTAGAGCAGTTGTCCAATAACTGGAAGGTTGGCGGTTTGATTCCCCCCTATCCCAAGTCTGTCCGTTTGTGTCCTTGGTCAAGACACTTACAAATCACTATCAAACACAAAGATGGTACTGCACTCTGAAAACCCCCAAAACTTGGGCTGTTTTTAACCCAACACTAGGGTTGAAAACGGGCCGACAACTTATTGGGTTATTTTGACTCAGGATGTTGGGTTATCCAAATTAACCCAATCTTCGAGTGAATTTGACTCATGATCTTGGGTTGAATTGTTATATGCATTTGGGGAGCTTTTTTTGGGAGCTTTGCTTTTACAACCTGTACCTTATTTTCCCATGTACTTTCATCTAAGTGATTGGTGGGAATTGGTTTGGCTTCAATGGTAACGCTTTCATGTTTATGAGGTAGGCCATAGCACCAAGGATCTTGCCTAGAAACCACGTAGAGTCAATCAAACCCAACGTTCTGACCCAATTATTGGGTTACTCTCAGAAAAATAACCCATAATTATTAACCCATTCAAAAAACCCTCAAACTGGGTTACAATAGAATCCATATGACCCAAGAAATGGGTATGGATCTGAAAAATAACCCAGAAATTTAACTCGACACGTATAATCCAGGAATTGGGTTGATAAATAACCCAAGAGTTTTTAGAGTGTGATAGTGATAGAATCTGCTGTCAAGAGACACAAGGAGTGTAATGGGCACAACTGGGACATACTCACTCTTGATATGGTTTGTGACCCACAAAATAAATGAGGCAAAACATTTTTAATAGATTTAGAAAAAAAGAGCCTTTGTGGTCATAAAAAGTAGATAAGCGACTTGAGTGTACTGTAGCTCTCATGCTAGATGGAGTCACAAATGTGCGCTGATACCAGCATCACTCATGGCGTGAAAAATAGGATCTAAAAAAACTCCTGTCAACACTGTGATCGTTGTTTACATTTTGTCACACCTTGGCGAGGCACTCCAGTGATAAAGACAATTTGTCAGGGAGTTGGTTTCCCTTTTTTCCGCCCTCAAAATATCACACTAAAAAGAAGACAAGAGAAACCCACGATATATCTTTCTCAAAGACACCTTAGGCCTAAAAGAATCAAATAAACAAACACGTTGTTTATATTCTGGGATGTAAGTTATGCAAATACTCTGACAACAGCCGGTATCCACCTCAGGTTAAGAATTGTGGGATGGAAAAATTTCCCAGTCTATGTCTGAGCTTTATATTTGTCAAAGATGAATTAATCCTGAAGCCAAAGTGATTACTTGCATCAAAGATTTCTACGGCCATCAAGCTGGTGATGATAATTATATGTTCATAAAGACCACCAGGGGCAGATGGCTTTTTTAATTGCCTTGCTTTCAGTTTTGTTTAAGATTTACAAACTTTATACCAAAAATCCTCCTGATTCATTAAGAATATTAATTTAACATGATTCATTGCAGTAAATGATGTCAGGTTCAATTTCAAACCGTGCGAAACAGATGTCATATTCTGTGGAGATGCTTTTCTAGCATAGATGCAGCTTTTTGGCACCACGTTTTGTCTGAGTCAGTTATGTTTCATGGGGTTTTAGTCAAATGTGTAAACAGTCTATCTTAATTAAAAGAAGTTCTTACCTGCTAATGTTGAAATCGTGCGTGAGGGTACCAGCGTAATATCAAACACATTAACACATAATGACTTCATTTCAAAAGGTTATGGCTTTGCTGATTTAGAAACAGACAGATGAGATTGAAAAAGCTGTAGAAAAAAAAATAAAACACTTTATTTTTTCTCCCTGTCATCATCCTCATTGCGCCGTCCTTTATTATTGTGTCTCTATATGTCAGAATAAATTATGCATGCACAGCTGCCAACAGAGCCATTCATGCTTGTAATAATAAAAAAAGAACCTCTAAGCATTTTTTTTCAAGTGAAAAACAACAACGGCAAAAAGAAATTAAACATTGATGTCGTGCATAATTGGATAAGATCAAAAAAGGTGCTACTGTAAAGAAAACTATCCAGGGCAGGGCTGCAAATTTTCAGTTCAAACAGATGATAAATCCTCCGGGCTCTGTTCCCTGTGATCGCAGTAACAGAAAGGAAAAAATTAGATAAATATTTATGCGCTATATTTCATACCATCTGTGTTTTGACGCTTACTGACTGGCAAACTCTGGAGGAAAAAAAAAATGTTCTAAGTGAGAGCAGATAAAAGAAAATCCAGCAACTATCGCCTAACAGGTGTTGTGCAGAAATGCGAGGATGGTGTAAATGTCTTAATGGGAAACCAAAGGATCGTATCAACAGCTGATGCTTACATTATTTATCTATTTTATTTAACATGACTGTAAACACTCACAGTGCTGTTTGATGGGTTTTAAATTGGATCATTAGGATCTTATATTCATGTCTGGCCCTATTTGTCTTTGCAATTGTGTTTAATTAGCAGTAAATCTGATGAATCCATGGCTAAATCTTAACCATTTCATAGAATACAAAAATTAGTTATTTGACATGTTTTATATAACTTAATGCTTGTCTTCCATTTGGTTTGTAAACCCATGTATAGGACACGAGATTTGCATCGAAAACTCATAAAGTCAGATAAAGCTTCAGAGATTTCTTCCTCAGTGTTGTAGATATTTAAAACTAGATTAGAAAATGGATACTATCCCCAGCTTTGCCAAAGAAATATGGCGCTGATACAACACTCTCAAATAAATATAGGACACTGACTCTGCCTAAAAGTTGCTATTCTGCATGCTTTAATCTCCTAATGTACTGATAAGAAACTGCAGTACACATTTCTGTAAATAAGCCTGAGATAAAACCTGCTGCAAGCTCCTTTAGCCAAGTGTGCAAACTTCAAGTCCGGAAAAAATAGTTTTTTCCCTGTTAAAAAACAAACACGTTTTCTCGATGCAGAACCAAATCGAAGTTGAATTAGTGTGGCCTGCTAGCACTGGAAAACTAGACTGGAAATCAATCTGTGTGGAGAACAAAAGAAGCAGAAAACACTCTGCTGTACTGAATCTTCGAGCCCATCAGTGAATCAGCTTTCTCCAAAGTCACCTCTTGACCCAAAGTATCTTCTCGCCTCCAAAGTTGCTCGTCGGACAGTACACAGTGTCATCAAATAAAGTTTCTGTTGCTACACATGCTATAGCAATGCAGGAAGCCCCAAAAGTTTGAACATCTCTCTCAGAAGTGATATTCTCAGAACATGAAGTAACACAGCTATTAATATTGAGGCCAAACTCATCAAACTTATGTAACTTTTCAAAACTGAGAAATAATTCTACAGACTCATCAGTTTCTGTTCTTATTTTTGCGAAACTACAGCTAACAGCGACTGGCCTTTACTTCACCTCTCCACTGAGACATGAATCAAATTTCAGAATAGGACTTAATTGTAAATATCTCTTTCACACGATTTCACATTCATCTTTATTTAACATGTTCAGCCAACTCCAAGACTCGTAAATGATGTTACTTTTTGGCACCCGCTCAGTTCAGGCATAAGCGCTTATTAGTCATCATGTGTAGCTACAGAGGCTTTTGCAGGGCTAGCCTCCAAATTAAGCCCCAACAAGAAGAGATTCTCCCTCTGAACATGAAACAGAAGAGACAATCCCAAATTTTCACATGGGAATGAATCTGTCTGAGCAGTAATGAAATGAACAGCGCCTGTTTTCCCAGCAGCACTTGAGCTAGGAGATCAACTCAGTGCCAGCGTAAGCTAATGCATAAAGATGAATGTACTACTGAGACACTCCTGCTTAATTGGGCTTTGGGATGTCATAGACTTAGAAATGAAAACCAACCATCAGGCACAATCCACTTGAAGACCAACATTTCAGGGTTTGTTTGCTGATTAAATAGAAAAAAATGTTGATTAAAACTTATTTTTAAACCTTTTTTGTGACAACTTGCATTTAGAAATGTTAAAGCAGGAAACACTGTAAGCAAACTCGTGTGTTGTTTTTATGTAAAATCATTGTATGTAATTTAACTATTTGACATGCATTGGTCATTTCACGGCGAGACACTGGGTCATATCCATTAGCTAACATCAAAACACAGCCAGGGTTAGCATCCACTTCCACTTTCAAGCTAACAAAAATTGCTGCCACACAAACTTGAATTCCTCATCCTGCAGCTGAATCAAAGCTTGTAATGACGAAGGTGTGGACATCAGTGTTACAGTTCAAGGAGAGACTTTGTTTTATTATTAGCACCTTTAAGGCAAAAGCTCGTGTAGCTGTCAGCATTAAAGTCAGAAAGTCGACAGTTCACAGGGTCAATCATTAAACTATAACACCATCAGCCTGCACACTACTCAAACATGCATTGGCTTGTTAACATGATGTGAAAGTAGACACTGACAAAAGCACCAGAGTGTCCAAAGAAGTCAATAATGAGACTTCATTTCCTCTTTTCCCTACTGAAAGTGTGATTTTGAAACGAGGAAGTGGCTGTATGCTAATGTTGTTAGCATTGTTATAGGATATGAAGTGTGATATAAACTTGAAATACAGGCCGATCTGTGGCTGAGTGGTGACTACAGTGTGTCACATTACTGAGGTTTATTTGACTTTACTTTAAAGCTCCTTTGAGGGTTTTTGGTGTTTATAAAACTGAATAAAAATCTATACTGATCCATTTTTAAGATTATTAACAGCAAGTCTGACTGTTTGCAACAACTTCAATGATATTTATATTGCAATTTGTAATGCCTAAATCCACTGTGAGGGCGTAGGTAATGAATTTCCCTTTGGAGATCTATTAAGTTCATCTTAGGTGTCTGCCAAGCAGCTGAAGACACCGCTCTGTTTGTACCCTGTTTAAACTGAAGTATTTATAGTAAATGATGCACTTAACTGTCCAAAGTCAGCAGGATGAGAAGTTATGTCAGAGGAGAGTAAGAAATGAGCTTTAAGATGTAGACTTAATCGATGTGCTGACCTTGTCCTGTACAAACAAAGTACTGCTATGATAAAATGTCTCATTCTGCTTTTTTGTTTTAATGGTCAAATATGTCACTATTTGCCCGGAAAAGTAAAAGGCAATTTTTTTTAGTGGGCTGTTAATCGTCTGGTCTGACATCTAGTTCCTCACAGAAGTTCCAGGCATCGAAAATTAAAATATAGAAACTGTCAGTCTTATTGTTAATGCTCTCATTTACTTCTGAAGGTTATAAAGAAGCAACAGAATAAATTTCGATCTGTTTCACAACCAGTTAAAAACTCCTCAAAAGGGCTTTAATTTGTCACATAAAGGGATGAAGTGACTAAAACTGGCGACAATGAAAAACAAAAAGAAAACCAAAATGTAGGAAGAAGCATTTGCTGATGGAGGCTGTTGATGTGCACACAGTGAAGACGGCAAACAAGGATCGCAGACAGAATCAATTTCAGAGTCCTTTGTGCTGTTTGCATCCCTGCCAACGCAAACAGACTCAAATCAAAATGCAAATAGTGAGCCAAAACCATATGTCGTTTTAAACATGGATAATCCCTCAAAAGTATCTTGTCTGTGTCTGTGTTGCAAAAATAAATGTTTATCACTTGACCAAGTTATGAAATGTTGGAAGCATTTAAACAAAGTGCAGTTTCTTCACTTATACTTTCTTTACTTTAATGCAAGGATTTAATAAATACAGGTCTGGTAAACATGATGAATTTTACATTGATTTTTCCCAAATGTTAACTCAAAGAAGAATTAGGACAGATAACAAATTTCTTTTTCACTTTTTGGACTACGAAGTCAACCTGAAAGTCCACGGGAGCTGAATACAACACTCTCAAAATGAAGAGAAGTGCGTCTAACTACACTGTTCAATCTTTAAAAAGTAAAGTAACAGTAAAAAAAAGTCTTCTCTCAGTGTCCTGTGAAACTTTTTGGAAGGCAGAGGCTTTAACTTTTCAAAGAGTCAATCACCAGCCCAGAGTGTGAAGAGTAGACACCATTACAGCCGTCTGAACAATGGGCACAGCTTAAATTGGCTCTCTTTCCCAAATACAGACTCAATGAATTTCACAAGGGAGCTCTGAGAACAAAGTGCTCTCAATAACACTGTACTCCTCTCTATCTCACACACACATGCTCTCCAATGCCACACACACGGACACACACACACACACACACATTTGCAGGTATGACAGTTAACAAAAGATGAAGCCAAAGATTTAAAGCTCCTGTACTGACTGCAGCAGTATGGCTCTTTACTGACCAGAGTGATCTCATCTGTTTTGGCTGGAAGTTAAATGTCTGATTTCATTAGCTAAAAGGTTGGGTTGTCAATACCACTGCTGAACCCGAATGCACAGACTCTGACTCGAATAAAAGTCTCCTGCAGGTGCAAGATGTCAGGGCCCATCTTCTGGAGCTATTTGGCTTCACTTCAATACAATGGGAGGAGGTGGAATCACAATGTCCATCTTTATATACATGCAAAAGTTTGTTTGAGCCTTTTCAAAAACATATTTCTTCAATAATGTACCAAACAGCGAAGAGGTCATACAAAATGTAAACATTGTCCCAAATTTACATAAAAAGAATACAAAAATACAAGAATCTGTACACAGTTTTCATATTTTTAAACAATTATGCACACTTTGGAGGTCTTTTTCATTCCGTTCAGTAATGTCTTTAGCCTCCTTGGAGTCCCAAAAAGTTTGAGACTTTTAAAAGTCTCTGTTAAAAGTCTTTTAAGTCAGGTCAGCTGTCTTAAACTAATAGAAAAATCCGCACTCTACACCATGGCTAGAGCAACCCGGTCAGGTGTCATTGGCTCCGCCTTAACAGAGATCCACAGGTCCTCCGTATTGTTGGTTGAGTTCTTCTTCTTCTTTGTTTCCGACCTTGCGGTTGCCATAGAGTCTCCGCAGCAGCAGCAGCAGCAACAGCAGCTGTTGGCATGGCGACAGCAGCAGCAGTGACAGCACACCACCAGGGTTGTGAGGAGGACGATCAGGGGGAGAGTCAGGAGGACGATCAGACAGACCGTGTTGTACACCCCCTGATTGTGTTTTTCTGTGGCGAAGCTCCAGAGTTGGTTAAAAAACTCCTGGATGCTGTCGGTTTTTCCATCCATGGCGTTCAGATACGGAGCCGTGGCTCCTTTTAATTAACTCTGTCTGGTAGTCGTAAAGTTTTAATAAATCCTTTGGAGGGTTTGTGAAGTTTGAAAGTCAGTAAATGTGCATATAAGGCTGCTGGAGACACTGAAATAATTAAGATAGGGTGTTAATTTAAGATAAAAGTTCTTCTGTGTAATCTGAATCCAGCTTTGAAGTTCTCTAAGTGTTCATCAGCGGCTCCAACAGCTGTCAGCAGAGATATTTTAGACAGCTCAAACGATCATCAGCTATTTTTAATCATCAGTGTCACGAGCAGCCCCGGCTTTATCTACCTTTAAGGCTCCAGGGTGGTTTTTCGTTAAATAAGAACACAGGGAGAATCGAGGGTGACCTCAAGTCTGCTTCCTTCCTCCACAAGTCCCATGAGGTGATTTTCAAAGCGAGAATGTTCTTTAAACAAATCCAAGAGCTTATTTTGTCAACAGCAAAGCGTGCTTTGAAAACCTGCACTTGTAATGTTCCTGATCTGGATGCAGGATGAAAAAGCCCAAACCTGCACTTCAGCCAAGTTTGTTTATGCTACTTGGCATTTCTCAAAGTGTTTTCTTGCTCTTTGTCTTCCCCAGAATCCTCTTATCCTCTTGCCCTTTGGCTTTCGTCTTGGTTTACTCCGCTTTCAGATAGACGTTCGATTTTGGCGTGTCTGTGGAACAGAAAAACAAAGAGAGAGTGAACATGCAGAGACATTTGGTTTTCTAGCAGACAGCTCGTCTACGTCCTCCGCTCTTTTCCTTCCTTGCCTCCAATCCATCTTTCTGTCTCTGTCTTTAACATCTCTACTCTCGCCTCCCTCTCCTCCTCTAGCTCTTGTCAATGTCAGTTTCAGATTTTCAGCTTTCTCCTCATTAATACTGCAGGGGAGTCATTCAGGATTCAGGGCAGCTCTCACTACGAGTCCTGCTGAGGAAGACAGGGGCGCAAAGAGAGACCGGGAGAGAGAGAGAAAAATGGAGGGAGATTGTGTCTGAAGGGAGGCCAGACAGAGATAGAGGGCACCAATCTTTTTAAGTGTCCCGTTGAGACGGAGAGTGTGAAAGACTGACAGGGAACAGAAAAGGAAGAGAGGAGGGTGAGAGGTAGACCTGCTGCTGGGGACTCATCTGAATATACTCGTCTAATAGTTCCCATTGGAGGAGATGGATGGGACCTGGCTCAACTTTTCATGAATGTCTGATGGTAACATTTTCCTCTAGCCTGAGATGAAATCTCCTGCTCTCCTCCTGGAGAAAAGACCGAGTGAGCTGCCTCAAATAGAAAGGGAGGTCTGAAAAAAAGAAGTCAGTCTTCAAGATAAAAGTCGTAACAATTCTTTTTTTGGGGGGTTTGATTAAGTCAGTGGCCTTGAAGGGATGTCTTCATTTAACTGATATCATATAACTTTAGTTTTTTAAATGACTTCAAACAAGATTTGTCTCAAGAACATTCTGAACACTATCTATTGCTCTCAGCTACTGAGCTCTTCTGTATGCTGGATGCAGGAGCTGCAAAGATTTTTATCTCATTCTGTGTGCTTCTTTTGCAGAGAGGGGGGGTTACCTGTGAATATGGTTTTATATGGCTGTATACTTGTGTTAGTTAACCCACACAAGCCTGCTAACTTCCTCCCGATTCATTTGCTCAACAGGCAACAGGAAGCTTTGCACCTCAAGCTAGCGACCAAAAAGTCAAGGTGTGATGCGGTCTCATCTGACGAGAGTCTGAGCGAAATCACCACATATGATGCTGTCATATTTATTTTCAGATAGGACACTGAAGTATTTTTGTTTCCCTATAACTATTTAGAACAACATGCAGCCGTATGTCTCAATCAAAGCATCGACAGGTCCGCTGAGTTATTTTTATGCTTCATTGATATATTTGACCCATGTGACACTAGATTAAGCATAAAGGTCAAAGATCACCAAAAGGGCGGGAACATAAGAAAGACATAATTCTGGTGAACAACAAATGCGTCAGATCTTTGTCTCACTTTGACTCAGTCTTTACTGTCATACCTCCACGAAACCTGAGATAAAACAAAACCAACAAAATGAACATAATTAAACTTTCTGAAAGGAAGATTAGAAATGTTGCAGAGATGTTCTGGTTACTTTTGTTTTAAAAAGTGTTGGTGTTAGTGTTATTTTGTTTGAATTTCAGTGTAAGCATAGCTGGATTGTGTACACTGATGCTAATAGCAGTACAATTTTAGCCTCTGTTCCAGTGAGCGATTAAAAGAAAGTTAAGACCCAAAGGCGTTTAATATGTTCTCCTCCATGTTTATTTGTAATATATGCATTTGAGAACAGGTGCCGACTTTTCAGCGATCCAGGTGTTAGCCTGTGGCAACAACAACACCCAACCATGACTTATTTTTCTGTGCTTCATTTACGTCTACATCATATATGCTGTGATTTCTTTCTCCATCATATCCCCCAGGCTACCGTCCAATCATGTGTTACAAAAGCTGGCTGGTCTCAGTTCACTAGTGGGCACACAGAAGCCTCACTGACTTCAATGATGTGAATCTGAAACACAAAACCTATTTCCTCGTAAATTACTGAAAATTTACTGGCTTTAAAGCTCCTATGAAGATTTTTTTTATGTTAATGAAAATGACTAAAACTCATATAGTTTTTTTTTTTTATGACTCACAAAATCAAACAAGACTATTATCAACAAGATTGAAGATTTTTGTATGCTAATTTTTAATCCCTGAAACCAGTTCAAAAGGGTAGGTGTCAGCCATACGGTTGAAGAAACAGCTCTGTTTTTAAATATGCACTTTAAATATTCATAATGAATGATATATTTGTCTTTTAAAACCAGAGTATGATTTTTTTTTTGTCATCACAACTCTAGTATATTTGACAATATAACCACAAGGAGTGATAACATTTACACAACTAAAAGTCACTCACTGGAGCTTTAAGTGTTAGGAGCTTATTATGTTTCCCATAAAGCTTGTGTTTGAAAGTTTCAATCATAGACTAGATATAGAATGGACAGCCTATGGGCGTACGAAGATTGCATAGCTCACCCGGGGGATACACTTTTTGAGCCGAGCGTCATCACAGCAACTCTCAGCGACTCTTCCACCGAATGCATACAACGCTACTGTGCAAGTGGTGGAGTGCGTACAACACTACTGCGCAATATTGGTTTCAGGAAATTGAGAAAGAACGGGGAATTACAGAGAGCTTTTTGGTTTCATATCTGTTTACTGGTGGGAGGCGGAACTAGGTTGTCCATAGTATATACAGTCTATGGTTTCAATAGACTTGCTCCTCAGCACACACAAGTCATAAGTCCCTCACAGGAGCTTTAAGTTTGGCGAAATAAGAAAACAATCACAAATATGCAAACTTTTTCTTTGCTTAGCTAACTTGTCAAACACAGGTGAGATCAGTTATTTCTGATGTAATCCAGAAAAACAAACTGCTGATGAGCTTAGGCAAAAACGACATCAAGCAGATTTTGTGTCTCAAGTTAACATTTCTGGTGAGGAACAGCTTGTCAGTGGCACTTCTGTTTATAGAGATAAATACATTGACGGGCCACAGTGCATGGGTGCAGGATGTCACAACACCACAGTGATCTAGTCCTGCCTGCTTTAGCTCTTTAACTCTTCTCACTGAATATTATCCTGCAGATGGGATTCGTCAAAACCACTCAGACAACTAATGTACACAAATGGCAACCAGAGCACTGTTAACAGATTCGACGTTTGTATGTTACAAAAGGGAAACACAGGCAGAGGGTGAAAACATCATATGGATTAGTATATGTTGTAGCATCCTCTTTGTCAGTGGTTCAACTATGGCTAAATTAAGAATAACAATGTACATGAGCATCTACCTAAATGTTATCTTGTGTTAATTTACTTTTAATTATCTTTTATTGAACATTTGCACTGCTTTCGGATTCAAACCTCATAATTTACACCTAATCTGAAGACTAATTATAGTTGGGAGTCAGGGTGTCACCGCCACATTATTCTTGATTTACCCCACAGTAGGAACATGTTGTTGCTGGCTGAGCAGCACCTCTGTGTACACCCTGAGCTCCCTCACATTATGAAAACAGCATCAACACAACAAACCAGAGTCACTGAGCAATAAGTCTGCAGGAGAGAGAGACAAAAGGCTAGGAACAGCTCAGAGGAGAGTTACACAGAGTAGATGACTAATAATGTATCACCAGCAAAGCCATTAAAAGGAAGGTAGAAGTCACTGAGTGTTATTATTACTATGATCAGAATAGAAGGAGAAGGAATGAGATCACTGTATGTTTTGTCTATATGTCGGTGAAATGGGAACGTTTGAGTTAAATTTAAAGATTCCCATTTGGATATTCAAGCTGTTTTAAGTTGAATACTTTGATTTTCAGTGTGATTGTGCCTCTTTCTCTGTAGGCCTTCATCACTGCATGAATTATCGCTAATGACAGATTGGGTGTTTGTGCAAAGAAGAAGAAATAACAGGCCAAGAGGATATATACCTCTGTTTATACAAAAAAATAACTTGTCTCAAGTTTCAAATATTTCCCTAGCTCATATCATCTCACTGGGATGCCTTTCTGTGTCTCTGTCTGGGTCTTTCACTTTCTCATGACATTGTGCTCTCTGAAGCCATTCATATACAGGAAAGGCTGTTTCTGGGACACACAAAGCCAGGAAGGGGATGAGAAAAATGTTATGATCGCACTCATTAGCCCCTGCTGCTTTTTAGGGACCATGTGTGACCTAAAAGACAAAGTTGTGACAGAAGGCGAGGCAGGAATCTTTAATGAGTTGCCCCGAGCAGCACAGTCAGACCAGATACCTCATAAGTTGGTATCAATGTGCAGTATATGGAAAGTTTGACTTCAGACAAGCACCGGATTAAGACCACACTTGTTTGTTTTTCATTGTCAGTGTTACTGCTGTTATTTTTACCTTTGGACAGCTGATAATCTGGAGGAATTAAATCCTTTACATTGAGCAAGAATGCAAGCCAAGACAGCTCAGGCTTGTGCCATTTGAAATATGTAAAGCGGATGTTATCGTATTAACAGTGAGAGAAGAAGAAGGATTATCCCTCAGTAAATAAGTAAATATTAACTTAACCAAGCTGTAGGGAAATATTTTGATTCAGAATCTGCAGAGTTTACAATAAACTAAAACTTATTCTGATCAGAAACTTCACTTTGAGGCCAATTATGTTTCCCAAAAAGTCGAGAGAGTGTCTAAAAAGGAGTGTTACAGTGAAGCTCCACTGCACTCAAAAGGCAGGAAGAAACTTATTAGCATTTCGTTGTAACTTGTCAAACAACGTGTCAAATCCAAACACTGGCAGAACATTTTTTTCAGTGAAGAAGTTTGCAAAAGTAGCAGGACTTTGACTCTCTTCTTTTACCCAATCACCAAAAACAAAAAAGCCCACAACAGCAAAACAAACCTCCTGAAACAGTTTCAAAGTGCTCCAAGTTGCTGGCTCTAAAGATCTCTTTGAAAGCAGTACCTTACCCCGCAGGCACGTGTGAAGTGTCAGGTCAGCTCTCCACTCCTGTCTGATCCAGTCAGCTGCTCAAACTTCTACTGTTTCTGTTTTGGCATCTGGCTTCTGCTCTTCTCTGGTGCCCCTCACCTAGACATCTTGACAAGTCTTCACTTTCTGTTCCTGTTTCCCTCCCTGCCCTCGTTTCCCGTACTTCTCTCTCTCTCTCTCTGCTTCTCTCTCTCTCTCTCTCTCTGACTGTGTATGTGTGTGTGTTTTGGTCACAACGTCACTGCACCCAGCCCACTTTGTGTAAGAATGGGCCCTCTGTCTCAGCCTGTGTGTTTCCTGCGCAGAGAGGTGGATTCTTGTGGTTTCTTTGCTACGCTCACGTATACGCTGAATGATGTCAGACAGGGTGGGAAAGCTGGGTGAGCTGAAAATGAAGTGAAATCACAGGATACTTTTTTAAACAATATGTCTCAATACTAAATTCTACATGCACTATTTTAATTAATGCCAGTTTAAGTTGTACTTCTTGTTAACAACACTGGATAACATCCGAAACAATCACAGCTCCACCCTTCCCAGAACACTAAACAGCAAGAAAAAGAGGAAACACAACTGTGAACTATGTGTAATAAGTGGCTCTAGGTGTGAAAACTCAAACATAAAAGAGTGAGGTTGGTGCACTGACACTCACACATGCACTCACACGCTCTCTATGCCTATGGCTTTGTGGTCAGTGCCCTTTTCAGCTCAGTTCAGTCAAGCAGAAGAGGATTTTTATTCAAGAGAGAAAAGAGGGGAAAAATCTCCTCCTGACGTTGAGCAGCAGTCTATTTATGGGAAGCTGTGAGTTAATGGGCACTGACTCCAATACTGTACATGTAGTTACAAACATGCATACTGAGTGCTTGTGGACATAGAAGGCCAAAGGGATGAGGTCAAAGAACGGTTAGTTCAGGTTTTCTAAGTTCGTTTGAAACTATTTAAAGAGATCAAAACATTTGCTTTTCAGTGACAGAATACAATTCTGCTCTAATGTATATTAAAAGTCAAACAATGAAGAAAATCGTCTATGCTTTTTGTTATTCTTGGACAATTTCACCACGAGACAGAAAATGGAGAGTAAAAGGTTAGCAGTGGTGGGTGACATGCAGCAGAGGACCAGTGCCAAGTTAAATAAAGAGTATGGCCTCTGTATGTGGGGCATGCACTTAAACCATGAAGCCAACAGCGCCTACGCATTTTCACTTGTGATGACCTCATAGAGGCTGAGCTAAAATCTTTAAAAAGTCACATAAATGTTTCTCTTTTTTTTCTTTAATAAAACTCGGACTTAACTCAGACTCCTATTTTCAAAATATATCATCTTGAGTTTTATAAATGCAAAGTTGTCTGACACTCTTGAAAAAACACTTCAAATCTATGTGACTGGCTGAACATGCGGCGTGTTTATTCATTGCTATGGGGCATGGTTACATGAAAATTGATGAGACAAGCCTCACCATGTCTGCAGGTGTGTCTGAGCTATTTCAGACAAAAAGCATCCAACCAACCAATACACACAAATACACACATGCCCATGCGCGCACATACGCACTCAGGGCTGAGCTGACACTGGAGGTGTAGCCTGGCTGGCAGAGTGTAGTGCTGCTACACAGTGGAGCTAAAACCCAGCTGCTGCTGAGGCTCTACAGTGTCCAGTCACCTCGAGCAAGTGTTGATTAATGACCTGAGTGCGGCAGCACTTTCCCTGATGGAGGTCCTTCTTTACTGCAGTTTATATGAAAATGATTTCACTGTGTTCCATTTGCTGCTTCTGATTGCTTCTGCAGATACTTGTGCAGGTTGATGACACCGTTTCTCTAGTGGACGCACGAATGTACTCCTCTACAGGCCATGTAAATTCCTTACATTTGACTTATATATATATATATGTATATATATATGTATGTATATACACACATAAAAGCACATGAACACACACACGCTCTGTTTACATTCTGTTGACCCTGTGCTATAATGGGCAGACCCTGGGCAATATTTCAGTGGCACTCACATATACAAAGAAAGCCTAAACAATATTTCTTTTTATTCAGCTGAGGTCTGTAGCAGGAAAAAAAAATACAAGAAAGCGCCTTGAGCTCACTATGGATCACTGATCATGCAATCATGATGGCAAAAAAGAGAAAAATGACATTACAAGTAGCACTACTAAGAGCCTCATGGAATTACTGGTCAGAGCTGAAGGGCATTACAAATCACTATGACTTGCTGGTCTGCCAAGGAATACTGATATATGAGGGGAAGTGAACTCAACACTGTACACTCTGTGAGTTCTTGAATGTGAGCACTAATGAAAAGTGACTAAATTGTTGCTGTAGAGGAATCTGACAAGTGTCCAGAAATAGACGGCTAATATAACCAGTGCCCCCAGAGGCAAACCTTAGCTGTGATTCAGTGTTGTAAAATGTTTTGGCCCTGTGCTTACAAGACAGAGAAAGATAGAAAGAGACTATATAAGGCATTGTTTCTTACTCTCGAGAACACCCGTCATTAAAAAACTGGCTGGCATGTAAGCTTTAGGGTTTTATAAGGGGTACCCAACTGTGCATTCCAGCTATGAGGTCAGCTACAGCTACTTGAACATTTACTGACATAATTTCAGCATACTTATTGTATGACACATGCTGCTTTCCAGGTCTCCACATGATGTTAAACATGTCCTCTTTGGCTTGCGAGTGTCAGTCTGTTCTGCTGCAATAAAGTAGAATAAAGTGGCAGACTATCAGCTTACAGCGAGGGAAGTATTTGTCAGATATGATTGAAGGGGACTTTCTAAGTTCCTCTTTGCTCCAAAATATTTCCAAATAAAGAAAAGCAGAGTGAGTCACAGAGGAAAAATAAAGTCAGTCAACTTAGCCAACATATTGGGTTGCCATGGATACTTGAGTTTAAGGTCACTAGAAAAACAGAGAACAAAAATACATGATTCATGATAAAAAAAGAAAGGCATCTGATAGCCAGAGTTCAGACACGGACAAACAGAGTGTTTCAGACAAATAAGCTCTAGGGGTTGAGTTAATTTCCATTTGTCAATCATTGCCTCACCAAGAGGAAGAACAGAACTACTTTTTATTCCACCATGGTGAGAATGAATTTCTGACTGCAACAGAGATAAAACTTACTGTTTGATTAAGTAAGGCACATCCTACCGCTACTTTCTGGTAATGACACAATCAAGTGAGAGAAAAAGATCCCAAGTTCAGACGTTTTAACTCAGAGGCCAGAAAAATGATGCCAGTGTGGAGGTGCTCTGTACTGCACTTCTTCAAGCGTCCACATGAGGCCGGCTCCCAAAGCCCCTGAGACTTGATTAACACCCATAATGAGGTATTCATTTTTATAGCAGAAATTAACGAGGTTATAGCCCGACCCAAAATGAGATAAAACTTTTGGCTTGAATTACCCATTTCTCAGTAAGCACACCCTGTATGGGGAGTGAATATGGTTTATAACTAGCTGAAGATATTAAAGCTGCAAGGTTTGCATAATAAAGGGCATGGCTATTTAGACTGATCAGTGGACACACTGTCAGGAGGCTAGAGGAGGGTGACCATACATCCTCTTTTACCTGGACATGTCCTCTTTTTTGGGGGGCTGTCTGGGCTGTCCGGCCTTAACCGGCTTTTTCCGGGGAAGTTTATAAAATCCTTCAAATGTCTGCAGTTTTGTATGGAAGTTTTGAGTTTGTGTCACATGGATTACTGAGTTAGAAACACATAAAAGATACTCGACCCAGCCCGAAAAACTCAAAATTATCTTTGTGCGACTCCATGACTCAGCCCCCGTGTAGTCATGTCCTCTTTTTGGAAAGTCAGAATGCGGTCACCCTAGCTAAAGGCTAACCTCGGCTCTACCTCTCTATTCTTGCTGGGCTGACAGATAGTTAGGCTGAGTGAGCATTTTCAATAGCACTGCCAGCTGTTCTGCTTCGGAAGCCACAGGTTAACATCTCATGTACTACAGTCTATGGCTCATCAACTTTGTGTTGGAGACATTACATAGACATTTTTTTTTTTTTTAAACTGATATTTTTGAACAAAGTTTTAGCTAAGCTAGCATAACTATAAAGTTCGAGGTGACTGCCAACATGCCTAAATGCAAAAGTAAAAACATGTCTTCCTTTCGCTGATTTGTAAGAGTAACCTGGTCAATGGTTATCTTTTCCACAGTTGATCTTTTTGAATGCTAAATGACAGGAAACTACAAACTTATTTAAACAATAAAAAATAAAACAGTACAGCAACAAATCACTTATTCTCGCAGAATATTTCAAACAGCTTATTAAGACATTGAGAGTATCAAAGTCTGAACTCAGGTCAAGGAGAATTAGTACAGAGCATCAGCCAGAATCAGCTGCAAGCAATAAGATATTAGAGACCTTGACCAGAGCAGTTTCAGTGTTGTGTTATGAGCAGAAACTAGACTGAACGTTATTCAAAGATATAGTTGTTATTCATAAAAGACACCCGCTGGGTGGACACAACACATCTAAGATCTGGGATAAGAAAGGAAGCTTGGAGACAGGTCAATCATTTCTTAGAAGAAAAGGTTGAAGAGAGGGTTAACAGGGATCATCTGCATGTAACAAAGGTTAAAATATCAGGATCTACTGTCTGAATCCACCTGTGTTTCCTGAGGTTTGAGTGAAGGATTTAAAGATTAGATTTAAAGAAGTGGTCCCTTTGAATTTGACGTTATAAAAACAATACTCAGAACTTACACAACTCAACAAAATGGATAACATACTTGTCTTTTTTCATTGTTTTCATATATAGAAATATTACTTAAATACCATTTACTATGGATGGTGAGCAATAACAAAGTTGATCTCCGTTTAGTTCACTTAAAACTTTACACTATTTACATTTTGAATTGCAATGACCTAAGGCTTAAATTCACTCTGAAATAGAAAATGTTATCTCACTTTCTTTTAGACGCACACACACACACACACACACACACACACACACACACACACACACACACACACACACACACACACACACACACACACACACACACACACACACATATATATATTCACATACACACTCCTTGCTCTGTGCCTTCCTCAAAAATCCTTCTCTAAAGTCTTGAGCATGTGGCATTGCTTTTCCTGTGGGTGATGTGATAAAGTAGAGAACAAAGCTTCTGCTGAGCTCGCCCCTCGGGTCACTGCAGCCCAGAGAGACACTCTC